GCTCTTGGTGGCCCATCTGTAGGTCGCAGTCCCCACATGTGATTGGTGACTGGTATGTCCGTAACAGGTGCCTGCATGCTGTTTATCTAAATCTTAGAGAACCGTAAACAAAGGAGCGGTCAACTACTGTATAGTGTTCCCTAGGGCGGTCAGGCTACCCGTTCGGCAGTATCGGGTGCGGTGTCTGCACGGGCAAAGCCCGAGCCTCAACGTGGCCCTGGCCCGTTACAATACCCCCCTCCTTAGGTTCGGACCTGTAAAGGGTCACGCGGGAGCTCCGGCCGCTGGCAGGGGGTCATCCGTGGCCGAAACGGCCCCGAAACGCTCCTCAAATCTGTCTAGGGCACTACAGTCATCTATAGATGCTAGTGGTTCCCATATGCATTGCGAGTAGCCAGTCCACCGAACTAGCACCTCTCTCCTAGAGCCTCGACCCACTCTCTTAGTACGGGCCGCTAGGATTTCTTCCACATCGTATTCCAGTTCCCCATCGATCTCCAGGGGTGGTGGCTGCGAATCGTCCACGATTTGCGAGGGAAGCGGGTCATCGGCTGCGGGCCGAATTAGGTCGACGTGGAAAACTGGGTGAATTCCGGTCGGAACGCCCAACCGCACTGTATGGGAGGATGGCACTTCTAGCACTGTGTAGCGGGCATGAAGCCAGTCTAGCTTCTTGTACGGCCGTGTCGATCTCACGTTCCGTAGGTTTAACCATACTTTGTCGCCTGTTTTATACACTGGTGCAGCTTGGCGGGTTCTGTTCGCTTGAAGCTGCTGCTAATTTTGTGCAAACGCTATCGACGCTTGTGCCCACTCGGTAGCGGATCGGAGTCGATTCGCTAGCGCTTCGCCTGCCTCCCCGGGTCCCGATAATCCCTCTTGGATTTCTTCACTCCCTGTCTGTATCGGATCGATATGGTATCCATGTGTAAAGAAGAATGGAGATATTCTAGTTGACGCTGCCTTCCGATTATTGATCGCTACTACTGCTATTAGTAGCAGCTTTATCTAATCCTCTTATGTGTAGCAAGTAAATGCTCGTAGGATCTTTTCAACCTCTTGATTCGCTCTCTCAGTTAAGCCATCTGACTACGGGTGGAAGGCGGTAGATAATCGGCGGCGAATCTGTAGTCTTTCGCACACCCTTTTCCAGAAGTCGCTCACAAATTAGGTTCCCCTATCGCTTGTGATAGCAGTTGGTAAACCGTGGTGCATATAGATATGCACTAAAAAGGCCTCAGCTAACGCGTCAGCGGTGATTAAGTCTATACCGATAAGTATCACGCTTTTCGTTAGCCTATCGGTAACGACTAGGCAGTTAGTCGCTTTTCTCTCTCCTACAGCTAGGAAACCGGTAATAAAATCCATTGATATCTCTGCCCAGATGCGCTAGGGAATCGGTAGGGGTTTTAATAGGCCGTGTTTTGTCTCCCTCTAGATTATGCTTCTTCCGCAAACGCCACAGTTCCGTAGAAATTGTCGTACATCCGCTGCTGCTCCGGGCCAGAACCATTATCGAGATAGTATCGAATAGGTAGCGTCTCGTCCTAGGTGGCCGCTCAAATAAGAATCGTGCACTTACTAGAGGATTCTTGTTCTTAGAGGCTTAGAGTTAGGAACCTATAAACGACCACGAAACCGTAGTAGTCGACGCTCGTCTAGCTCGCATTCTACTAGGCTCACTTTCGTGTCTGTATTAGCTGGTATTCGGCGATGTTCTTTTAATATCGCGGTGGAGAAGGCTCGATAGGTTGCGTCAGTCTTTCGGGCAGTTTCCCATAATTGTTGCATCTCTAGGTCCTCGAACATTCGTACGGGCGCTTCGAAGTCTATTTCCTCTTTATCTTCTTTAGGCTCTCTCTATGGTCTACTAGTCCGGACCGTAACGTCGGCGAATAGGGCCCGAAACCTATATGAAACGCGCTCGTCGTTAGCGTCCTGCGGCATATCTTGTTCTCTTCGCGATAATGCGTCTGGTCTCACTACTTGTTTCCCTGGCCGATATTATAGGTCGAAGTCGAACTCCGCTAGCACATCTGACCATCGCATCTGCCGTTCGGATAGCTGCCTTAACTTATAGAAGTATCGTAGGTTCTTATAGTCCGTTACGATAGCGAATCGTAGGACCATCTTTAGCTCTGGGCGCCATTCCTTTAGGGCTCGTATAATAGCTAGGAGTTCCTTATCGTGGATTTCGTAGTTTACCTCTACCGGGGATAGCTTCTGTGAGAGGTATGCACAAGGTGCTACGACGCTATCATCCTACACTTGAGATAATACTGCGCCTATAGCCTAGCCGGATGCATCCGTTTCGACTATTGTTTCTCGTTCCTCTTCGAAATGCACTAGAATCGGTGCCGAAACGAAGAGATTCTTTAGTTCTTCGAAACTCCGTCTATAGTTGTCGTCCCATTTAAAAGCTTCGTCTTTCTTGGTTAACCTCGTAAGCGGCGTAGCAAGCTCCGCGAATCGGGGTATAAACGGTCGGTAGAAGTTAGCGAATCCTAGAAAGCTTCGGATATCTTTCATAGTCTTAGGCGCCTTCTATGACTTAATCGCTTCGACCTTCTTAGGGTCGACATATAGACCCTCGCCTGCTTTCACAATGTAACCCAGGTATTTTACAGCGTGTTGTTCGAATTCTGACTTCTTGATATCGCATTAGAGCCTAGCCTCTTGTAGTTTCGATAAGACTTCGTTCACCTTTCGGCGGTGATCCGCTATCGAACCGTTGGAGTAGATGATAATATTATCTACATACGCTAAGACAAAGTCGTCTAGGTACTCTCGTAGCACATGATTAATATGTCGTTGAAAGGTGGCTAGGGCGCCTGTTAGGCCGAATGGCATAACGTTCCACTCGTATAGGCCGTATCGCGTACGAAACGCGGTCTTATATTTATCGCCTGGTTGTACCCGAATCTTATAGAACGCAGCTATCACGTCTAGCTTCGTGAACCACCGTGCCCTCGACATATTCCGTAGCGTCTCACGAATCAGTGGTAATAGGTATCGGTCTTTAACCGTTAGTTCGTTTAGGCCTCGGTAGTCGATACAGAATCGAATGCCGCCTCCTAGCTTTCGTACCAGAAGCACTAGCGAAGCGGCTAGTGATCGGCTTACGCGGATAAAGTTCTTGTCTAGCAAGTCAGTAAGCGTTTTACGTAGTACTAGTAGTTCTTCTCGGTTCATTCCGTATAGTGGTCCGTATAGGGGCGGAGCTTCATTTCCATTGTCGTCGGTTTTCAGCTAGATCCGGTGGTCGGTTCCAGGGCGATTCGGGGACAGTTCGTCTGCTAATCGTTGGCTAAACACGTCTAACCAAGGCCAGTAATGTTTGGGCAATTTCGTCTTTAGGTCCACTAGTTCTTTTGGTCGTAGTGCCTTCTCAATATCCGCCATCGAAACTCGGCCGATTCGTAGCCGATGGTCGGTCGATGCGTTTTCGAAAATCCGTCCGCATTCCTATGCACTTGCTTTCTGCACTTGTAAACGTTTAACCTTCTAGGGACCGATAGATATATCTCTACGGTTCCAACACCGCGTTCTGGCTCCTTCCTTCGAGAATATATCGATATACCCTCTATTCGCTAAGCTCTTCCTTTTTACATCCGTTTCCCAGGGTTTCCCTAGAATAAGATCGTCGACTTGTCCCGGGATCACGTACGCAAATACGCCTTTCTGCTTATGGCCATATATATCGAGGTCGAAGCAGGTAACGTGTGTGATTCGACCCTATTTCGCTAGCACGCCGTCTAATCTTAGGGGCTTAGGAAGTTTGATGCGCGGGAGTTCAAGAGAGAGAGAGAGTTTTTCATTAATTATAGCGTAGCTATCGCACCCGCTATCGACGAGACCCTTAACGAATCGTTCGCCATTCAGGTACGCATCGACATAGAACAGTGGTTCGATACTCTTCTCTAACTTCTTAACTCCTTCGAGCTCTTGTTCGCGACTAAGAACAAGAGCTACTCTTTTTCCGATCCAGATGATTCGACAACCGTAGTGGATTCGGTCTCGCTAGATGACTCTGCGACAGCGGCAACTTCCTCGCGCTTCTTACTCGAAACGGTCTCGTTTCGGGGCTTTCTCTCAAGTTTGTTAGTGTGCCTCCGGTCCTCGGGACGTCTTACAGGTTTCAGGGGGCATGATACGATACGGCATTTCGGTCGCCCACAACGTATACAAAGTCCTTCTTCACGACGTCTGTCTCTCTCCTCTTCGCTTACCCATTTCGCACGTTTGCTGATAAGGTCTCGATCCCGATTCGGGTCTGAATCGGTGGCGAATCGGTTCACTTTTACTAAGGTGGGTTGCCAGTCTATTGGATCGTAAGTTTCTTCGATCTAGGCAGTAGCTACTGTTGCACGTTTTAGTCGGTTCCACATCGCCTAGAACCCTGACAAGTCGGCGCTGATTCGGTGTAGAAGATACACCATTTCGTTGAAGGTGCTCGGCACACCTCGGTTCACTAGGGCTGAATACGTCTCTTTATTCAGTGCTATAACTAGCGTATGCTTTTTGGAATCATCGGGCCATTAGAGGGCACCCGCATCGGCTAGTTCTCTCTCAAAACTCGGTAAGAATCTTTTAAATGGTTGGTTCGGTTTCTGCTTTAGCGCATACAAACGCTGTACGGCTCTCGCTTTAACGTTCGGATCGCCATAGATTCGCTCTAGATACGATAGCAAATCTTCGGGGGTTCCGTTCTCACGTCTCTCTCTCATAAAGGTGGTGGTGTTCTTCAACGCCATCTTTTCCAGGCGAGAGTAGATATATGCGTATTGGTCCGCGGGGGAACCGAGGCACATTCTATCTACTCTTAATTTATTCTCGATCAGGATTCTCCAGGAAGGCCAATCGCTAACTGATCCCGAAAACATCGCTAGATTCGGCAGCATCGCTCTCGGGCGAGAGGTTATAATCCTCTCGCTGTCATCGCGATCTTCTCTCACTTGTTCGACGGAAGGACCGGCAATGTTGGTCGCTTCAGGTTCGGATCACACATGATCCGGCATCGATTCGCTAGGCGTGCGGTTCTGACTTTGCATCGCCTCTTCTATCTGGTGGAAACGTTGGTCGACGCTTGCCACCATCGCTGCCATCATAGCTTCTAGTCGGGCCATAAGGTCATTTGGTGGGTGAGCCTCGTGGGCTCCACTCGTGGGGTTTGCTCGCTCGTTCGCCATCGTTCCGATGTCGAGCCGCTATGTTTCGCTGATACTCTATAGGGAAGAGGAAGATTTAGATATGTGAAGGGCTATAGCTGAATTGATTCAATTAGGCGGTGCCTGCATGCTGTTTATCTAAATCTTAGAGAACCGTAAACAAAGGAGCGGTCAACTGCTGTATAGTGTTCCCTAGGGCGGTCAGGCTACCCGTTCGGCAGTATCGGGTGCGGTGTCTGCACGGGCAAAGCCCGAGCCTCAACGTGGCCCTGGCCCGTTACAGTGGGGAATTTGTAAATTTCCCTATGTAAGTAAAAATTCAGGTTAAAATCTCTTATAGCTGTTTAATCTAGTTATATTTTATAACAAATTAAATGTTTATTTCTCTATACTTTGATTATCCTTTTAGATACCTACTAACTTATATATTGTATGAATGGTAAAGGTTTGAAGTTCTCTATGTCCCGACCGGGTGAAAATTTTTGAGAGGAGATTTTGGTTAAAAGGCTGGGAATGGGCTATTAATAGGCTTTTGGTAGGCTTTATAGGTTTTTGATAGGCTCTTAGTGGGCTTTATAGGCTATTTATAGGTTTTATGGGCTTTCGGTGGGCTTTCGGTGGGCTTTATGGGCTTTTGATAGGCTTTTGATGGGCTTATGCTACTTAATTTATGATCTATCTAATTACTAACTAGCGAGTACTTTTGTTTAGTTAATATATGGATTTTTTTATTTGCCTTATATACTATTATAATAAATCTATCACTTTATAATGTATATCCCTTTCCCTTCTCTTTATCCCTTTACTTTTGATTTTTTTACTGATATTACAATGTCCCAAAGTCAACAGTCCGACTTTACATCATCTTTATATAGTAGAGACTTTGATAATTCAGTTTATCTTACTACCTCTCAGTGTCCTGCTACCCCATCTGGTAGTTAGCCTACGCTTAAGATCCCCGAAAGCTCTTTTCTTCGACCAGCAGTTCCTCTAGTCCCTCCTTCAATCTTTAAACGCACTAGACCCGATCGGCGAAAGTTATACCTACTATATGACCCTATAAGTCATAACGACTAGGTAGAATAGTGGTTACAAACCGATTATGGATCTAAGAGCAAGATCGGATAGGACTCAAATCACCTCTCTTCTATATGGAAACACTATGTTCAGGTTACCTATAGTATTGATAGTACTATAAAAGTTATGTGTAAGCATTACTTAACAATTCTTGAGCTCCCTTATACTATCAAAAAAGATATTCATAGGAAGGAGGGGCGTCATGGTACAACTACTATAATAAGACACCTTAAGACCTCTACTTGTTAAAAGGCATTAGGTCTTAATAAACAGAAAGGGAGAGATATCAAAATTTCTTCAACAAATGGTATATAAAGTCCTATTTTATTATTATATTATTAATTTTTCTATATTAAGGACACTTCACCTAACGAAATATTCACATAAGAAGATTAGGAGAATGATATTCTCTAGTTTATTACCCTTAACCGACTCCCATTCCATCTCGTCGAGCACCATACTTTTCGAAAATTGATATCCAGAGCCCGAGCTAGCCCAAGCGAGCCAAAGATACCCTCTACCGATACTTTTCGTCGACAATTAAGGAGCCAGGTCAGGGAACGACAACAATCTATCCTTAAAATACTTCCAGAAAATTCAAAAATATCAATTGCACTAGATTGTTAGACATCTCTATTTAGACAGGCATTTATAGCTATTACTGGCTATTTTATTAATATAGATTAGGTGTACCGAGAGGTGCTTCTTGATTTCAAACCTCTTTATAGCGCTCATACTAGCGCTAATATAAGTACCATGCTATTATAGACCCTTATTGATCATGATATCCAAGATCGAATTTTTAGATTAATAGCAGATAATACATTAAATAATAGAACACTAGTTGATTCTCTATAGCAGGCTCTACCTCCTGATGTTAATATCATCCGGACCCCTTATCTTATATATATGATCCAATTAAGCTTGAAACAGCTTCTTGATTATCTTAAAGCTACTCCACTTAATGACACCACTAAGACTAAGTGGACTAAGAGTCAATCTATATTAGCTAAGGCGAATACACAAACTAAGAATCGGGGAATCTCCTATACCTTAAACAAGGTCCGATATCTTATAGTCTTTATCCGGGCAAGTCTATAGCGCCGGGATATATTTTTAAAGCTCTAAAAACATAAGCTAGGACTTGTGGCAATTCAGGACGTACGAACTCGGTGGAATTTAACATATCTGATGCTTCGCCGGGCAAAAAGACTTCGTGACTATTTTAGGCCCTTTTATACAGATTATAGTTGTGATAATATGGTATTAAATAATAAAGAATAGCGTTAAATCGACTATCTTCTTTATATCACTAAGCCATTCTTTGATTATACACTTGCTCTTTCAAAGACTCGAGATGTAACTACACATCTTGTGTTCCGGATCTATAATACACTTTTTGAGCATTTAGAGAAGTCTATATCCCAGCTAAAGCGGAAGCGTGTTATGTGGAAACAGCAAATGCTCTCGTCCCTTAAAGCAGGCCGACAAAAGCTTAATGAATATTACTCGCAGACGGATGAAGTTCGGGGGCATATCTATACAATTGCTACTATGTTAGCTCCTAATAGCAGATTCTAATTCTTTCTATCAGACGATTAGGATAAAGAATGGCGTGATAAATATCGTATCTCATTCCGAGATGTATTAGTTCCTTACTAACAGTATCTTGCTAGTTCTTAACACCCTAAGGACTCCTCTATAGTAGACTGCGGCAACATCCTCAATATCCATGGATATCCACATATCCTCTCCGCAGATTGCGGATATAGTATATCACCCAATATCCGCAATCCTCAATTTTGTGGATATGGTATACCACCTAATATCCTCTGGATATTTGAGGATATCCAGTGGATATCAAACAGGCCAAACATGCCTAGCCTCACGACTCTTTTAAGTATGTATAATTTATGCAGTTTCCTACGTATTTTTAATGTAATCATAGTGTAATCATTAACTTTCAAGATTTCAATTTAGTAAATAAAATTCCGTTATCTCCATATAATATCAACTACCTTAAATCAATCTGAAATCCATCAGGTAACCTAGGCTGCTTTCGAATTCGTCCTGACCGTCCCAGCATGCTCTCATCTATTGGCATTTCTGGAAGGTCATCGTCATCTTCATCAAGAGATTCAGATAATCGTTTCTTTGATCGCTTACGCTGCACTTGCTTACTTTGATCATTATTCCTCTCATCATCTGAATCATCATTGCAGCTCCTCTTCTGTTGTGTGTCCTGTATGCTAGGCTCTTGATCCTCCTCTTCGTTGTCACTAATTGGCTCAAGAGTTTCAAGATGGAGCATTGGTTTCCGAGCTTGGTCTAATAACGCAGCTTCCCCAATAGAGAGATACTCCTTAATAACCTCTATCTCCTTCTGCTCAACGTCAAAATTAGTGGCGAATTGATGGAGCATTAATCCTCGGATGGTACTTGGTTTCAATTGACCGCGACGATAGTGGCAGATATCGCGAGCGCAATTAAATAATCGCTCAACGCCTGCACCACTAGCTGGGATCGAGAGAATATCCCGTGCTATCCTCGCAAGGATAGGAAACTCAAGCTCATGGTCTTTCCAGAATGCTCTTGGCTTCTGAATCTCAATCCCGCGGGCAAGATACCTCGCGATCTCATCATCTTCAGGCTTTGAGAGCTCATCCTGGGGCTGGTTTTGAGATGCACAAGCAGCATCTAGATCACCATATTCATCATCCGGGGCCTCTCTCGTGGTATCTTGTAAGACTGTATTATCTGAATCACGGTGAAGTATCTCTTTATATCGTTGAAACTCTCGCTTGAGAACTCCATGATAGTGATTAATATAGTCAATATCACCTTGCCAGTCTGACGATGCGAAATATCGAAGTTTCTTTGATGGGCAAAGGATTGTCGCGAGTGCATAGATATCGCCATATGATTCATAATCAGTCGCAGTGTAGTACTTTGAGAGCTTCCGCTTAGCAGTCTGAAGAGCCTGGAGCATATGCTTCTTCCAGACAACACCTTTATTCTTCAACTTACACTCAGCTTCATCTAGATGAGAGAAAAGCTTGTTATAAATACTATAGATGTTGTGTGTGGTAACATCCCTAGTCTTTGATAACATAGTGGTGAAGTCAAAGAAAGGCTTTGTGAGAAGAAGAAGATATTCAATCTGTCGCCACTCTTCTTGATCAAGTTTAAAGTGTAGATACTGATGATCTATACAATACTGGTCATAGAATGGTTGTAACCTTTTAGCACGATTGAGCATTATGAAGGTTGAGTTCCATCGGGTTTGGACATCCTGAATAGGAACCAAACGAGGCTCATTAGTTTGAAGAGCCATAAATGACTCCCGGCGTTGTGGGCTCGCATTAATAAAGACCGCAAGACCTCGGATCTTAGACTTTCTTATTAGAATAAACTCAGAAGCCTAAGGGAGATAGAGGACTGACCTTCTTTAAGGTATCTGCAATTTGCTGACTTGAGCCAGATTGTTTAGTCTGGAATGAATGTGTTCGCTCGTCAGGCCACTCTAGTTCAATCTCTTTATTAGGTGGCGTCACTTTCAGCTTCCCAAGAAGCTCATTTAAGCTTAATTGGATCACATGCGCAATACACGGAACTCGGAAGATTAAGGTATCTGGTTGGCTCTGCGACTGAATAGTCTCTTGGATGTTCATCACCAAGGTATTGTTGTTAGTTGCGTTATCTGTTGTCACAGATAAGACACGATTGGTGATTCCATGATTGTTCAAGAGCTGAGTAACGGTCTTACTTAGATTTTCACCAGTATGAGACCCATAAAGATGCTCAAATCCAAGAAGAACTTCACAATAATTCCAATCCTGATCAAGAAAGTAGCCTGTGATAGCCATGAAAGCTTGCTGAAATGGCGATGTCCAGCAATCAAGCGCTAGTGAAAGGCGACTCCCATCTGGAAGTCTTCCAAGAATCTCCTTCTGGTCATTTTTGACTGCAGAATCAAGATAACGTCGTATGCTTCGCGCGGATGGTATATCGATCTTGCTTTGAGCTTGTTGAATGACCTCTACTAGGTCCTTGAATTGGGTATGCTCCACGATTCGGAAGGGTAGGTGAGCCGCTGAGATAAAGTCTAGGATCGCTTTAACGAGACGCTCCTGGGAGAAAGGTTGGTGTTTTGGGATCGATGGCTTTAGGATAATTATCAAGATTAGCAAAAGAGATATTAAAAATCTTAATAATAGAGTAATATACCATCTTTCTTAGTAGCTGATCAACCCTCTGAGTAACTGGCTTCCGAGTACAGGTGCCTGCCTTAATATGTGCATTCATCGGTGATGACCCAGCACGGCGATATCTTAGATGAACAAGGGTACAGAGGCATGATATGCACATAACCTTTGGCTTGCCAGTCTTCTCATGTGCAACCTGATTGAAATTGTCCCAGACACTTGAAGTCTTTTTCCCATCCCAACGGATAGAGTCTTGTATATCAGGTGTTGATCCAGACTCTGTAGTTAACCACCAACTTATAAAGCGCTTACGAGATTCTTCCATCTCGCTACTAGGCTCAGAGGAATAGAGGACCCAATACTGCTGAAGAGGGAGGCCAACACGCGTAAGCGAGAGGGGTGCAATCGGAGATGAAATTTGAGACGTAGATGTCAATGGAGTTTGGCTGCTAATAAGCTCAGAGATATCATCTGAATAAAGAAGGTCGGTATTTAGACCTAGATCTGAATCAGCGCAGAAGGAGTAGTGGGATTGAGATGCTTGTGAGTAAGACATAGTGTACTTGATCACTATGTCAGAGAGAGAGAGAAACTTACATATAGAACGAGCTGAAAATATCAGAATTATGGCAAATATGCTGTAACTCGTAAGTTGCGGGTGCGTACTTGACATCTCTTACTTTTGATGGCGATGATTGGCTATTACTAATCACTGGTGTGGATATTTGAGGATAATTGAGGATATATTGTGGATATCCGCATGGATATCCTTGGATATCCTCAACCTTGCCGCCATATTCACCAAGTCCGCTGTCAACAACATTGGAGCTTCCGACCGGTAATCTTCGAGAGAATCTATTTAGAATCATTATATACTTGAAAGTTAGGCTTAGATCATTAATTTAAAGCTAAATTAACTAAATTTGACCGGGAAATGGCGAGTTTGGTCAAATATACTTAGTTCAGCTGAGAGATGCTATACTTCTTCCATGAGTAAATATATATTTCCATGGTAAAGTAAAGTGAAATAACAAAAAATCATGGTTTCCCCCTAATACACTTTGAAAATAAAGATTGATGCTATAAGTAATAATGAAGCTAATAAATATTGGTTAATACATAGGTATTACTTAATATTTCATTGGGAAATAGGATAAATAAGGGTAGTAGTATGGTCAGGACCAAACCTGTGTATCTTTTGTTCTGAAAAATAAATTAATAAGCTGTATAAGAGGCACATGACGACCCCTAAGTAGATAATCAAGCGAGAGTTATGCTAGTGCGGATATCCGCAGAATATCCTCATATCCTCGCGGATATCCATGGATATCCTCATATCCTCGCGGATATCCATGGATATCCTCATTGAGGATATGGTATGAAAGTAATATCCATTATCCTCAATTTGCGGATATGGTATTGAGCCTAATATCCAATGGAGAGGATATGCCGCAGTCTACTCTATAGGAGTAAGGCAAAATTCATTACTTTAAAACTTGCTTAGTGGCCAAAAGTCTAAAGCAAAGCTAGTTCGAGATAAAATCACTTAATATCTTAACAGTGGTATATATAAACTTCATTTAGTATAATGTTATTAATACTAATTATTTTAGATGTTACTGATTCTAGGCCTCTTTCCTTCTAGAGAGAGCACCAAGCCCGTTTCCTAGCAATCACTTTACTTGCACGAGATATTCTCTTAATTCTAGCTATAGGTGCTGGTGTGGAGAGACTATTTAACACTGCTCGTGATATCTGTCATTATCGCCGTGGTCGTATGAAGTCCGAAACAATCTAAGAGCTTATGATATATCTTTGTATATCCAAATTCGAGCTTGAGATTCAAGAGGCAAAAGAGCTTAAAAAGTTCTTCTCTTTAGATGAGATTAAAGCATTAAGGGAGGAGAAGGATAAGAGATCTAAGGATATTGAATCGGATAGTATTAGCGATACTGAAGAGCAAGCTATAGCAGATTCTAAGGATCTTATTGATGTGATTACTAATGATGATGTTAATGACGATGTTGATGATGATATTGATGATGATGTTGATGGTAATCATGTCTCTGCTAATACTCATACTATTGAGCTACCACTACCAGAGCTTGGTCCGCGGATACGTACTTCTGGGAGGAAGAGAAAGATCACTTTAGATGATGAATTTGAGACCTACTAGCAGATAGTGATATATAATAAATCAGAATGTTTTATATTTGGTTAATTACTGTTTTAATTTACGTGAAAACTAAAATTTGTAAATGAATTACCCAAGATTCGAGGCAAAAGATGCATAAATTATGAACTACAGGAAAATCAGTATGTTTGCACTGTTTGTTAATTGATGGGCCCCCATTGGGGGCCCACGATGGGCCGTGGGCCCAAAAAAAAAGCCCAAAGCCCATCGTGGGCTCAAGAATCGGGCCCAAGCCCAACCCATTCGTGGGTTGGGTTGGGTTGGGCTTTGGGCTTTGTGGGCTTTGCGGAAGCCTAATGGAGAGTGGTGTTGGCTGTAGTGCCAAGCCTTTCTTGTCCCCCATCAAAACATCTCCCATTTTTGATCACCCTTCACCCCACATATATATGCTCATATAGTCTAAAAATTGACCAAGATGAATAAAACACTCTATATTATAACCTCTGTAAATTTCAGATCTATCAAATGTCTGTAGCCTTCGGCAGTGGGGGTGCGCAGTTTACATGAAGTCAGGATACGACCCGCTTATCTTATCGCAGTGACCAAGTAGCTGCCTCAGGCCCCGGTCGCACCTCCAGATTCCCGCACCCCATCAAAACATCTCGAAAAACCTGGCATTTTCAATCACCATTTTCTTGACAACCAGGGGGCTGTGTAAGCTCCGATGCGAATGGGGGCAAATTCATATATGCCATTTTAACTTCCCAAATTTTCAGAGCGATCCGAGGCCTCTAGACCTTCGCAGTCTGGCGACGAAAAGTGAAATAGAGGCTAGATATGGGGAATTAGTGGTGGAATTGGTGGTGGAATTGGTGGTGGAATTAGTGGTGGGGGCGGGTGTGTTCTCATTACTATGGGGATTACTAAGTAATTAGAACGTAGCAATACCACTTAAAAAACATGGTACATCTGGCTGTCATGTGATGGCCTAATATAGTTTAGCGCTGGGTGCAAATTAACAGACCCTTGTACTATTAACTTGAAAGCTTGTGGAGCCAAATAATAATCAATCTTGGCTTTAACAGACAAACGGTTCATCCGTCTGGCAATATGACATACTGGTCTACTTGTCGTGTTTGGTAGCCCCGAACAAAAGCATCGAAGAAGTATTCGAAAAGCGTAAGAATATGGAGAGAAATTGATTCACCCACTCAGTTCCTATCTACACGAAGCGAGACGAATTGAATCGCCATGATCGGGAGCAGAGCACATCCAACAATAATTGCTACAAACACACCAGCAGCTCCACCCAGGCCCAGCGAGTTGAAAACGAGTGGGAAGTAAAATGGACCAATCTAATGAATGTCAAATCAGTAAGGTTGTCCAAAGATAGCGGTCGGTCTCAGGAGAATCTTACAAAGCCCCAAAATTGCCGACAAACATTGACAAAAATTCCAACCTGACTGGCCCGTTCTTGTTTGCTTTCCACAGCAAATGTCGTTAGAATAGTCGTCTGCATTTGGTTGCCAAAACTAGCAATGGCAGCTCCGACACAAGGAGTGACATTCCACGTCGTCGCATTCTGTAGTTGGAAGCCCCATATGAAAAGACCTGCGAAGATTGAGCAAAAGGCAATGTAGGCGAGCCACAGTCGGTCGGCTGGATATGCATTTCCCTTGGCTCTGCGAACCCGACCCAAAAACCAGTCACACATCGGTCCACTTATCTGCTCGCCGAGAACACAGCCGATCATGATGGCAATGAACTGAAGCCCAATTTGCTGAGCATCGAAGTCAAACTTCTCGCCAAATGCGGTAGGCATTTCAACAACAATTGCAATGTTGGCATAGCAAAAGGTGATAGCATGGGCACATGCTGCGATCAAGACGCGTGGGTTCTGGGCTAAAGAAAAGGGCATGATGATATCCTTGGTCTGTAGGGAATGAGATTTGATCATTCGCGGGACCATCTTACCCCAGAAGCCTGTGACCTTTCGCTCGTTATAGGGGTTGTAGATTGTCTCGTCGCCAATCGCAAAATACACCACAAATTGGCATAGGTTGACCATAGCATAGATCCAAAATATCCACTGCACACCAATATGCTTGACCACGAATCCCATGAAGAATGGACCTGCTGGCGTGCCGATCGTTGTCATCAGAGTCCACCAGCCGAGCTTTTTACCGCGATGCTCGGGTTCAGCAAGCTCTGTGATCACACCACTTCCATTGCCGATGGGCGGAGAGATGAAAATAGCGGTGAGGACTCGAGTGGCCATTTGCGCACCAAAGGAAGTGCATCGAGCACCACCAATATTGAAGACCATGCTTCCAATCACCGAAAGAAGGGAAACGTGGTATCGGCCGTAGACTGCGGTGAGGGGATTCCATATCAGGGGGGCTAAACCGAGAAGCAGAATCTAGATGGATAGATCTCAATAAGCAAGCGTGCTATAGCAAGACACGTAGACCGGTTATCAGCTCAATTATCTTATCATAGGGCTTACTTGGATGGATGTCAAATAACTGGCACTCTGTACCGAAACCCCATACATCTCCGCCATGGCATCGTAGGCAGGAACGATGCCTGCTGCCATGAATGTCCCCGTCATAGAGTGAAAAGCAACCATCATGATATGTGCATTCTTCTTCCAATGGGGCCAGTTGCGTGGATTGTATGGGGACTCGTTGTCCCATACTCTATCCCTTGGAAAGTGACCAGCTGTGGAAACCGTCTGAATTTGTTCAAGGGTCCAAACAGTTTCCATGTGCACTGAGTTCTCGGATTCAGACCTCTTGAGATGGTCGCTCGTCTTGGAGCTGTCCAAGTCGTTGCTTTTCGGAAAATCGTGCGCCATTTTGATGTATGGAGATAAGCTGATCGTGGCCAAAAGGAAATGATCATAAGTCAGAAGCTCGACAATCGCAAAAGATTTGCCCTAATGATCAATGGACGGCTTGAAGCTAATTTATTGCGATGTGATCACAAACATTTATCAGAGTGAAATTAGCACAGAACTAATCTAGCTTCCGGAGAACACAACGCCCTTAAATCTTGATGACAGGGTGGGGACTCAACTCCGGCACCCCATGGGGCCGTCGACGAGGTATGGTAGATGTGGGACTTGGATAGCAACCCTGCGCTGTATTTGTCCATCTTCTGTACAATGAAGACTAGTCATTGGAGCATTTGCCGACCAGGCACCATATTTGCCACGATTGATCGGATCGGATTTTGACCCGAAAAGGGGCCGGGTGAGGACCGGAACCATTCCGTAGAGCCCCGTGAGGGAACAAACATATGTTCGACGATTGGAGAGATTTGTTAGTACTAACACCGTTCAAGCCTCTGGTGGATATTGAAACAAACTCTCATTGACTCTGCCGTATCCGACCCCAGCTCCGACTTCAGTGTAGACTTTTCGGGAGATCGCTCGGCAGTTGTTGCGTACAGCCTGGTTGTGAGTGTTTTTGTGCGTGACATCATTTACAACAACTGATCGCTGAGCGATAGACGCTCGAGGTGATCGACGCGTATATCGATTCCTATTGGTTTATCCATATGGGACAAAAAGCAGGACAGAATTATGGTTTTAGCGATGCCCTTCGGACATTGAATTCCCAAGAGAATAGAAACTACGCAACGTGATGTTTTTTTTATTGTTGAAAAATGTAATGAAATCGAATTAAAGAGTCTGAAAGAACCCAAGGTAGTGTTCGAGCAGTTAGTGGTCGAGATTGAATTTGATTAGACATCTTTTTGGAAGAGTGATCCACTCTCTACTATATATAACACTGCCCCAAAAAGTTGCTCATCGCTTCAGTCGGCGATTCAAGTCACTCAAATCTACTCTACTGTATGATGCCTACATTCTAGAACGGTCGCGATAGTCAAAGTGAATTTGTAATAAAGACAACCAATTTAGGCTTCTTTGGCTCAAGAATGTCCGATCGGCTCCTTCTACAAATGAAAGCCGTCGCAACCTTGTGGATCATCCCCGTCAGCGTCTACAATTTATATTGCCAGCCCATCTTCCATTTAGCAGCACTACTGCACTCAAAGTGACGACGCTTTTCGGGTGTAGTGCCCGACTTCATGCGATAAAGCATGCTCTGCCTCCGAAGGAACACGGTTGAATCCCGATCGGGGTCTAGCAAGCGCCATCTTAACCAGATCTGGTAAAGACGACTCTACCAGCATTTACGACGAGCTTTTGTGAGGAGCCACCATCATTTACGACGGGCCTTCATGAGAATATATCCACGCAAGTGGTACTTTAGTTGACTTGGAATTACAACACGCATACACCTAACCCATTCCCCCGAAAGCAATCACATGAGCGCTGATTAGGATTAGAGTTTTCAGTGAAGGTATAGGACATGGTCAAAGAGGCACCACAGCCGGATGGCTCTGGGAGGTGTTTTTACACACACATCAAACCCACCTTCACAGTGAATCTGTCCGAACAGTGATATGCCAAATGTCGTTCAAAGCGCAGTGTCTGACAAATAATTGATGCTTAAGGACAGTCGACGTAGGGGACATAGAAAATTCGGCAGTTTCCTCGAAAAAGCTGCTTGTGCGCGATATGTTAGAAGACGATATCAGTGAGAAAATTAGACACATGCTCTGCTTAATTAAACTGAAAGCGACATCCAGGGTCAATGGCTTTTGCACGTGTTGCTCCGGCTTGGATAGAAAGAAGCGTGACTAGGCATTAAGTAAACCGAAATCGGTCCAAAGACACCACAAAATTTCCGAAAGTGCCCTTGATGCAGCGTCGTGTATGTCCGGTTGGTTCGCTTTCTGTAAAGTATAGAGGGTTTCTAGTGTTTACAGGATAGGGCCTGTCAACCAGGTAAGACGAAGATGGCTCCGGAACAGATGTATTATGCGAATAGTACAGAGACTGATTCCTGGAGAACTTCCAGGTTCCCAAGAATGGACTATTTATCATTGATAGGAGCGGGGTAGAGTGGCGGTCAAAGTACGCTCTGTGATCGACAGTGACACGCTGGCGATAACCCGTCTCTATGACAGGACTCTGAAGGTTCAGGATCCACTCCGTTACAATTATTGTGAAGGCATGCGCCCAGGCAACACACATCTACCAACTGGGCCAAAAAGACCACTATGTCAGCCGACGGCTGACATGCCTGGGACCGATACATATACTACTCAGTACGCACATTGAACCCGTGGATCAGCCACGCCATTACAATTACGTTGATTTTCCGGGCAGCAGACACAGAACCTACATAGCTCCTAGATGCGGCGCATATGCTCCCAAACACCGCGATAAGGTCCCCGGGAGCAAGAGGAACCCCAGGGTCAAGACATACATTCCCAGGGCTGATAGAGCTGGAAACAGGAACGTGACTGGTTTTATGAGAGTGGGAATAGAGAGTCTACAAATTACGTACGATTCATGAGTTTATATGATCTCTGGGCAGCTCGTATGTTTCTCAGGTTGGCTTTAAAGACTCTACGGCCACTAAGCTTGATACATACCTACGTAGAGCACATCGTCAACCACCCCACGTCTTTTACATCAAGTCACTCAGAATACCGCTCTAAGAACCACCAAGAACCGCCGGCTAGTCAAATCAAGTAACAAACATGCTTTGATTTTAACGAGGACAATCAATTAGTAATTTCTCTCTGTAACTCTATATCAAAGTTCATTCCTTTACTTAACCCTACCTATCGTAGCTCTCTAATTCTTTATACTCCACCTCCCTCTCTTATTCTTCGAAAACTATCGTAAAATATTACGATTTGTTTTCGTAAATCCGGTTAACTCTTTCCTTACACTCCTATTTTAGGAGGTCGATAGACCCCCTCTTTACCTGCCTTTTAGCTCCGTACGTACACTCTGCTAGTGTCCGCGTAAGGCGCTTACGGCAAAAGGCACGAGTGACATGATAACCGCTAAAACTCCGAAAGCCGCCTAGCTAACTGTAAGAAGATTACCAGGCCAGGGGTGATCAGCCTGTCAATCCGGTAAGATACGATGATGGATCGGTAATGAATAAGTGGAGGAGCGTCAACGATATAGTATTCTTGTACAGAGACTAATTCTTGTCCCCCAGATAGGGGCCAGGGAGTTATCCCCTTTTATGCCCCGTTTGGACGAAGCTCCCAGGGGCACATTATCTCTGTCGGTATCACTTATTGCGATTCAATCTTCGTTGGTGACACTACGTCCGAATCCTTTTCGTAGACGGAACATTCCCGTTACATGATCGGATCCATTACTCCTCGTCCTGCATAGCCTCGTTAAACCAACCAGGCAAAACCCTGATGGGAAAAGGCCAAAGGTTGGAAAGAGTGCTTGGCAGTCTTAGTGATCTGTCTCCCATTGTATGGTCCCAAAGACCATTACACTAACGGCTTTATACTATATAGTCTTATAGTATAGAACATTTCCCTTACTACCAAATAACTCAAATAATATCTAAAAGCCATAGACCTTACTAGTAGCATAACACCTTAAGGATAGAACGATCAAGCCGACGACGAGTTAAGTGCAGACGTATCTAAGTCGATACTTACGGTCTTCTCGTAGGTATCTTAGGTGGATCGTAAGGGCGATCCTAAAGATGGAAAATAGGGCTGAGATAAAGGTCACGATCACCATACCTACGACGACGTTATCTATATGGTTTTAGAATATGAATTTTAAAATAGATTCGCTTAAGGTGGCGAGGTCAGATTTTACGCGGTCTCGTAGGACGGCCGCAAAGCGTATAATGGCCGGACTAAGACCGACAAGAGCCAGCCAGGTGATAAAGGAAAAGGAAGGCAAGACGCATTCGAGTTGTGGCTGCGGAATTATTCAAAGGTATTGTGTCCGCAAGAAAGGATTTATCCGAATACAGGAAGGCGAGGCAGGTCTCGTTAAAGAGCAGTAGAATGATGAAGCAGGTCAATCTCCGGGCACCCTGAATATGTGCTATGGTCTCTTCATATAAATGCTGCCTTAACAAAGAATGGCCCAGCTGATAGTGAGCTGTGCTAGGTGCCTTTCTCATACTTTGATGCCTCAGTGGTAATTCTTAAAGACATTCTCTTAGTAAGAATGTTTCAGGTAGAAGTGTCAGAAAGATAGAGGATCTACATACGGATTCTGGGTATTTACCCATAATATCTTACGACATCAATATCAGACACCTCACAAATAAAGTGCATATTACTCTTTGTCAGCATGTCCTACAAAACTGCCAGTTTCATGGTTTTCAGTTAGTTAGAGAGTTTTATATTATCATTCTGGAACCCATACAGTATTGGTCACTGATTTCCGTCACAGACTATTATGCTCCATCAGACCCTGCTTTTGCCGACCGTGAATGAAGCTTGATATCCACTTACCAATCAAAGTACCTTAAATGACGTTATACCCTTAAAATATTGCAGTCTTCAAACCAGCGAATGTCTCAGCAACCGCAAAATTGTTTGTTGAACACCGTTGCCACTACAGAGTGCCCAAAGTTGGGAAAGGTTTTATAGCAGGCACTACAAATGTAATTTTCTACTTTCTCTAATTGTGTATTTGGTAGATGGGTTCCTAGGCATATTAATTCTTGACGTGGTTTGAACTTGATATTGCACTATTGCTATGGTCAACCGTATTTGCAGTTCTTATTGGCTTATGGATTATGCGGTTCGGGACTGGAATCGGGACCATCGGGATGGATCCCCGATGACAAAGCACTATATTTCCGATACCATCTCTGCCCGTCTATCCGAACGCCTTTATTTCCGAAGCTCTGCTATCAGGCCCCATGTGTTCTGCTAGTGATTTCAAAGTTATTGGCAAAGAATGTCAGCCCATCTAAGTATGTTAGCCACCGTACCAATTTTGCCTTGACCCACTGACTCAATCAGCATCCCGGAGGCGAACCTCCAAAGCTTGCGCAACCTGCAGGCTTCGAAAAACCCGCTGTGATGGAGAGCTACCCTGCAGCTTTTGTCGGTTGCGCGACATAAAATGTTCATATCGGAAAATCAATCGTGTTCGGAATCGCGTTTCATTGCACACCAAGTCTCCTTCAGGGTCTACATCAGAGTCAACCGCCGACCAAGACCCGAAGAACGAGACAGATCCAGCGGAGTCATCCGTTGCCGAAACTCTTCCAAGTGAGATAGTTCACCCAATTATCACTGCAGCCCAGACCGGGCTGCCCACAGAAGTATCTCAATTGTATTATGGCGCATGCTCTCATTTTTCAAGCCTTCAACAGATTCATCGAAGCGTCACCATTGATTCCGATCAGACGCAATTTTCTGCTGGCGCCGGAGATGATTGGCAGGCAGGACTAGATATATACGGTCACTGCGAGTTGTTCTTTGGATCTTCCCGAAATTCAAATGGAACGCGACTGCCTGGAGTTGACAGAGAGCTGGCTTTTCTGTCGTATGATTTAGCCCAGCGCTTCCTCCAATGCTATTTTCAAGGGATTCATCAAGTCTTTCCATTTTGGTCTGCGAAAGACCTTGAAGGAATGCTGGACGGTCTCTATGGAAGAATCCCCAATGTAAACCTTCAACAAACTGATCGCATCATCATTCTGACATCTTTGGCCATCGGCGCTACCTCAACTGAGCATTCCTATTGGGCTGAAGCATTGTACGAACGCTCCAAATCGGAGAGTGATCTCCGCAGTGACATTGTCAATATATCTACTGTTCAGATTCAATTGCTACTCATAAGTAATCCCTCCCGACCAATGTAAGGGTCTCTCGATGGTTTTTATGCTCATTCTATGATACAGTCACTATCAGATTGTCTGCGGTCGGCCAAATTTGTCTTATCTCCAACTAGGTTCGGCGGCACGCTTGGCTTTTGCGGCCGGTATGCATAGGGATATTGACTATCCATCCCATTCTATGCACCCAGGGTCAGCAGCTAAGCGCTGCGAAGAACGAAGAGTCACATTTTGGAGCATGGCCTTTTTTGAGCGGTATGATTTCTCGGTCACAAGTGGAGAGAAGATGAAACTTGCTTATCGGATTTTTCAGTTGGACGTCTTACTCTATGGGTCGGCCTAATGCAATCAGTGCGACTGACAGCTCATGCCCTCATCCTGAACGCCAGCCATTCATCTCGATACTAGCACAGCTATCTGAAATCATGCTGAAATCGAAGAACGATATATATGGCCAGCAACAGATATCTCTACCATCTTTGCGGAAGAGTGCTCAGAATATCTTCAGTGATCTGCAAGGGTTCACCGCGAAAGTGCAAAATCTTATGAATTTTGACTTGAATAGCACACCTTGCTTTCCAGGCGTTGATATCAAACATGTTTACTTGATTAATTGTAGGTCACAGCCACATCTCACCGTCCTCCTCTAATGCATTTAGTTTACAACCACACCGTTTTAACCACATTCAAGCCATTCTTAACGATCTATAGATCATGGCAGAAGAATCGACATGTGGAGGAAAATAGCTCTCAGCTAGCTTTCCAGTCGGACTCATGGCTTAGTTTAGCATGTCGTGTTACTGTTAAAGCCGCTGTTCGCCTTATAAGTTTTACGAAGAATGCTTCCCGCATCGACCCAGACGTGAGAGTAAGTAGAGTTGCAGCCCGAAATTAAATCCGAATGCTAACCCTTATTAAGACACAACGATACTTTTGCTGGTATATCGTCAATGCATGTTTCATACTACTTGAGGACATTCTCAGAGATTCAGAAAACACAAATGCACATCTACAGCTCATAGATCAAGCCATGGGATTCCTGTTGGCGTTGCCTCACGCTGACGTCGTCTCACGCATGATGTTGGTTATCTCTCGGCTGCGACACAAAGTTGTGGAGCAGTTAGAAATAACAGAGACAGGACCTCATATACCTCGTGAGGACTATTTGCAGCCTCAGTACAGCAGGCAACTTGGATTGCCTCCGCAGTCCACTCCAGTGGCAGCGTTTCAACCGGCAGTTGCGCCAATACTCGAGTCAGACATGATCGGACGATCCGACTTGGAAGACACAACTAACGGTCTGGCTGAAGAGAACAATGGTGGCTTCAATTTCGATGTGCTTGCTGCGGATTTTGGAAATTTGTTTGATTTTAGTACAATGGACATAAGCAGCATGGAGGATATCTTAAACACGGAGACGGATTGGCGCTACCGGAATCAGTTCAATTATGAATCAAGTGGCGTACATTCATGAACAATACGAAATCGATAACAATAATTTCATTGAAGCCAACCATAGAAAATTTTGAAATTTAATCATTTTTTATATTATCCAGTGATGCATAAAATTTGCCTCATCGGACATAATATTTCCGACGGTCCAGTACTACCATCGGCAATATCCACTAATCCCGAAGCCCAACCCGAAGTATTGAATCCCTTAGCCAGTAAAGAAACCGAAGGTGTCTTGGGTTTTTCCTCTTTTTTCGACAGAGATCAAGCTGAGAGATCAGTCAGTAGACATGTTTCATTACTTTGGAACGTGTCAGATGCAATATAGATGTTTACCTGGTGTAAACCGCGCAGTAAACAGGCATATTGTGAAAAGACAGTATACTTGATAGAAAGCTTTAGTTCCATAAGGTTGAATTTAGCGCCACCTATGTGACATTTGGTTGACAAAGCCGACGTATATCCGTTATCCACTAGGCAATCCCTTTTACCATCGGCCAGACACATCTACGCAGTTTATTTAAGAAAAGACGGATCGCACTCGGTATTGAAACATTAGTTCCCTCTGTTTAATGTGAATTTTCGCCGTTGAGTTAGTGGGTCCAGACTTTTTCCCTTATTCTATACATATTGTCCCCTTACCTAGAAGGAAAAGATAAAAATAAGCGATATGGGGGTGGAACAGAATCAGAATTCGTTACCCAATGGTAAGTACCTAATATAACTACCAGCAGATACTTTTTTGATCATTGGTACACAAAGAACAGGTGTTAACCAAAATGCAGAAAAAGATGAGGAACATGTTGACCCAGCATTGATGCCTCCATCACCTGAAGAAAGAAGCCATGCTTCAGCTGAAACCCTCGGTCCAGTCAACTCCTCCAAAACAGAGGAAGAGAACAATGCTGCCTTTGATCTGGCTGATTTCCTTCAAAAGGGCATTCTGGAGCGGCGCAGTACTACAGGAGGGCCATCAAAGAAGCTGGGGGTCTGCTTTCAGAATTTTACAGTCAAAGGAACCATGTCCTCTAATTCTAAAGTCAGAACTGTGCCCACTGCAGTTCTTGGAACATTTGGACCCGATCTGTACCATATCATCTCCAACATGATACCTGCCTTGAAGATCGGATCAGTTCCAACTCACGACCTAATACACAGCTTCACCGGGATCGTTAACGCTGGAGAGATGATGCTAGTTCTTGGACGACCAGGGGCAGGATGCTCAACGTTTCTGAAGTCGATAGCTAATGATCGAGAAAGTTATGCTGCGGTTGAGGGGGATGTGTACTACGGACAACTATCGGCAGAGCAACAAAGAAAGAACTACCGTGGTGAAGTGGTGTATAACGAAGAAGACGATCGTCACTTTCCAACCCTGACAGTCTCACAAACCCTGAAACTGGCACTACTCAACAAGACGAGGAAAAGGGATAGATGGAGCATACCGACTCTGCTTGCTTCATTTCTGGAAGTGCTCGGAATGCCACATGTGAAAGAGACAGTTGTTGGAAATGAATTTGTTCGAGGTAATTGATAGCCCCTTTCATGACCGCGCACGGGAAACTGACGAGAATCATGTACGGCAGGTGTTTCAGGAGGTGAGAGAAAACGAGTTAGTATTGCAGAGACCATGGCAACAAAGGCATCAGTGGTGTGCTGGGACAACTCAACCCGTGGCCTAGATGCCAATACTGCGCTGGAATTTGCGCGCGCCCTACGAACAATGACCGATATCAGTCATCGAACAACACTGGTGACTTTGTACCAAGCCGGAGAGTCTCTTTACGAGCTCATGGATAAGGTTCTACTCATTGAGGAAGGTCGGATGCTCTATCAAGGACCTGCTTCGGAAGCCAAGGTATACTTTGAAGATTTGGGATTCCTGTGCCACCCAAGACAGTGAGAACAAAGAACCCCCTCTATCAAGCCAGAATGCTAATCGGGTCATTTTATTATCCAGGACAACCGCAGACTTCTTGACATCAGTATGTGATGTTAGTGCTCGACAGTTTCAACCAGGTCGAGAGGAAACTACGCCGAAAACTGCCGCAGAATTAGAGGAAGCATTTCAGCTAAGCTCGCATTACAAAAAGGTTCTTGACGATGTTGAGACGTACAAAACGACGAAAGAAACACAAATGGAGCATCACCATCGATTTGAAAAAACCGTCCATTCCTGTAAGTTTGCGACTTCTGTTGCTATTCTCCGGTGTCTAACACACATGATAGCCAAAAGCAAGTCTGTTTCCAAGCAATCGGTGTGGACTGTTTCATTCCTAAAACAAGTCTTAACGTGCACTAAGCGTGAGGCATGGCTAGTCTGGGGAGACAAAGCATCACTTGTGACCAAAATTTTCACCATCGTGGCTAACAGTCTCATTGTCGGCTCCTTGTTCTACGGAAAACTTCCAGACACTAGCTCGGCCTTCACCAGAGGCAGTACTGCATTTTTCTCCATTGTATTTCTTGGCTGGCTACAAATGACTGAACTGATGCCTGCAGTCTCCGGTCGGCCAGTTATCAACCGTCATACACAGTATGCATTTTATCGACCTTCTGCAGTGGTCATTGCCAGGGTGCTTCTGGACCTGGTGCTTGTTTTACCAATGACGATTCTCTTTGGAATTGTTGTGTATTTCTTAGCCCAGCTAGATGTGGATGCGGGAAAATTTTTCATTTACTTGTTGTTTGTCTACACTGCCACCATCTGCCTGACAGCTCTCTACCGCATGTTTGCAGCGCTTTCGCCTACCATCGATGATGCAGTCAGATTTGGAGGTACCGGTAAGTTATTTCGACAGCTGTTTGTCTCAGTTCAGGACATTGGCTCACTCCTACAGCATTGAACATTTTGATCATCTACTCTGGTTATGTCGTGTCCAAGCCGGACCTCCTCAAGAATTCGATTTGGTTTGGCTGGCTATATTATCTCAATCCCGTTGCCTATGGATTTGAAGCTCTCTTGACAAACGAACTATCCAACCGTCAGATGGAGTGTTCACAATCCAATTTAGTGCCTCAGGGTCCTAATACGTCTCCAGAGTACCAAGGATGTAGCCTACCTGGATCTCATCTTGGCAGTACGGAAGTTTCAGGAGCTGATTATCTGGCTGCCTCATTGTCCTAGTATGTCTCCAGCTTCGATAATATTAGATCAAGTCTGACAGTGATTCAGCTACCGAAAACATTTATGGCCTTCATTTGGAGTCATCATCGCTTACACAGTTCTTTACATTCTTATCACCGCCATTGCAAGCGAAACCTTGAAGTTTCGTGGAAATGGAGGAGGGGCTCTGGTTTTCAAAAGCAAGCGCCAGGAAGACGTGCAACAGCCTTCTCTCGACGATGCAGACCTGGAAGCATCTGAAAAATCCCCAGAGTCTGCGAATTCGAAAACCGACCGCATCTTCAGTTTTGAAGATATTACATACGATGTTTCGTATGGTGATGGAACTCGAAGGCTCCTGAATGGAATCACCGGTTATGTGAAGCCTGGTAGCATGATAGCCCTGATGGGATCGTCGGGCGCAGGTAAGACCACTTTGCTTAACACTCTCTCCCAGAGACAAAAAACCGGCGTGATCAATGGTAAAATGCTGGTCAACGGATTGCCCTTGCCTTCTGATTTTAAGCGAATGGCTGGGTTCTGTGAACAAATGGACCTCCACGACGAATCATCGACAATCCTTGAGGCTTTCGAATTCTCAGCGCTCCTGCGCCAAGCAAGGGATATTCCTAAATCGGAAAAGCTGAGCTACGCTAGGAAAATCCTAGGTCTCTTGGAACTAGCTGGTATTCAGGATGCTCTTATTTCATCATTATCCGTTGAGCAGAAGAAGAGGGTCACTATCGGAGTTGAATTGGGTTTGTCCTTCCATCAGTCACTTATTTGATACATTATACTAATCGTCGACCTTTTGTAGCTGCGAAGCCGGATCTCCTGGTTTTCCTTGACGAGCCAACCAGCGGTCTCGACAGTCAAGCCGCTGCCTCAATTGTTCGATTCCTGAGGAAGCTTTGTAATGATGGGCAAGCGATTATCTGCACAATTCACCAGCCATCATCGCAGCTTCTAGAGCAGTTCGATGGGATTCTAGCGCTTGGCCCAGGAGGGAATACACTATATAACGGACCTGTGGGGCAGAATGGGTCAGTTGTGGTGCAATACTTCGCCAAGAGGGGCTTTTCCTGTCCCCCAGCAAAAAATGTTGCTGAATTCGTTCTCGAAACGGCAATGCAGCCCTCCATGTTGAATGGCAAATTGATCCACTGGGGCGAGGAATGGAAGGTTTCAGAAGAGGCCAGGCGCATTCGAAGGGAAATCGAAGCTTTCGGTGTCTCGCAACCTCAACAATCGACTCAAAAATCTACGTCCGAATATGCAATGCCTGTAGTCTATCAATCCTGGCTACTTACACGGCGACTATTCATTCAGTACTGGCGCGATCCATCATACTATTATAGCAGGATTTTCGTCAACGTGATTTTGGGAATCTTCAACGGTTTTGTAAGTTGAATCGTTGATATACCTAACCTACTGAATCCATCGCTGACCGTCTAGACATTCTGGCAACTGGGAACAAACGTTGCAAGCATGCAGAACCGTATGTTTACCGTCGCTCTAATTGCTCTGATTCCCCCTGTTATTGTCAACAGCGTGGTTCCAAAATTCTACCAGAATCGTGCATTATGGGAGACTCGAGAGCTGCCCAGTCGCATATATGGGTATGTGGCTTTCTGTACTGCCAATGTAGTTTGCGAAGTTCCGATTGCCATTATCTCTGGTACTATCTACTGGCTGCTTTGGTACTTCCCAGTCGGATTCTCGTCCTCTGTTTCAATTTCCGGCTATGTTTATCTCATGACTATTCTCTTCTCGTTATTCCAAGCCAGTTGGGGTCAATGGATTTGCGCGTTCGCTCCTTCATATACCGTTGTGTCAAATGTAGGTTGACAAATTGCTTTGCACTTCTTGAGAAAACAAGCTAACAACCCGAAGCTCCTTCCCTTTTTCTTCGTGATGGTGAATCTCTTCAATGGAGTCTTCGTTCCATACAATGATTTCCCGGTGTTTTGGAAATATTGGATGTACTACGTCAATCCCATTATGTGGTGGATTCGTGGAGTACTTTCCGCCGTCCTCCCTGGAAGTCCAGTTAGGTGTGCTGACTCGGAGCTTGCCAATTTCAACCCACCACCTGGAATGACCTGCGCAGAGTATGCCGGTAATTTTGTCTCTGAAATCGCAAATGCAGGATACCTTACCTCACCCGACGCCACCTTCGATTGTGGATATTGTCCATACAAAGATGGACAAGAATACATGAAGACGCTCAATGTCCGCGTGGGTGAAAAGTGGCAATGCTTTTGCATCTTCCTTGCTTTTGTAATCGTCAATTGGGCCCTGATTTACTTCTTCATATACACCGTGCGGATTCGTCGATGGAGCTTCGGAATGGGCCTCCTCTTCAGTGGTATCCAAGGCATTTCGAGGTTTATGAGTCGTGTGTTCACTAAAGCTGAAAAGAACGACAAGTCGGCGGTGTGAAGCGAAAGTAATAAATGATAGAAATCGCGTGTGGCTTTGAAAGGAAGAACGCTGTGGTTCAATTATTCGCTCATAAAAGGGTTCGAATGATTTGAGGATTTTGAGGAGATGTGGGAAATTCTCATGCAGATTAATATAGAATTCGTTTTTAAAATAACATTCATAATTATTAGTCTCATCCACTCCTACATCATATGTTTGGAAGGAACTGAGCGTTAGATCTCGCACGTCGGTGAAAGGGCCGCGTGACTAGTAAGTCTTTGGGCCTCTGGCACATACCGTAAACTTGAGTAGCTCCTCAGGAAACTCCAGCAAACCTAAATATCTGGCAATGTCAACTTGACAACGAGTTATTGTTGTAGTTCAGAGGTGTGAATCGATTACTCAGAGGAGGACATGAGGCTATATATATATCTACACATTGAAGGCGTCTACTTGCATCATGTATTTCTTCCACGCAAAAAAATCTGGAAGCTTCTTGATCTGCAACAGCCTCATATCGCAACAGTAATATATAGTGAAATGGGGATAGCTCAATGGCAGTCTGGCATAGCAGACAGGTCGATATCAATATCTAATACAAAAGGAAGAAGTACGCAACAAACACGCTATATAAGAAGAATAACGTGATCGCACTTCACTGAACAAGCCATGCTCCATGTTGAAGTGATCATGTCGGAGGCTGCGTGTCCGAATCATACGAGTCGATGCCTATGGCATACATCTATTGTCAATATATCGATGTCAGGTGATACTGTAAGCTATCGGGGCCCACTTAGTCGTCAAGAAGTCTGTGTAATATTACCCCTATTTTTGGGTGCTTTTGTACTAGGTTCTTACTTATTTCGGGTGCCCGGGGCATCAATACATCCGGTCTTAATGCAGTATTCGTAAGGAATGCCTGACACACCCCCTCAGCGGCGCCAGTACGGCACTGCGCTGCTGAATGCATTTCAGACCTTTGAATCTGCTTCTTCCCTAGACATCATCCTCCGGTCCTCCGATCCAATGCCTCCAGCCTGCGAGTCCTCCAGTCCAATGCTTCCGGCACAGTGCCTATCTATCGGATATCAGATGTCGAATGTCGATCATCCTGAGCAGTCAGATGAAGGCCTCATGCTGCTGCCTCGAGAGCAGCTTCATCAGTCCGTCAGCAAGCATCCTTGCTGTCGGCACCCAGCGGATTGCAATACGGCCTTCGTGAACATCCTGTCTCAGCCACAAATGGTGTATATCCACATGTCGGAGCTAAGTGTCAAATGGAGCGTCACGGCTAGTGAGCAGGTGGATCGCTCGCTCATGCAATTAATGGTGATAGCATGCTCTGGGTCGAATCTTTCATATCTGGGAAGCCTTCTGCACCATTGGATGTGCTTCCCGGCTTCGGACAAGCCTAGGAGCTCTGCTTCAGTGGTGGAGGTTGTCACCATCCGCTGTTTAGTGGCTTTGCAGTCTACAGGTCCTGCATAGACCTGGCAGATATGCCCTGCAGAGCTTTTTCGGTCAGGGTGATCGGCGTATGATGCGGCTTTTGCTGCGTCAGGTCGAGTTATCATGGGGGCATATCCTAATGATCCGACCTTTTGCTGATATAGGCGGTATCCTGGACATTTGCCGTAACATCAAACGGCTTCAAATAATCTACTGACATCGGAGATAAGACGATAGATCGGTCGGTGAGGTTATATCGGCTGGCGATGCTAATAATATAGCTATCCTGGCACAGCCATAGCTTCTTCACTTGCCGGTCTCTCAAAATGCGGATGTTTAGGAACCATTCTGCCTCTCCATGATCAGTCAATTCCCAACTCTTCTCAAGCTCTTTTTCTAGCTGACGTGATCTCTCTTCAGCAGTTCGATGACTCGCTATCAAGATATCATCCACATAGAAGATCACAATGATACCGTCTCCGATAAACACACACTGATCCTCTGGGGTCTGTTTTAGGTCGAGTTTCCTTAGGATACTTGCCGCTTCCTACTGCTACAGGCGCGGTGATATCCTAAGGCCATACATCGCTTTTCGGAGCCTCCAGCACTTGCCGGTAACTCAAAACCTTCGGGTATTCGGGTGTAAATTTCTTTTTGAAGCTTGCTATTCAGAAATGCTGTCGCGCAACACTGACCTGCAGAGTTAAAGGCCGGAGTCATGGTAGCGCCGAAGGCTAAACAGAACGCCCCTGGGATATGTCAATACTCCATACAATTAAATCCCGTGTGAATCAGAACAAACATACCGAGATGTCCAAAACAAACGCACGAGAAGGTGTTTCCAATAATAAACTCAAGGATACTGGAGAGAACCAGCAGCAATCCATCAAAAAGAATCAAGACTCCCCTGTATCTAGTCAGCAGGGCTCACGAATGGGCTCCGAGAAATCTTACGTGAATGCAGCGCCGCCTCCTCCAGCGCCCCTCTATGCCATCAAGCAACAACAAAGTGGTGAGGTTGCCAACACCAATGCTCCCAGTCCCCTGTGGTTAAAATATTAGCGCTAGATCTTCCAATATAGGAAATATTGTCAATCCATGCAGTGGAGTCGGATTGGCCAAATTCTTTGTAAGGGCTGACTGGTGGTGCATCATGGGGGTCAGGTATAGTCTCTCGAACTGCTCCGCAGACAGGGTCACAGAGGTCGGAACCTGCGTCAACCCAGGCATATTTCCATTCTCGAAGTGCTGAGTCTTGGAGCGGATGAGATGGTCTTCGGCGTCCGTTTAGTCGACTGTCATGATGATAGCTTGTATAGAAAATTTGGACAATTTTCGGGTGAAAGAGTAGACAAGCTCGAATTGGCGGCTTGTTCATTTCAGCGATCAGGGGTGTACCTTTATACATCTTTAGACATGGAGGGTGACGTCGTCGGATTTTCCGATCCAACCTCTTCGAATATCAAAACCACGTCGGAAGCTAGATACGCAATTTTTGGTGAACAGAAGCCCATCGGAAGCTGCATTGGGAGGGCTGTCGAGAGTATCCCTGTATTGCGGGGTAAATCCAGGGTCAACAGAGTTTACCCCATTGAATTTTCCATGGTCATAGCTTGTGTTGAATTCATGGATAGGAAGAGATATTCTATGATTAGCAAGCCCGCAATGAACGTATCCGCAATGAAATAACCTATGGGGTTTCTTGGCTTAAACTATGCCGGCAATGGTGACTAAACTGGGGCGAAGGTCCGGTTCTATCAGCCGGGATTGGGCGATCCCAAATATACTGTTACCTGTAGCAAACTCGCCAACTTTGATAGGCCGTAAGTCTAAGGCCCAACATGCATTGCCGATCATTGTTTTGTGTGTTTACAGTCGAGTCAACCAATAGACACTTCTATGGTTGCTCGAGGTATCTCGCGACGTTATAGAGTGAGAGCTTCAACGAAAAAAGGGTTCGATATTGACTGCTTCTCGCTTTGCGTTTGAAAGAGCGCAAAATCTTGCAATCGCACGGTTCGGCGGTCTTATTGGCTATCGACAGCGTCTTGCTCGACAATTTAATGGCCAGTTTCACTGTAGACCAAATCTCTGTTGAACAGTGGGACTTCATGTTCAGTCCTCATTTCGTGGAATAGGTTAGTCGTCATGACGTTAAAGTCCAGGCAATCTTCCGAATGCAGCCGATTCCGAACCAATTGTTTGGGGCGAAACACCCGCAGTTATCCGCATTCTGCCCCGGAAATCACATCATAATGTTGTAGATCCCTCCAGTCAAGTTTAGTTCTACCAGTTAGGAAAAAGGACTTTATAAAATATGCCGAGCCTCTTCCCGTAAGAGAGCTAAATGAACGGTCATCTTCTAAAGTTAGATTTCCTACACCAGCCTGCCATAGAGCCATATACCCTAAAGTGGCAGTACAGAATTGCGCAAAGCATTGGCATTGCGGCCGAGACAATACATCATGAAGAGTATTTTCGTATCACATTCTGCCAAAGAGCAAATCATCCCTTTTCGGTATTGATTAGCTTCTAAATATCAGCACTCATGGGCATCGTAATCAATTACCATATGCGTACTTGGTTACATCGCTGATATAGAAACAAGTGGTCTTCACCAAATTTACTTCGATACAAATGGGAATATCAAAATATAAAGCGTGTAATGTACGTGTATGAATGAGGCTTTCAATTTATTCATCAATAGTAGCTGAAGGATAAACGAAAAACGCAATTTAATATTTCCCCAGTATAACTTGCTTATTCCAGAAAAGAACAGCCTTCAATTCCTCGCCATCTTTGATTTCCTTGAACGGAGTCCCATAGTCCTTCACTGGATAGAATGACACAATCTCATCAAGAGGAAAGTTGGCATTTGCATGTTGCTCAATAAGATAAGGTAGCATCTAACCAACAGTTAGCTATGGGTATTTGGGAAGAGAGATGTTCTGCATATCTTTCCGGGAACGATGTGGCCTTCGCAACATCTAATGCACTGGCGCCCCATGACCAGATGAGCAAACAAATCTACCCCTGCACGCTTTCCAGGCGCGGGTGTACTTACAGTTGCTGCTTTTCCACGAGTTCCAAGGCAGTCCAAAACTTTTTCAACCACCTGGGGTATACCAGCACAGTCAACGGTGTAGTCCACACCATTTGACCCCGAGATCTTCTGAATCTGTGCAAAGACATCCTCATCCAAGCCAACAACAGCATGGCTAGCTCCTAATTTCTTAGCCAACTTCAATCGCCGAGATTGCAGATCGACTGCGATGATCAAGCTGGCCCCCCTAATATTCACCGCCATAACTGCACCCATGCCACTGAGCCAAGACCAAAGATCGCCACTGCCTTACCAGGCTGCACGTCCAGGGTGTTCAAGATAGCTCCGGCACCTGTCTGGACGCCGCAGCCAAGTGGAGCAAAGACAGCGAGTGGCGTCTCTGATGGAACCTTCACAACGGAATTGCCATTAAGAATGGCATGTCAAAGCAAATGGGCTCTGGCCGAAGAAATTCCCCTGAATATCAACGCCATCTGGTGTTGACAGTGACAGACTTCCGTCCATTCGCTTCTGTCCAAAGTTGCGCTGAGCCCATTCTTGGCAATAAGCCGGGTAATCAGATTTACATTCTAGCATGGCCACAGAAACCAAAACTCAGGAACACTTTGTCCTGCTTTTGGAGGTGCTTGACATTTTTCCCACATCCAAAATTACATCGTCGCCTTTCTGCAAGTCAGTGGATAATTCTTGAACTAGGATAGATCGTTCATAGCTTAGTGTCCGAATACAATTGGGAATGCCGCTGGCAGTGTTCCGTTCATGTCTTCCGAAACCACTTCCGATCTGATTCCTAATCCGAACATGCGCTGTCGATCACTGGTTAACCTTCCGATCACCACTCCCGCGCTAGCCCCGCGCTAGTGCCCCGCTAGACCCCAGATCAATTTCGCGATCCCCCGCCATTGGGGTTACTACAACCGAATCGTCCAAGACCAAAGCGTTTGGTGGAGCCAATTACGTATTTCGGAAATTCGGAATACGGCTACATTAACGATTATTGGTCCTTTTTCTGAGGCTGAGTCCTTGGCGATCATAATATGATTGATAGCAAAAGAAATTATTCGGCTAGGAAGTCGGTAGAAATCTAGACAGCTAGCGCCTTCCGTAATGAAAAATCATGAAATCAACACTTAAATTCACGTGGAGACCTACTCTTAACCTTGAACCTACTTTATCTTCGGGTGCCCTGTTTTCCATCATTATTACCGTGTTATCGTTCAACCATGTTTACTTCGATCCTTCCTGAGAGAGCGCCTGGCGCAACAGTCCCTCTTATCATTGGAAATAAAGACATCACAACCACAACTACATTTGACGTGAATAATCCTGGGAAAGGCTACGTTGAGCACAAATCTAGTGCTGCGCTTGTCGAAGATGCCAGACTTGCTATTGAATCAGCCGAAAAGGCCTTCCCAGCATGGTCTATCACAAAGCCCGCAGTTCGAAGAGACATCCTGTCTAAGACGGCCGACATTTTTCTGGCTCGAAAGGATGAATTTATTGGCTACATGGTTGAAGAGACTGGATCGCATCCAGAGTTTGCAGATTTTATTCTGATGCTTGGCGTGAACCTTTTGAAAGATGTTGCAGGCAAAGTATCGGGGATTGAAGCCACTTCTCCTGCGTTAGTCCAAGAAGGCACGGGCGCACTGGTTTACAAACAGCCCTATGGCGTTGTATTGGGAATCGCACCTTGGTATGTGAAACAGTCTGGGCAAAGTCGTTTGTCTAAACGTCGATAGGAACGCACCCTACATACTGGGTACTCGAGCTGTGGCACTTCCCCTTGCAGCTGGTAATAGCACAGTGCTCAAGGGTTCCGAACTCTCTCCTAAATGCTTCTGGGCAATTGGGGATGCATTTAGACAAGCCGGGCTTCCTGATGGTTGTCTCAATGTCATCTATTCGCGACCTACGGATGCCCCAGAAGTGACAACCGCCCTGATTGCTCATCCCGCAGTCAAGAAGTTGAGTTTCACTGGAAGTACTGCCACTGGGCGGAAGGTCGCCCATCTCGCAGCAGAATATATTAAGCCCGTGATCCTGGAGCTAGGAGGTAAGGCTCCTACAGTTGTTCTCGAAGATGCTGATTTAGAGAAGGCCGCTTTGGGTGCTACTCTCGGCTCATTCATACACGTAAGCGTAACTCGCATTCACCAAATGAGCTTCACTAATCCACTCTAGGCCGGTCAAGTTTGCATGTGCACAGAACGAATTATCGTTCATAGGTCTATCGCTGATAAGTTCCGCGAAGCCTTGAAAGCCTCGGTGAACAATGTTTTCGGCGGTCCTAGCACCCAGTTTGTAACTATCAACAGAGCTGCGATTTCCAAGAACAAAGACTTGGTTCGGGATGTTATTTCCAAGGGTGGCAAAGTCTTCATTGGAGATTTGGAAGCCCAAGCGGCCTCCGATACCTCGATGGGAGTGGTTATTGTTGAGGGTGTTACCACCGAGATGGACATTTACAGGACTGAATCATTCGGTCCAACAGTGTCGCTTTTCGTGGTCGACAGTGATGAAGAAGCAATCAAACTTGCTAATGATACAGAGTATGGTCTGAGTGCTTCAGTTTTCACTGAAAGCTTGGCCAGGGGATTGAAGGTTGCCAAACAGATCGACTCTGGGTATGTTCCCTTTTCGTGCATTTTCGGTTGGTTTTAATCAAGGTCGCAGGGCGGTACACATTAACTCTATGACTGTTCACGATGAAGCAGCACTTCCTCATGGTGGAGTAAAGAGTAGTGGATTCGGACGCTTTGGGACCAGCATGCTGGATGAGTTCTTATGGACTAAGTCTGTGACTTGGATGGAATAGGCGCATTTTCATCATTTAGGAGGTTTTTTTGTCACAACCATATATTTTATGAGGTCTTGGTTCTATATCCAATGTTCACAAACTGGGAAATTTTCAAATTCGTATTTACGAAGGTGTATAAGGGCCAAAGGCCGGATGCCTGATTTTGCAAGGTTGATGCCTTAAGATGCCCGAGGATGCCTAATTATAGACCGCTTTTTGACACCGCTCTATACACTGTATTGTAATTGAAGCTGTTACCATCTCTACATATGTAGCCATCGCCCTAACGCTATTCCCATCTCCATCCATCGGCGTCGTCGTCATCGCCGTGAAGCTATTCCCATCTCCCTGCGTGTAAAGTATAGGGGGGTTCTAGTGTTTACAGGATAGGGCCTGTCAACTAGGTAGGACGAAGATGGCTCCGGAACAGATGTATTATGTGAATAGTACAGAGACTGATTCTTGGAGAACCTCCAGATTCCCAAGAATGGACTATTCATCATTGATAGGAGCGGCGTAGAGTGGCGGTCAGAGTACGCTCTGTGATCGACAGTGACACGCTGGCGATAACCCGTCTCTTTGACAGGCCTCTGAAGATTCAGGATCCACTCCGTTACAATAGCAGTCCTCATTCTCGGGCAATCAATCATCTATCCATCCTCCAGAGATCTGCCAATTACACGATGTTTATCGAATAGGGGCTGATTACATTGCCCACGCTAGTGTGCCCTTAAGGCCCGTCTCTCCCTACCGTTCTGTCTGCGATGTCAGACCGCCATCGCGCTCTTCTCTCTTCACTGGGTATAATTAATACCAAATATATACTTAACTACCTAGGCGTAAATCTCATCCATAGATATATATATGCTCACACTAGTATTTAGTAAACCTTCTAGGTACAAACTTATAGTTTAATTGGATCTTCTTAGGGTGATTTTATGTAAAATCAACCGAACTGCACTTCTTACTATAGAAAACCAATAATTCTAAATATACAGGTTGGAGGATATGTAAAATACTGGCATTAATCAGAAACTTTATACGTGCCAAGTCTGTATTTGTGTATAGAATTGGGCTTTTGATGGGCTTCGATGGGCTTTAATGGGCCCCCATGAATGGAATATGGGCCGGGGGCTTGGGCCCATTTGTGGGCTTCTGAGAGGTCTAGACATGACCGCCAACCTAAAAGGTTATATATTGTCCCTCGTTTACTTAGGTATACATCATTCCAAGGTTATTGCGGAAGCAGATACATACCATAGAGACGTTCCAATGGTCGACTGAGTAGATGCCTAGGGTATCCACCTACGTGAGATAAGACTGTAGTCTCTAGCCTCTAGTCTTTAATTTCTATTTCTTTCTTTCTCTCTCTCTATCCAATGAACTTCGTTTCTTTCCGATTGAGCTACTTAATGCTTTGCCCCTGGAAGTCAGACCACCAGTTTTGGATGTGATTGCCTTTAAACAAGGTCTGTAGGTTAATTGCGGAAGGAAGAAATTTGTGGAGCTTTGGGTCCTTCCTTGACCACTTCTGCCTCTTCAACGTGGCTGACCTCACTTTGAATATTCTCTTTCTCGCTCGGGATTACTTCAGTGGTTGAATCACCGAAAAGCTCCGCTATCTCCTCCAGAGAACGTCCTTTTGTCTCGGGAAGAAGAATCCAATTCGTCACAATCGAGATCACAAGGATGACACAGAAAAGTAAATACCATTTCCATCCGAAACTGGCCATTGCGATTGGATTCAAGAACGAGAGCACGATGAGGGAGCCATAGATAACGCCCAATTCAATACTGAGACCCTTGGACCGCATTGAGTAAGGCAAGATCTCGGTTGGGTAAGACAGGATAAGAACCGAATAGGCGATGTCGTAGTGGAAATAGTAGATGAAGATGAAGGCGATTACCGCCATGCCGGCAGAATTGTTCTGCGAATTTTGATCGAAGAGGGCGGAACAAGCTGTCCAAATCACAAACGATACCAGCATTCCTATGCCTCCCCAATTCCAGAGAGCACGACGTCCGAGATAATCAACCAAAAATGCCGCCATAACACCAGCAAAGAAATTGAACAGTTGGAGGCATCCGTTGATCAGTGTTTGTGTTTTCGGGTCCTCAATCCCCACACTTTCCAGGACCAAGGGTAGATAGTATGAGACAACGGACGAACCACACCACTGGGAATAAATACCCAGAGATATTGTTATGAGAAGCCGCTTGCGCTTCCCAGGTGAGTCCACCATGCTACTCCAAGATGTTTTATGTTGTGCGTGTTCTGACGATATCCCTGTTGTGATCTCTTGCATCTCGAACTCAACGAGAGGATGGTTTGAGTCCCCACCGGCATGAAACCGGGCTAGGATCTCTCTCGCTTTTGTGATGTATCCATTGGCAATAAGCCATCTAGGTGACTCCGGAAGGAAGGGATACTGGGAAATTAATTAAGTTAGCGTTCGCATCGGTTGGTTGTATGGGGGTTTCACAAACCATAATCAGCTGGATAATTGAAAAGCCCGCTTGAGCAAGGGATGGTCCCCTCCATGCCCAGTCGGAACTTCCAAGGTTTTTCTCGGCTCCGTAGGTACACCAGGCAGCGACAACCGATCCAAGATAGAAGAACGTATAATACAACGACGTGTATTTGCCGCGATGGGTCGGGTAACAGAGTTCGCTGATGAGCATAGGTGATGGCTGGACAACTAAGATGGTTCCCATTCCTACCAAGACACGTGAAAAGATGAACATACCGAGATTGACAGCGCCTGTTTGAATAGCCGATGCAATGATCACTGTAATTACCCCGCAAAGTAGTGTTTTCTTGCGACCAAATCGATCAGAGATAAAACCAGCAAGTGGAAGTGCAAGGACGCTGCCTATGGATTGGGCTGCATTGACCACCCCCATGGTCTGCCCTTGTGGGGTTCTGAAATAGAATTTCCATGAGGGCAAGGCCTGGAGACCATTCATCAAAGATCCTTATAAAGTCAGTCATCAAAAGAAGCATTATCTGGGGTCAACGCGAAATTACCATCATAGCCACCAACGGCAGGAGACAGAAGAGGTACGAGCAAAATGAAGTTCAGGTGAAGTAAATGTGGTATGCGAAACCAAGATTTCTGATGTTTTGGAAGAACGCTTGCAAGAGCTTGTCCTACAATCTGTTCACTCCCCATTGTTTTATTCTGAACGTTCGTGTCTGAACGCTCGTGCTAGAATATCAAGGTGTTGATTTAAGGTGGACTCTGTAGGTTTTTGATTGCGTTATTTGTAAACAGAGGTGAGCTCGGCTATATAACTTTCTTGCTATGCCCGAAAATGAAGCCACTTCCGCTTTCAATACCGTATTATCTCATCGTAAATACAAAGAGAAAATGCATCCCCGAGAAGGAATAGTTTCTGCCTAACGTGGCCTAGGAACTTGCCACATTTAAATCGTAAAGACTACACTAGGATGGGGCGAACGACCAGATATGCAGCCAATAAGCTCTCGATGGAAGAGTTGATGCGACCTTATCATCGACTTCGGGCCAACGAATTTCTCCCGCCTTGATATTCCCCATAGCTTCCTAGTTTTTACCCCAGGGATTGTGGGGTCCCAATCATGTTCTAACCCGCCAAGTTTAAATTACCAGTCCAGCGTTCGGCTAAACATCGGAATTGAGCCTTTTATGATCATCCGGGCCCGGATCGGCATCGGATGTCCGCTTCCTAGGCTCGATTTCGGAACCGCAAACCAATCAACATCTCCTTTCACATGAAAGTGACGACAGGGTTAAGTGCTTGTGTAGTCTCAACCCTTTATATCGCATCATAACGAGCCCATTCAGCAAACCTAAGCCAGGGCACGTGGGTTCCCCATCGATTTCTTTTCAGTTGAGGAAAATAATCTTACCATCGTCAATTGAACTACTCCGTATCTGATACATACATTCGCACGTGAAGTACGCCATACTTTCAGCGCAACATTCTACAGAATGCCCTCCACCGGAGAGCTAAACGTCGTCTATCGAGATGAGACGAGGACAATTGATGACCGGGTTTCAGACCTTGTTAACCGCATGACGCTGGCTGAAAAGGCTGGCCAACTCTTCCAGAACATGCTCATTCCGGGGCCAGAGGGTTCACTTTCGCCAGAGTTTGCAGCGTTCGGCGTCGAGGATACCAAAGATCTTCTTGGCAAGAAGCTCATGACTCATTTCAACCTTCTCGGCCCTGTTAGCGATCCGTCAATGATCGCAAAGTGGCACAATGCGGTCCAGGAATATGCCTTGACGCAGACCCGCTTGGGAATACCAATCACATTCTCCACGGACCCCCGACATCATTTTACCGAAAATGTCGGAACTGGGTCACGGGCCGGCGCTATGAGTTTGTGGCCGGAAACCCTGGGTTTCGCCGCTCTTCGAGACCCCAAACTTGTGGAGGAATTTGCCGATATTGCTCGGCAAGAATACCTCGCACTTGGACTGCGAACATCTCTTCACCCACAGATCGACCTTTCAACTGAATACCGCTGGGCGAGGATCAATGCCACTTTTGGCGAGGATGCCGATCTATCAGGGGAGCTTGTCCAGGCTTACATTCGTGGCTTTCAAAATGGTCATGATGTGGGTCCTCAGAGTGTCTCTACTATGACAAAGCACTTCCCTGGTGGAGGTTCCCAAATGAATGGAGAAGACCCACATTTTAGCTATGGTCGCGAGCAATGCTACCCCGGAAAAAACCAAGAGTACCACCTGAAACCATTCAAAAAGGCAATCGAAGCCGGTACTCGCCAAATGATGCCTTACTACAGTATGCCGGTAGGCACCGAGTGGGAGGAAGTCGGATTCGCTTTCAACAAAGCAGTCATCACAGAACTTTTGCGAGAGAAGTTGGGCTTTGATGGAATCATCTGCACAGATTGGGGTCTCATCACTGACGCCAATCTCCTCGGCCAAGATATGCCAGCCCGAGCCTGGGGCTGTGAACACTTGTCCGAGCTGGATCGAACGAAGAAGATTATCGATGCGGGTTGCGACCAGTTTGGAGGAGAGTCTCGACCGGAATTGATCATCCAGCTAGTAGAAAATGGCTTGATTCCCGAAAGTCGAATTGATATTTCAGTTCGCCGAGTTTTACGAGAAAAGTTTGCACTTGGTCTCTTCGACAAGCCATTTATTGATGCCGAGAATGCTGCGAAGATCGTTGGAAGGCCTGAATGGAAAGCAAAAGGCGAGGATGCTCAGAGGAGGGCACATACTCTCCTGAAGAATGAACAAAATGCTCTGCCACTGCGGAGGGAACTAACCGAAGGCAAGAAGTTCTACGTGGAAGGTATCAATGAGGCTGCCGCCGAGGCAAGGGGGCTTAAACTAGCTTCACTCGAAGAGGCTGATATTGCCATCCTCCGCCTCCAATGCCCATACGAGCCGCGCACCGGTGGCTTTGAGGCTCATTTCCATGCCGGTTCACTCGAATTTTCCACTGAAGAGCGGGCTCGACAGTCGGCAATATTCTCCAAAGTCTCAATGAGTATTGTGGACGTGTATCTCGACCGTCCTGCCGTCATCCCCGATCTTGCCCGCCAGGTCACTGCATTGACAACGAGCTATGGAAGCAGTCAAGAAGCATTCCTGGATGTCATATTTGGTACCAATGGCGCTGCACCCGAAGGCAAGCTTCCTTTTGACCTTCCCTGCTCCATGCAAGCCGTACAGGAGAGCAAAGAAGACGTTCCTTTTGACACAAAAAGTGCACTGTATCAATTTGGATACGGCTTAAGCTACTCTAGTGTCTAGGACACCAAGAGGAGCTGGAGATTCCTAAATAGATCAGCCAATGATTAGCCCCCATAGATTGGATCAACTTGTGCTTGTGATATTTTTCAAAGTAATACTTCCTCTTATGCGGATATGCTATCCTGATCGAGAACACTTTTTGTATTCAATATCTGCAAGACAGAAATAGTCACTAATGACTTGGGTGAAGGCTACAAGAATAAGTTACAGCATCACACTTCCTGAAACGCTGCCAAAATTTTTATCGATTCCATCTCCCGCCCGGAGAAATGAACATTCTGGTCAGGGATGAACTCGCCAAAAATATCGACTGGAAACATCGACAAGGACCAACTGGAGAGGGTTTTTGGAACAAAGTCATGCTTTTGTCTTGCTTATTGCATGAAGAGTACAATATGTTAGATTAAATTTCCAATGATACTTGAGAAGCATATACGTCATTGTTCTAGGTCTGGTCTCTCTCTCTCTCTCTCTCTCTCTCTCAGGAATTCCTCTGCTGCTGCACACTCAATAGTTTTCATGTTTTGACATGTTTGTATTAGATCCATTATAGAAGTTCAGCCAATCACAATAGTTTGTTGGAGTTTGGCCGGTTTGACATGTTTGTGTCAGACCCTATCTGTTATCAAGATCCCAACCAATCAACGTCCGCTAAGTTCCGAACAGCAGTTCAGTGACGTGCTCAATGCAAACAGCCCTAAAGCTAGTATAATTGAAAGTGGTTCAGCGCTGGTACTTAAAATCCCGATTTCCCACCCTTGAACTTTTGATCATAAACAATACGTGTCAACATATTACGAAATGACTTTTAATCGCATTGCAGTCTATGGTCACCGGGGATGGGCTAGTTCCGAAATCGTCGGAGCACTTGCTAGCTCAGGTGCTCCCCTTCGGGTCCTCCATCGTCCTGGCTCCGACACCTCATCTTTACCCGCCAATGTTGAGGTCGTTGAAGTTGACTTGATGGATCAGACATCATTGGTCGAGAAACTCAAGGATATCGATATCGTCATGTGAGTCGGTGGCCCCAGGGATAGGAACATAGAACAATGATATATCACGTATATGATATATGATGTATGAAAACTTACTAATTCATTTTTCCCTCCAGTTGCCTTGTTGGACATGGCGGCGTCCCCCTTGAGCATCACTTCGTTGAGGCAATCCCGAAAACACAAGTCAAACTATTCGTTCCCTCTGATCTAGCGGCCAGATACGACGCACAAGGCAACAGTATCCCTGTGAATCGGCATAAGTCCGAGGTTGAGAAGGCAGCTCGTGAAGCTGGAATCCCTACTACGGTCGTTCTTCCCGGAAATTTTGCAGAGTTCGCTTTGACCACACCGTAAGTACTTCGCTTATATTTGAGATAGCTATTCCATTGACCATGGGGTTGAATCTTCCAGGGCAATGGGCGTCGACTATCAAGACAACAGAATTCAATTCATCGGTGACAGTGCTTCGGAGCCCCTGAATCTTTGGTAGGTCTACCAACACGCAATCTGGTTTCCAGAATTCTTTTTTTTTCTAACTAATCAATAGCACCCGCCCTTATGTGGCAGCAGCTTACGCACGTATCTTCGCTTCAACGCCTATCAGTCAGCTACAAGGTCGAGACTTAGCATTGTCTGAACTGAGACCTACTGGTAATGAGATCGCCGAAGCCTTTGCACGTAAGTTTAATGCGGCTCCCATCACAAAGCATGAAAGCAAAGAGCACATTGTTCAAGCATTGAATGAGGCAATTGAAACGAGCAACCCATTTGCCCTCGCACTATACTGCCGAAAGATATGGGCAACTGGAGAGCAGGCGAAAATGATTGGTGAAGATATCTGGGACGTTGAAGATTATTCCAAGGCGACCCTGTCTAGCCTGATCGTTGAAGGCAACCTCAAGCCATACCGATCGCTGCCTGAGGAAGTGAGAGCTTATTTCACGGGTCTATTCGACCAATGTGAATGAAGAGTGTCATTTAAGTCAAATCCAGACCGAGACTGAAACGGCACGAGTCACATAAATTGATGTAAAATAAAAATACATAGATTCCCTCTCCCATAAACAATTCACAACTTTTATATAGGTAACCTGACAGGGACACCATAATGAAACATTACTGAAAAAGCCCGAAGCTGAGGTCTTCCAACAAAGTCATATTTACAGCAATACAGTATTTTGAAATAGGCAGCTCCCGTATGATCACGCCATGCGAAGGTACATAACGGCCAAAGGCCAAATACCTGATTTCATAGCATTAGTACCTAAAGATGCCTAGGGATGCGTTATTTCAGACCGCTGTTCGACACCGCTCTATACACTATATTATAAATAAAGCTATTCCCATCTCCAGCCATCGCCACCTACACCCGCAATTGAAACAATACTAGTACGCAAGCAAGGTCGGTCGCAGACACAGGAGGTAACTACTTCGCCACGTTAAGGCCAGCGGAGGAGGACCCGGAGGTGAATAGTTGTGCGATGGAAATAGCCTCATAGCCAGGTCGGGGGAGGGGGTCCATGATGTTTTAGATAGTGCGAATAGCTTCATTTTCATTCAATTGCGACACTTGAAAACCTATAAGAATGCTGCCCTCTCATTAGTCGAGCTGAAATAGAGCAAAAATAGAGAATTGGATGGGAATAGCTTCAACGACAGGTCTTGGAGTGTATGTATATATATGGTGGGAACAGCCTCATTCTATTGAACTTTTAAGACTCAGGCAATTTAGATACTTTGCTTGATCAGGCGCGTGTCAAAGTAATTCGAGTATTTTGATTTTCTGCCAGATTTAAATAAGGGCATTACCAGGTATCTTCAGGCACCAATACTGACAATTCAGGCATTTGGCCTTTGGCCGTTATACACCTTCGCACACGCCATCTGTAGAACACCAAGTATACCAGAGATATATGACCAATATATTCTCACAAACACAAGCTGTTACCATTATTGGCGTCGTATGCATTGACCAGTATATGTTTAGGGTACCGTGTTTTTAGTTTATATTTCTCTTTGTGTTTTTCCTTAACTTTAGAATTTCAGTCTATATTCACTCTCTATTTCGAGATTCGGCTCTTGATATAATTCTAAACTTTATCCTGTCCGACCGACCCATTCGTGAAATGAACCAGCTAGAATACTTATGATTTTGCAGGTCACCGGAGTTTGAAATGTTGGAATCTGACAACGAATTTTTAACCAGAAACTTAGCGGGAGAAATCCAGAGACCTCTCGATGATCAATTTAAGGGCTTCCGCACGCCAATTGTCATTTTCCACGAAACTCGTGATATTTCCATCAAGCACCATGTTCTGGGGAGTCTTCAAGTTGTATGTGGGCCAATCAGTTTGGAACGATTTTACTTCAATATAAAAATATCAGTATCAAAACTTTGAGCAATAGATAAGTGATTCCACAAAAGTACCTTGGTGGTGATTAGGAGAGTGTGTCGCGGCGAAGCTCATCCACATCCGGCTCATCAGATCGCCTAACTGCTTGTAGCTCTCTTCCCGTGTAGCGGGCTGGACATCAAAAGCGTTCGAAGGCATGCCTTGCCCTAGCACATTGTTGAAGACAAATGCAACATCCTCGAAGTGAGTGGCACCAAGATAGAGAGGATCGGTGTCGGCCGGAATTGTGTTAAACCGGTAGCTATAGCAAGGGAGGCCGAGTTGAGCCCAAATTTCGCAAGTGTAACGCCGTCCAGCAATGAACATAACGTCTCCAGTATATCTGGCAGTTCGTAGGAATTGAGCTCCGTAAGTCGCAGAGAGCGGGAGGGTATCATCCGATTGACCGCTGGTAGAGTTAGAACCTGGTTCAGGGTACGCTTCAAGTAAATCTTGAACGGTTTCATTGTTGGTAGTGCGGATGTATGGCTGCTGTTCGATGTATCCAGCCAGTTCTTCGGTAGTGTTGACGCCTTTGCCGGCGAAAACCTTGCCCTCATCGGTATTGGTACCAATTAATAAAGGCACCTTCACAAAACGGCCTTTGGAGATAGCGACGGAAGTGTATTCGGGAACAAGAGTTCCGTCGATCACCGGAAGAAAAGAGAGACTAGAAAATGCAGAGTTCAAAATATCGAAAGGCGCAGCGCGAAGACATTGCAATGTGTCGTGGGCATCTGTGCAGTTGGATGCCTTCAGGACAGAGCGATACGTTTTTTCAGACTGGGCATCGGACGTAAAGCTACCAAAGTAGTATGGCCCACCACTCTGGCAAATGGCTGCATTGAAAAGACCATCATCCCGTCCTCCATTGGCTAACAAGTGGAAGCCTACAGAGGCAGCACCGGCAGATTCTCCTTGGATGGTGACTCGGCGACGATCTCCTCCAAAGGCTTCAATATTGTCCTGGATCCATTGGAGAGCAAGTCTTTGGTCTTGAATACCCAGGTTAAGGAGGCCATGATTGCGAACTTCATTTCCGGCCAAGAAGCCCCATCCCTGGAGACGATAGTTCATAGTCACCACAATAGATGGCTGACCGATCCGAACAGAGGCTTCAACCAGAGCAGACGCATTGTATCTAGCATCGCCAGAGCCTCCTTCTTGGAAACCACCGCCGTAGATATAGGCTAACACGGGAAGACGCGCGTTGCGTTTGATCCCTGCTGGTCGAACAGCATTGATTGTTAGGCAGTCCTCGCTTTGAGGGTACCTAGTGGCCAGATCTGCCGGATCCATTGGCAACCCTAGTAGATAATTGATGCAATGGGCGCCATATACAGTCGCATTCAGAGGAGCGCTCCAGGTTTCATTTACGGGCTGAGGAGCCTCAAATCGAAGATCTCCAATTGGGGCTTGCGCGAAAGGAATTCCCAAAAACAGGTCTTGATTGTAGGAAGCGACATGTTTTCCGATTACCGTTCCGTTCTGGATACGAACGGTTGGTGAAGCAGATTGATGTTGAACACTAGCCAGTCCCCCAACAGAGAATGAGAGGACGGCCGCAGCCCTGAGTAGAAACTGCATGGTTTTCAAAATGAAATATCGCGATGGTTCGGAATCTCCAAACCAGGGGGGCCGGCCATGTTTTTTAATATAGAGCTCGGCGGAACTTCGCGGGTTTTGTTAGCATTGGTAAGTGCAAATCACGGATTTCTGAAATGCCAAGGTGCCAATGAAGGCTCTTATGGCCGCAGTCATCGGAAGCTGTGACCGGCAATTATGATAAGTCTTTGGAAATTGTGCGAGGAATATTTCGGAGCACCCTGAGAACAGTTAAGACTGCAAACAATAGTGCAATGTGGATATTGCAAACTGTGGATATTGCAAACTGTGGATATTGCAAACTGTGGATATTGCAAACTGTGGATATTGCAAACTGTGGATATTGCAAACTGTGGATACTGCAAACTGTGGATACTGCAAACTGTCAACAATCATGTACCTAGGAAGAGATATGTGCATGCCTATCTATTTACATGTATAATTTCGAGTTTTATGGAAACACCCAAATAAACTGGGTAATGAATCAAACACAGCAAAATATAGATATTCAAGAAATGGTTCTGCCCATAAAATAGTTAGAGAAATTAAACTGACCAAGAAACCAATCAGGGCTGTTTGCGCTGAAGAAGCCCTCGTTAAATGACAATATCCCCGTACAGACTGTCAGTCCCTTTCGTTAACATAAACATGGCTGAATTTTGATATTGGTATAGTGACAAGTTTGTGGAGATCATACAATAGAATATGAATGTAGATGAAATATTATATTGTGGACGGAGGAGAGAAGGAGAAAGAGAGAGAGAGCGAGAGATATCTATCTATCTACTCTATGGGAGACTATCCCAATGTGGGATGTCACCTGACATCCCCAACACAAGTTGAATACGGATCGACATGGTACTCACATTTTTGAAGATGATAAGCTGTAAAGACGAGCAACCATTGATGGAGAACTGAGGGAGAGGAATTTATGAAATGATATTGATTGTGATGGTTGATGATGGGGGATAGAAGAGAAGGAAAGGAGGGAAGGAAGAAGCTATCTATCTTGAGATATGGGGTTCACGTGCCCTAAACAGCCATCCTAACTCTATACTTACTCTTTCTTAAGCTCGATACCTCTATGACTGTCAACATGAGTTCTCCTCGGTACTTTACTTTATGTGCCAAGTTTTCAATTCTCCAGCGCATTTGGAAAACAGGGGGCAACTGGGCAATAGATACCACAGATTCCTAAATCAAAGCCGTGTGTAAATAATTAAAGCCTGATATAAATGTGTCACAGAGTGACCTGAACCTTGGCAATCCCCTAAAGTGAAGCCTATATGTACCCAGTGTGTTCCTGTCGACACGTCGACGTAACCTGGCCGCCTGTCGACGAGAGAGGATGTGAGAATGAAACCGCCGCTTACCTCTGTGAAGAATACGCTCTGTCCGTCATCTAGTACCCACCTCGTGAACACTTCAATATCTGCCCTTCAATAAGAACAACCTTCCAGCAGATATCGAATGCTAGTTTCAGATCCCTTGACCAATTTCCCCTCGAACTTGTGGTTGATCTACTGTGCCACTGGGATATGCATTCCCTGTTCAAATTTCGGCAAAAAAACCACTAGATCAAGAGAGGTCGTAAACTCTCCCGATCGCTATTAAAATATGCGGTATCACATGGTCTGAAGATTTTCTATGCTTTTTCGCGGACACGGCTTGGCGCCGACATTCCTTTACTTGACTTTCACAAGGTATTATCTGCTAAGGCACACGGCATCTGTGGTGACTTTAGAGGGATCATATCCGTCTTTATTTGGAGAAGATCTTGTTTTGAATGCCCCAGAAGTCTGCGAAAAACCAAATGCGGACTCTCACCTCGATCCAAAGGGACCTCAGGATCAATGAAGCAGTAATAGATCAATTCCTCAACTGACAATAGAATCAACCCCCTGCGGGAAGTTGTTTGATATTGTTTCTTTCCTGAGTAGTCGGCTCGTCACTCATGTTTCAAACAAGCTCTGCTACATCTGCTGCTGCCTTGGTCTACTATTTGCCAATGAAAAAAGTATCTGGGTGTCGGCAGAATCATTTTCACTAATTTTTTACTAGTTTTGTCACGGATACATTTAGAAGTACGCCATATCATCAATCTGAATCCCCAACTACGGCATTGGCCTTGAGTTTCTTCAAACAAGCATTTCAAATGGCGGTGGACCACCTTAGGGATGTGCCCAAGCCTTTTAGTCAGATTTGCCCTCGCTCACCTTCTTAGCGACGTTGGCCTTGGTAAGCAACTTATCATCTTTTTGGGTTTCGCTCATCACGGCCCTGAACTCCTCCAGACAAGCATGTTCCAGATTCAAGAGACCAACCTTGGGAGTCCAACCAAGTTCCTTAGCCAGATCGGCCTGTGACCTCGAGCTATTGATTCACTTGTCAATTTCAGGTAAACTTTTAATAGTTGAGTAGTCAAGCAACTTACTTTGAAGCGAATCCCAACTCGGTGAACATCAAGTTACCCCCAACCCATTTCTCAGCAGCCTGTTCAAGTGACAACTTCTCGACCTCTTCAGTTGGCAAGGCGCCTAGCTTGAGGCCAGCCTTCGCGACGGCCTTGGATACTTCCATCCAGGTGTGCTCGCCTGTCTCGGTAAAGTAGATACCCTTCTTTCCGTGGGGAACATCTTCATCACTTAAGATCTTCGAGATAAGGAATTCATAGAAGTCCGACAAATTATCGATGTGGATATCGCTCCAGATGGAGGCGCCCTCGCCAATAACTTGCGCGTGTTTGGCTTCGACTGCCGCGCGCATGAAGAATGGGACTTGGATGGACAGCTTGTTGAAGTGACCAGTGCCTACACCAAAGATGGTCGGGGACATCAGGGTGTAAGTCTTGACATCCGCCTGGAGACCGGTGTCAACGACCAACATATCTGTGCTCCGTTGAGGGAAAGGCCCCTCCTCCTCCCGCTTCTTCAGGTACGAATATGTGTCATCCTTGTCGGAGTGTTTGCGATTATCAAGGTACGTAGATGACAACGGGAGATCCGCGATGCTACCTGTGCCAGAGGTCTGAGAACATGATGTTAGCTTTTTGTGGTTTCTTTAGAGGGTACCTTCGGAGACACGCACGTGGATGAAGTGCACAGCTTGCGTGGTCTGCTTCTTGCGTGCAGCAAGACCTAGAATCATGGCTTTAGCCGAAGCTGGGTGGAAGGTTGACGCGGTGTTTATCACCACTAAAGGGGAGGAATCAAAATGTTAGATTTTCGTTGTATTCTCTCATTGGAACGTATATCTCACTGTCATGCTCGCTAGCCAATTGTTGGAGCAGCTCGGTATCTTCGAGGCCGCTAAAAACGATGGCATTGACGCCATGCTCACGGAGTAAAGCAGCTTGACTCTCTTGTCTCACGACGGCAGTGACTTTGATGCGCTTGATAATGGGAAGCTCAGACTGCAGCAGCTGGGTTAATATAGATCCACCACTGTGCATCAATCCAACATTAGCATTCTCTTTCCACTGAGAACATGAAGGGTGGCGTTCGTTCAAACTCACATGTAACCTGTGGCTCCGGTCAGGAGAAGTTTGATATCCGCCATGCTGTCAAATAACAAGCTTTAGATTGTTTAGTTGAAATCCTCTGATGTAGAGTCTAAATATGTAGAAAATTCAAGCGCGGTGAAGTCCGAAAGAGCAAGATCGAGAAGCCTTGGTCATTTTAAACAATTTAGGTAAAATCAATTGATATAGTCTTCCCGACTGTCGGATACATTCTGGATGACAAATATGCCTTCATAGTGGGGACAGCCAACGTTGCGCCTGCGATCCAAGGAGTACTTCCTCGGTGACAAACCATTCGACTTAATAATGGTGATGATCCGGTACCCACAATGATGTTTTAGTCTCCCCTAAACGCCCTACCGTACTCGGTTGGTCTGTCCCACCAGATGGAATTGTATTTTTCGTATGTAATTACCATCCGAAATATCAAGCTGTTGTATATTTTCCATCTGGTGTCCAGGTAGGACAGATTGATCGTTCAGGTGATACGGATAGTGGGATAGTGAACGAGACTAAAACTGAAGAGTGGGTTCATTATAACTCTTATAAGCTAGCTTATTCTCGCCGGCCGTAACACCTTATCTCCGGTGAAAATTGGCCAACTACTTTCTTTCGGAATACCTGTTCGAAAGTTTGAAAAATATATGGCCGAGTACTCAGATCAAGTCCAAACCATGTAAACCATATAAAGTAATGGGAAATCCTAAATTCACCTTGTCAGTATGGAATAAGGAGTATAATAGTAAGATTAACTTTTTTTCCCAAAATTCAGCCAGAAATGGCGGTATTGGAAACGCAGAGTTCTTGGAGCCTTTGGGTTCCGGGGCCATATAGCCGTCTGACTAAACTTCAGGGTTGGCCAAAAAGGTGTGGGCTAGCATCAAATGCCCCTCTTTTTTGAGACACCTAAATCTCGGGACTTCGGGAGCTTACCTTGCTTGACAAATGCAAATGAATACTTTCGACCAATGGGATATGAGGAGAACTCTATCTTCTATTTCTCATAGTTCTCAGCTATCTATATATGCGGTATAAACCACAGCTAGTAAGTAGCAAGCTTCCCGACAAGGTCCGATAGAGCAAACCATGTAAACTATGGTGGAGCATGGCACATTTTCCCGAGTTCGCCGTCATACCTGAATCACCTTGATCACGTAACCATTGCAACCAGCCCCAGAGATTATTTCCACTTTGTAATGTCTGGTGACGACCGTCTGGCAAGAAAGGTGATGAGGACCCCACATGTATGATGCCTCAGGCTTCAACACTCTGTAGACTTCTTAGCTAGCTTTGGGGAAATTTCCTCTCTTCTTCTCCCAGTCCCTCCCGATACACACAAATTTATCGTATTGTTTTGTATTGCTTCTCTTTCCTTATCAAAAAGCCCTGCATGATTTCCACTACAGTTTGCGAACAGATGGGCCTGTTGCCACGCGCTACCCTGCACATATAAACGACGTGTCAGGACCCAAGTACTAAGCAGGTCTGACGATCTGTATCTCGCAGTCTATGTGAGACTGCGAGATGGCCAGTTCGCAGGTGCAAACTGGACCCAGGGCTGAGCCCCGCAATGCGAGGGTTCATGACCTCACATGACCCCACATTTGTATATAAACAGTTCAGGGCCTGGAGTCTTGGAATCCAGCGATTAGTTCAGCATTGAACTTGTCTACTGCTTTCTCCATTCTATTGCCCGAATCCACCTAAGTCCCAAGACCCTCGTAACGGGGTCTTACACCACGTCTTGCTCGCTTTTTTCGCTGTCGTTCATCTGAATGGTGACCGACCAGTGCTATTCTACGGGGATAAGGACCTAGTAAAGCGGCATTTTTCTACCCGCGAGGCTTTTATAGGTCATTTTGAGAGGTTGCCACGAGCCGACGGGCTTGTGGGAAAATCCGATTCCCGCGCCCGGTCCTATGTGGATTAGGTTAAGGAGTGGGATTTCGGAACACCTCCAGTAGCCAGGCGGGGCCCCGTCACGTACTTTAGCCTGATTCCTGCCATTGCGTTGTAGAATTTGAGTGGATTGGTTATCTTTATTGGGTGGAATGTTCAAGTAGTGGAGTATCTGGGACACAAGGCGAGGATTGTTGCCGTGATGCGTAGGATATTATGGTTGAACAAAAGTTGGTTACATAATCCGAGATGTCGTTGAGTCCTCGAGCAATTGCTATACATGGAGCATAGGTATGATACAACCCGGCTAAACCATTTGTTCCTATGCATTAAGCGTGAAGGCTAATTTGCTGCTCCTCGGAAAGTGCTCTTGAGCAAGATTCCAACTGGGATTCTTGGTATCCAGCCTATTACGCCCGGTTGTCAGTCAGTGTCGATACAACCTCAACTAAACTATGTTGGAGCAATCACGAGCAGTATGGTCACACCACTCGGTCTAATTACTGTTGAAGGGAAAGAAGCCTCTCCTGGGTCTAGAAAAGTCGATATATAGATAATTCTTCCAGAAAGTCTCCTTAGCGAACCTTTTGAGTAAGAAGAAGGTTTGGACGTGAGTCCTTAATATAACCTGGTGTTAAGCTCATGAAAAACAGTATCAATAGTAGGATATGATTGTTTAGCCTACAAACCTACCAAATGCTATGGTACAAATGGGATAAAACTACCCCGGTCATATTTACCCATGCAACACCAGCGCGCATAAAAGATGACAACGGTGTCCTGTGGTGTAATCACTATCAGCGATATGATAAAGATGATTAGGATTCTGGCTATCTGTAATTGTATGGGCCACAATGATATCACTTTTACCTCACTTGGCCTCGCGCTATGCCGTACGAGGCGATCCGGTAAATGAGAGGAGTAAGGAGAGTATGAACTCCTATAATTGACTGATTGCTTTGATGACTTCCCGTAAAATTTCACCGTAAGTTGGACTTTGTTATTGGGACTTGCCGCTGGGTTTATATGATCGTAGTCATGGGTGGTTGTAGAAGGTCTGCTTCAGGCCAGAGCTACTCATCATCTCCTAGTAGAGACCGCTCTTCATCTCTCGCTGCCATTTAATTCCTTTCTCGGCCCTCTCCTTAAGTTTTCGTCTTGAGTCAATGGTTTGTCTGTAGTTTGTTTCTGCTTGTCCTTAGTCGTCTACATAGAGGAGTCTTAAAAGGACTCCAGTAGATATACTCCGGTATTAAAGGCATTAAGACAGAGGAAGAGAGATATAGGTAAAACCACTGGTATTAAATACTAAAAAACTAAGAAGTTACTATTAATGATCTGCTAGATACTCTAGGTTAATAAGGCTAGCTAGATAGCTCTCTTACTCTCTCTTTCTTTGATCTCTCATCTTATTTCCCTCTCTCCTTGCTACTTATTCTTATAGCGTTTCCTGGCCTCCTATCTTGTCATTAGAGACTAAGAAGGAAAAATCAGGGACCATTTTTTCATAACTCAAAAGGCCCTGCGAGGTTTTCCACAAAGGAATATATGGCCTTTGTAACGTGGAGAGATCTTTTCGGTGGTGGTTTAGAGTAGATAGCAATTGATATCAATAATTATAGTACATCATTTACTCTGGAGTCTCTTTAGCCCAACACCTAAGCAGTAAAGAAAACATAGAAACATTTGAGCTCAGAAAGCGTATTTGAAAGGAACAAAATGCGGATCGGTCATTCGGTGAGTTTGTCAGAGTTTTCTATTACACCAAGTCATTTGGAATTTTTCAAGCGTGGATCTTTCCATAGAAAGAGTCAACAGGGCTCACTCCGATGGCAACTCCAAGAGAGGTTTCGAACTGGAGTCTCCACCACTCGACAAGGTCACGATTTTCCATGAAGGTAGAGAACTGGCTGAGGGCAGTGTAGGGCTCATCCCATACGCTACCAGACTTTGAAACCAAGCCTTTCCGAGAGAGGAAACTGCCATTGTCGATGAATTGTTGTTGGTACTCGTCGCTGAGCAACCAGCTCATGAATAGTCGGGAGCTTTCTGGGCGGGGCGTGGTGGCGAAGATCGCAGCAGTCTGAGGCCAAAGAAGACGAGTATCTTCCACAGCCTTGTTGGCGATATTTTCGGCGGTAATCAAGTTAGTAGTGAAGGAAAGAACACGAGAGGAGTTCTTATCGGCCACGTAGTTTGCGGGCTCGCCTGTTCCACGAACCCACTTCACATTTTGCTTCTGTAGACCTTCAAACCATTCCCAGCCATACTTCTCAATAAGGGTCGAGAACAAGTAAGTAATCGCATCGTCGTCGTTGGGCTGGGTAAGAACGAGCTTGTCCTTCCAGAAAGGGTCCAAGAATCCTTTATAGGTTTCAGGAACGTCAGAAGCCTTCAGTGATTCGTTGTTGTAAACGAAGCTACCAAATTGATCTTATTTGTGAAGCTCGTTAGCAATCACGTTTGATTGTCGCTGGACATGGAAGTATTTCTCACAGATGTACGTGCCAGTGAAAGCGCCCGCGGGGTCCTTGATCGATGAATAGACGTCTTCCCACTTAGAAGGCTTGTAGGGAAGAAGGCGTCCTTCGCGCTTCCATCGGCCATAGTCATGGAGGGTTTGAAGAACAGCAATGTCAGCACCATCGGTGCCATCACGCTGGAATTGTCGATTAACCCGACTATCGTGGTATTTCGACACATCTACGGTCAAGTTGAGCTTCACGTCGGGGAACCGAGCCTGCCACGCAGCAATGGTGGGATCTCCCTGGCTAACAGCTTAATATCAAAAGCACCATGGTCAGCATAAATCACAGGCAATGAACAAAAATTGGAAACAGGATCCATACCGTCTCCACCCCAGAGAACGATCAGTTCACCAGATTCATTCTTTGCTGCAGCATAAATCTCATCAAGTGTACGGTTTTCCATAGCCAGATCGTGACCGGGATAACTATTCAACTTTGGAAGAATCGCAGCTGAGCCCAGGCCAATGAGACCTAGGCTGGCAACGAATGTGCTCAACGGTGACATGACTAATGATCAAAAACTTTACAGACTGAATGAGATGAGCGATGAGAAATGAGTTTCTAATAATTATATATACTCTCCTATTCTCAAGGGGAAGGGGTCACGGAAGAGTTCCGTTATATTGTCAAGCGGTCATTATTAATCAAGCTGAGCTCCTTCAGGGCACCTGGGGACAGGGGAATCATGACAAATCACCTGGGCAAGGTTATATGCCCAGGTGCCTTGGGAAAATATAGCATGAAACATGCCCAGCAAACAAAGTTCTTTGTCAAAAATTTGTCAGGCTTACTTGTATTTATGGATATTCTGCAATTATGGTCATTGAAACCTGCACCGTTGGAGTTCCGAGGTCGGGAAGAAACCCAAGTGGGTCAATTGATATCAGATGTGGATGGATCGCTTGGTAATCTGCTTGATTTTTGAGTGCTGTACTTTCTATTTCACGACCATCATATAGATAGTGTCTCTTGGCATTTGAGACAAGAGTTGCAAGTCAATATATTCGTCTCAGATACTCAATGCCGATCATTTCATAGGTCCCGTATAGGATTTTTATGTCTCAGTACACGGAAACTAAGGTTTTCATTGATTGGTCATTCAGTCGCACCCCCGCCCCTGACACGCGATATAGCTGCGTGGGCATGGATTTGTGTCTCTAAATATCTTAGAACGTAATGGTATGATAACTATTTGCCATTATGCCAATCAATGCTAACCGTCTAAGGTTGGAAGTAGGTGGAGAAAGAGAGAGACAGAGAGAGAGCTAACCAGTATCTAGGTACGCTAGGAACTAAGGTGCAGTAAAAAAGAGGCTATCTAGGTATTCAACAGTATAGACTTTCCATAGATTGCGAGATATGATTATTAATGAAGCCATATGCATCCGATGCAGGTTCCGTTCGGAAGCTCCCTGGTGGAGCTCCTTTTCCCGCCTTCCTGATAACGTGGATCCCTGTTACTCCGGCTACCCGGTTACTCCGGCCACTTTCTTAGAACTTCAAAAAATCATAATTTGAAAATCATATTCAATACCAAAAATAAACATCAATTGACTATCTAAAACGCGTAGGACATGTAGTATATGTATGCCCTTGAGTTCCACACCCAGAGCACGTCACAACACGCCTAATTAGGGGCATAGGGGGAAGTGTAGGTTCAACTGCAACTACCACAGCAGTATCCATCAGATATATATCTTCCATTGCATCTTCATTTTCCACATCCACACCCTGTCGAATTTTCTCCAAACTCCGCAGGCTGCCTATATAGGGTATCTGCTTCTTACTAGCAGCCCTCTTTTTAACAACCTTCTTATTTGAAGCCTCTAATTTCGTTAGGCGGTCTTCCACAATAGTAAGCCGAACTACGGTCCGAATATACATATCATACGATCGATAAATTCGCCGTTTTAAAGGTGAAGTCATAGGTCCCGACAAAGGTTCTAGTCCTTTTTTGATCGTAGAACTTGTTTTTTAAACTTTTAAGAGACCCTAGAGAGTATCCAAATCGCTAGTACTACTAGAAGAAGTAGGCCGTAGTAGGTGGTTAGAAGGGAGAGAGTTTATAGATTTAACACAAATGTTAAGCTTCTCTAATACATGATTAGTATCTAGAGGTACTAGACTAGCACCTCTAAAACTATTTTATATAGTAGAAGCTTTAAACGTAGCCCTTCTTACGATAAGGTAAATTTAAAGGAAGTCGTCTTTATCAATTAAATTCACCCCGTTCCGCATTTCTTCCCTAATCAACCCTCTATATGCCTTTTTTAGTATAGAAAAACAGCCTATATCAAGAGGCTGTAGTAAATAAGACGTATAGGCAGGCATATAGAGGTAGATTATCTTATTCTCCTTATATAATTTATCAAATTATAGAGTAAGATAAGAGGAATGACCATTAAGAATTAATAATATATAGGCCCCTTTTCGCGTAGAATTAGGTATAAAGTGCTTCTATAGCTAATTGAGACCAATCTAGTCACTAGTCTAACCATTTGGACTAAGATTAATAGCCTAATTTAGAGGTAAAGGGAACCAGCGTTCTAAAAAGATCTTGCCCTTAAAGATTAGGTACGGCGGGAGATGTAAGAAGATTACCAGGTCAGGGGTGATCAGCCTGTCAGTCCGGTAAGATACGATGATGGATCGGTAATGAATAGGTGGAGGAGCGTCAACGATATAGTATTCTTGTACAGAGACTAATTCTTGTCCCCCAGATAGGGGCCAGGGAGTTATCCCCTTTTATGCCCCGTTTGGACGAAGCTCCCAGGGGCACATTATCTCTGTCGGTATCACTTATTGCGATTCAATCTTCGTTGGTGACACTACGTCCGAATCCTTTTTGTAGACGGAACATTCCCGTTACATGATCGGATCCATTACTCCTCGTCCTGCATAGCCTCGTTAAACCAACCAGGCAAAACCCTGATGGGAAAAGGCCAAAGGTTGGAAAGAGTGCTTGGCAGTCTTAGTGATCTGTCTCCCATTGTATGGTCCCAAAGACCATTACAGGAGAATACCACCTTTAGCGTTAATAGTCTTAACCATAGTAACCCATTCACGATTTCCTACTTATAGAACCTTTCGTTTACCATAGTATTCCGCAGAACATATGATATATTATAAAGAGGTAACACCCATCGCGAATCCCGTCTTATCAAAGTTCTAGATATCAGCCGGAATAATACCATATTTTTGGATAGTATTTTGGACGAGATCAAACCACCCTTTTATAAGTTTAGGGTCTTTAGATAGAGCTCTCTCATAGTCATATCGACGAGAGAGATAGGAGGTAAGAGAATCATAGCGTTTGATAAAGTCTGTAACCCAATTTTTACTAACTTTTAGAGGGGTCTCGGAGGGGGTTAATTCACGGGCACGAAGTAGTAAATTAGCCATATCCCGACACATAGCATGTGTGAGGGCAAACCCTCTAGAGTCCATAGAGAGCAGCCATTCTTCCATCGATTTCTCTTTAGGTTCAGAGAATTTGTGGCGATGATGGCGGCGTACAACCTGACTTTCATGGCCCTTCATCCGATCTTGTAACGTTGATCGCGGCACAGTAAAAGCTTCGGTAGCAGCTCTAATAGAGGTGTATTTCCCATTTTCTATAGCTTTCATAGCTAACAGAAGGCGGCCCTCCTGTTCAACCAATTTTTGAGCTTTTTGAGATCGAATTGGGGGCATTGTTGATGTTCAAAAACATACGTTGCTATGGGATCCATTTTATTTTGCGGGTGGCCGGAGTAACCGGGTGGCCGGAGTAGCAGGGATCCACGTTACCCACATCTCTTTGATTAGATAAGAGTTTTAAGGTTATAACTATAGCATGTGGCTGATTCACAGTCAAATCTAGTCTTGGCAGCCACATATAGAAGATAATTATACCGTGGTCCGAATTAATAGCTAATTGATCGCAAGCGATCCCTGTTCAATTGTGCAGGAATATTGGATCCTGAGGATAACTTTGGTCCTCAGACAGGTAGACAGCAAGTCAGGAAAATTTAGAAGTTCTTAGGTAGGGCCGAGAGTGTTACGAGCCAAGTCTTGATGAAAAAGAGTGCATTCAACTAGAATACTAAACATGGGGAAAGAAAGAAAGAAAGAAAGAAGAAGAAAGAAACAACACGCTGAAACAATTAAGGTAGTGATGCCTGAGGCCTCCAATCAAACAATGTAAAACACGAACTACGAAAGGCGGTGGAACACGGCAGAATCGGTTCAGGATCATTGATCCTGAATTCTTCGTGACAGAGAGTGACAATTAGAAAGTGTTACTTGATGATCGTGTCGTCAGGAACATTTCGTATCAACCGAAGTGTTCACTGAGGCATCAGAGGACAGACCAATCATGGAAAATGAAATCTTCGGGTGAACCTTCCTTTTCTCTCCCAAGGTTTTAAAACATGACATATCCCGGATGGCTCTATTATTCATTGTCGCAACTACAAAAATTGATGGGGTGTGTTGAATACCTCCAAGGTTGATTTATGCATGATGAATGTATTCTCCGACATGGACCCTGAAAAGCCGGTCGTCGACCCAACAATTCTATTCTAGACTCACCGAGTATACATAACCTTGGAATGCAGAAGGATGAAATTCGAAGATTTTAGCCCTACCGGCGTTCTGATCGCTAAATTTAGATATCCAGGGCGCTCGCGCGCTTCATCTAGAACCATAGGGACCTCAGGAGTCTAATATAAATTTACAATCCCTAAATCCACAAGTTGGTCTCTAAAGCCTAGCTCAGTGACGTCATCCAGTCGTTTGTTGAACCGCGAGATGCCGCTAGGGACCAACCGAATTAATTCGTCGAGGAAGTGGGCGCGATATGTTACGAGCCAATTCTTAATGATGAAAGAGTGCATTTGAACGAGAATTCTGGACATGGGGAAGGAAGAAGGGGAGACAGAAGGAAGAGAGAAGATACACCATATGGGTGCAAACACTATCACATAACCATTCCTCTATCCGATCTCCAGATCGTAACATCCGATAGACTCCGGTCTGACTAGTGCTGTTTGAAATAGTAAAAGCAATGTCCTAGTAGCTAGAATTCTTAGCCGAGGTCGATATGCCTATGCTATACCCATTAAGATAGTCGGTCCAGACATTCTGCTTAGACGACCATATATTCCGCGTACAGACCTTCTCGAAGGCCTCGAAGATGCCTTAGTGGCAGGTTCTTATAGCTGCGACGGTATTAGGTCCGAAGGACACGCCGGCGCTTACCTCGCCAAAGGCAGGTACTTGCTTATAGAGTGTCATAGGGATATTACGGTAATGAAGAGTAATTGCTAAAGTCACGCCTGCAATACCACCGCCAACCATAGCGACGTGGAAATTCTTCCTAGGTGCAGCTATTAGGTCGAGCTATTGTATTAAGGTTAGTGCAGAACAATTAGAATCGACAGAAGACAGAGACGGTGGAAAGGTATGTCTATCACCCACACTAATTTTCTTTACCGAGACATCCGAAATTACATTCCCCGATCCGAAAATGTGGAAAGTATAGTGAAAGTTCAGATTTAGCGCAGCAGTATCGGATTCACGGCTATCTCTCACGAATTATGTCAAATAACCGTCTTGGTGGGGTTAGCACGCCTATAGAGAGAGAGAGGCGAAGTATGGAGATCCCCGTGGGGCAACTCGCCTCAATCTTCCGATCGCCTTCAGAACCCCTCCATTCATCGGGAAGGAAAAAATAAACACTTAATGGAAGCCTTTTCCCTTTCCACAACGGCCAGCCTTTCGGGCTAAGAGGAAATCCTTTGTTGCGCTATCCATGTAATTACTAAGCAATACAGATCACCTGTGCTATAGTTGATACACTTCCAAGGTTGGAATCGAGATGTATTGTGTGAGATGGGGAGAGAGAGTGTCAACTACAGCTAGTATGTGGCCAATCAGGATGCTTGTCGAACTCTGGTCTGTTATTCCCCTATTTCCGGCAATTTATACTAGGGGTAATATTACATGCTTAATAATAATGCAAATCAACCAAACATTAGTGGGACCAATAATATTGGCCTCGACAGAGAGTCTGTGCCTGAGGCATCAAACCATGTGATCCTCGACACCAGGCTATTACGAATTACCAATTACTGACTGGCATTCAATCCCTCATGTCCTTACACCTTCGCAGCCATTCAGAGATGAGACAACTCTAAACAACTTAAAAAAAGGAGCAACGAAAAAAGCACGGTCGAAGATCCACCCGACTGGAGTTCTCTTAAAAGCCCAACCAACTCGTGGACTTTGGGCCCAACCTTCATTACCCATGTTCAGACTCTGTTTCTAGCCCCTATATTGAGGTAATATTTTCTTATTTTAATTGATATATAATTAGCAATTAATTATGTAGCTAAATATATATATTACGTTCAAAGATATAAGAAAACGTGTTGGTTGGGTACCTAGGTACTTGAGTAATTTTAAATTCTAAAGGTCCCCTCAGAAAGTGGTGGCACTCTTTCCAAACTCCTAGATATATATCGAACATCAAAACATTAATATTGACCTCTAAATTTTTTCGCGATATCTCGATCTCTAGTAGTCGAATTTTATTCAAAATTGAGACACGTATTTGAATAGCTATTTTCATTCTATATTTTTAATTTAAGCTGTATAAATTTAGCAGAAGGTCAGAATACAGCGATTACGGGACGCCGGTTTGTAAGCGCCAACCTTGAAAGACCCGTAGACCCCTTGAATAGCCCAGTGGGCCGTGATGGGCCCTGATTTATGGGCTTTGAGAGCTCTACACCCAATCCTTCTCATAATTCATCATGGCATAGCTGTTGATAATATGTACATTCAAAGCTGAAGAGCCGGCCATCCCTCAGCGGCGGGTAGTAGGAAGTTAGGCATGAGTAAGTAATCTCCGATTTCAGCGGACTCTCCATTCATCATTGTTTCCAAATTTAAATCAAGAGTGATATCACCACCGAGCATGGATTGAGGGGGTGCTTGGTCAACGGTAATTGTAGAATTGACATCCGTTTGTGTGGCAGCCGCAGGTGTGTCACGGTCTTTCGAACGCGCCGTGATATTGCGATCGGAGCATAGAAAATCGAAAATATGCATTGCCCAGTTACCAGGGTCCCATGACTCTCGAATTTGGTTCAGCACAGTTCGACAATTATCTAGGTGGGCGCGAGACATTTGGGACATCGTTGGGTGCGCATTTTGTGATTGCCGGTATAGCACTGTCCCTGCCACGAAGAATGCGGGATACAGTTCATGGGGAACATCGCAGACTTCAACCTTGGAGACAAGGTTGATAGCATGGGAGGCAATCATTATTGCACTGGACTCGATGACCGTCCCGGGTTGGGGATCAGGAGGATGTGGTTGCGCATCTGTAAACCGACGGAAAACTGAAGGACTTTCAATATATAACAGAAGGACGTGATAGTTGTAGAGAAGCTCAAATGCAGTGGAACATTTGAAGGGCGGATTAGGCCACTGTTCCAGAGAAATGCGTATCCTTAAATACCATGTGTCGAGGTTGGCATGTATCTTTTCTAGAGAAAGATCGATGTTTCCAGGACCGAAACGATAATAAACAACATCCCTAAGGAGAAGGGATAGGTGGCCAATTTGCACCTGATAGAACCCATCTTCCGGGGTTTCAAACTCCTCTATATTCGGCGCTTCCGTGTTGCACTGTGATAAATTGATTCGAAATGGTCGTCCCAATAGAATTGAGCAGAAGGTGTCTCGTACCACCAGAGTCCACCATAACCTTCGAAGAAGACCTTTATCGCTAGGGCTATTTGAGTGAGTTGCCGTGCGATGAAGCCCTAGGGATATTGCTAAAGTGCTCGCAATATTGATCCAAGAACACGGATTGCAGTAACTCTGCAAATGGGGCCCCCAGAAGCTCAACATAATAGCTGATTGGAGCAGGATAACTTTGCCTGTCTCATAGCCAGTATCAAACATCAACTTGGCTTTGGTATAATAATGTTTCCGTGCCTCAAATCTAGAGTCGAACCCAGACTTAAAGATGACTGGCAAATCGCAAAAAGTTGCTCCTATAAAGCAGACAGTGTGAATCAAAATCCAGGGTAGTTTCCCGATTTTTAGTGCTTTTTTAAGTGCCTCCTTTTCCACGATGGAATATAAAGGATAGAATTTGGTGAAAAAGACAGTAACAAAGTACTCCAAGGTCTTTTCAGATGGCATCACAAAAGCCCCCTTTGCTTGAAGATAAGCGATATCAGCTGTGTCAAGATGCGAAGGGTGGACATCGTGTTGGAGAGTGTCCAGATTGTGGCTCTCGTTGGTGGATTCACTAGAATAATGCAGTTGACGTTTTGGCATTGTGTCCTGAGGTAAGTCCTCTAAAGCAAAGGTTAATGGAGAAGGCTCTCCAAACAGAATCAACCCATGCTGTCCGAAGAGTCTCTCGTTCTTCCACTTCAAAAACTCTGCAAACATGGCTGATATGGAAACCGGGGTTGGAACAGACGAACCAGAGGAATGAGATGGGCGGTCTGCGTTTTGAAATGAACGTAAAGATGAAGTGGGCGGGCTATGCTCATTCCCCAGCAGCTCAGTAGATATTGAATGTTGCGATATATGATCTTGTTTGCTTCCCCGAGGACTGGTAGGCGAAGCTGGAGTCTCATTACGAAGAACTGATTCACCTGCCTGGTGACCCAAAAAAGGGGTGTCAGGCCGCCTAGATAATCGCAACATCTTATCTTGTCGTATTTGGCGGGCCGCTTGACGGTCATACATGCCACGTTTGGAGGAAGTCAAAGCACAATCATCTCGTTTATCCATTTGGCACCGACTGCAGGGTATGCCATGCTGCATAGCGTCACACTTAATCTTTCTTCGGCTGCATTGTTTGCATGCTTGAGAAGCGCGGATCCGCTGTTTCTCGGGGCCTCCATTTCTACGAGAAGCAGTATGCATGATTGTCGCTGCTTGTCGTGTTCTTGTTACCTAGCTTCGGGTGCTAGTCAACATGTAGATAAATGTACGTATTAAGATATGAGCTGAAAATTGAAAACCCATTCAACTGCGATACGAAAGTGAGAGGAAATGTTCATATTTTCAGGGAGATGGGCGGGCACCCAGGGCCGGGGTTAGTATTTACTGACTAATGCGTCCCCGCACCCGTGGACAAAGCCTGGAAGTTCAAGACTTCATGTGTACATTTTGTGCCTGTATATATGCCAAATATTCTCTGCGGAAATTATTTGAATTATCCTAACAAAGGGTTCAGCTAAAAATATATGATCACTCAGGCTTGACTTGATGCCATATTATAAAGCAAGGTCAAATGCTGGTGTGGACACATATTACGCACTCGGGAGATAGCCACGGCTATATGTAGAATGTTGAAATGTCGAGGCCAATATTATTGGTCCCACTAATGTTTGGTTGATTTGCATTATTATTAAGCATGTAATATTACCCCTAGTATAAATTGCCGGAAATAGGGGAATAACAGACCAGAGTTCGACAAGCATCCTGATTGGCCACATACTAGCTGTAGTTGACATGAAATGAGTGCCTCAGGTTGCAGCTTGCCAAATAGTCAGCAGTGGTATTTTGCTCTTTCCAAGTAAATAACCAACGTAAATCTCTTGATAAGTATAACATGGCCGGTAGTAAATATGTTAAAGTGCGCCCCTCACTCTTCTGTCCCATTCATGCCATTGTTACATTGGCTTGGTAAACTAACTTCATTTAGACGTAACTGGCTCACGGATGGCAGGCAAATTTGGTAATGGGAAGCCACCTATGCCGAGGAAGAATTCGCCTGCCTTTTTCATTACATCAGCCAGGTCCTGTCCGAGCCACTCTGGATATAGCCCCTTCAAAGGCCCTTCAAGTTCTCGCAGTATCGCTCCTGCTGCCTAAAAAACAGAAAGATATTTCAGCAAATATTTTGACTGGGTTAGAAACTGCAAGTAGCAAATACGAATTTGGGGACTTGGTCATCTCAAGGGGAAGTTCATGGTAACCAACCAAATAGTTTGATCCTCTCTGTGAGGGATCAGCCGCCATATGTATGATAGCATCAGCTACCATGTTAGGCGTGTTTAATGGCAGGCCAGCGGCAACCCATGAATCCCTAAATTGTTCCATCATGCTTGTGACTGTGCAGAACGGAGATACAGCATTGATTCTGATGTTGTGTTTGTTCGCGACTGATTGCGATGATCGGAGCAGGCCTGTAAGGGCATGTTTTGACGAGATATAACCAGCATTGCCAGTTGCACCAAAGTATCCGGATGTTGAAATGGTCATTACAATAGACCCGAGGGACCCATCGGGAAAGCAGGCATCATTATCTTTCATGTAGAACAGTCCCTGTCGAAGTGCTTCACGGGAAATAGTCAGTATATAGATACCACATTTTATGGATGACTGACTGTTCATAGTTCCCTTCACATTGATGTCCAAGACTTTGAAGTATTCGCTTGACTCAACGAGATCGCCATTGCTGTCAAATTTGTCCATATCGAGGACCTGCTCACTCTCCATGACGCCCGCATTGGCAATGACGACTTGTATTTGACCAAAATGCTCCTTGGCTTTTTTGAAAAGCGCTTTCATCTGATCCCAATCTAACGTATTGGCAGGGATAAATAACGCGACCGAGGGGTCGCGTAAAGAGGCAATCAAGAGTTCCACAGCAGAACGGGAACGTTCCAGGTCTGTAAGTACCACATTACATCCATTTGCAACCAGTGCCTTAACAATATCGGCTCCAATTCCTCCTCCTGCCCCGGTAACCACTGCCGTCTTGTCTCGCAGGTTAGCGAGGACGATCGGATCCAAGGCAACGGCGTGCATTTTGTCAGAATTGGGATTGAAATGGGATATGAGGAGAATATCCTACGAGTTGGATATAACGAGCAAGATATTAGCGTTAGTCGTTGATCTTATATAAAAAAAAGCCAAGGTTCATTAGTATCTATGGACGGGTATTTTGAAGAATTCAGAGCTATCCGATCTTACCGTGGTAACATCTTTTCGATTCAAGTACCCGAAATATGCCGACTATGTTCACCTCTCATATCGCAGTGACAACTAGTACATACCAAGCCGATATTTAGGCGGTTCGGCAATGGAGTAAGAAGTGTAACAAGGTACCCGTGCGCAGATTGAGACACAGTCGACTACGAGCTTGGTCTTTGGGGTCTATCTTAGTGCCAATTGTTGAAACCGTCATTGGATGGGGTAGAAATACTGGCTATAGCGGCAATTTCACACCCCATTCTCCTGTGCAAACATACGTACCTCTCAAGTGAAGATACTCCCCAACCCATATGTGTACAACTTTCAGCGAAACATGACAGTTGATCATCAAGCTAGGATCTGTAAAGTATCCCTCTTACAGCGAAGCAGTAAATCAGAAAGGGCTAGGAAATAGTTTAGATATTGGTCTAAGTAAACAGAAATGCGTACACACTGTGAAGACAAACAGAGAGAGCACGAATCAACAATCTAGCGTAGGCTTGATCAATGCGAGGCATCGACTACTCAATTCTTAACATCTTCCTCAGAGTCACAGAAATTTGCCCCACAGGAAGCTTCAAAGCCAATGACCTCATGTCAGATTGGACTTGATTCATGGGCATGTGATTTTCAGGTCACAATTTCCAGTCCCTAGCAATCCCAGCGCTGTCTAGAGTATTCATTCGATTCATCCTTGTATAAGTCCAACGTAGTCCAAAAGCAAGAACAGCAGTAAGGAAACTGCAAGCGGCACAAACACTGTTCCCTGTAGGGTAACCTGTTGCCTTTTCACTATCCTTCCAGATCCAAAGAGCAAAAATTGAGCCTATCCCAACCATAGAATTATTGAGAGCTGCTGCAAGTCCTACGACACGTGGACTTGGCATGTTGCAAATGACCCAACTGGTCAATGGTGCGATGTTTGAAAAGACTCCACAACAGGATATAATCAAGCAGGCATATTTGGCCCGATATGCAGTCAAAGGAAGTAGAGTGGTGGCGAGAAACGCCGCGCCAGAACCAATTGACGTGACAATCACTATAATGCCTCTTTGGTTGTAATGGTCGGCTACCCAGGCAAGGGACAGACACATAACGTACCCAAGTGCCCAAGGAGGCACGGTCATCAGTTGAGCCTCGATAGAATTGTAGCCGAGTCCGGCCACGATAGTTGGGCAAAAGTAGACCAGGGAGCTGACCACAATGACGTTGGAAAGCTAAATGACAATTTTGTCAGTGTCCATGATTGAGGACTCTGCGTAATCTATCAGGGACGCATTCATACTCACGTAGGTGCAATAGTGTGCAATCATTCGAGGTCCAACACAGGTTTCAATAATCTCGCCTCGACTAGCAGGCTCGCTAGTAAAGCTTATGCTTTGCTCCCCCAGCCGACGTTGCGCGAAATCCTTTTCTTCTTCACTCAGCCATTTGGCAGTATCGGGGAAATTCGGCATAAAGGTAATAATGAGACCAGTGCAAAGAATTGTGATGATACCCTCAACAATGAAAAGCCACTGATAGCCAGCCAAATTACCTTTGCCGTTGAGAAATGCCATGCCATAGGCGATGCAGCCACCAAAACAACCGGCAAGTGTGGCCGACGACGACACGATACAGATACGGAACGAACGCTCCTCTGGTCGATACCAGGCAGCTATAATATAGACAATACCTTATTAAAAGAAGTATAGTCAGCAACTTGAATTAAGGAACAAGCTAGAAGTAACATGTACCTGGGAAGAATCCTGCTTCAAATACACCAATGAAAAACCTGATGGCTATCACGGCAGACACATCGTCTGCCCATGCAAATCCTAATGTCAAAGCCCCCCAGCCAAGGGCGAGGAAACTAAGCCAACAAGAAGGACGACAGTATCTTTTGAGCACCCAATTCGAGGGCACATCGAAAATACTGTAAGCAACAGAGAAAATCGTGATGGTGATGGAATAAGTCTCTGCAGTCATTCCAGTCCTTTGCAGAAGCGAGTCGCCGGTTTCCTGATTCAAAATTTTGGCATTTCCAATGTTAGAACGGTCAAGATAATTCATAAGATATAGCCAGGCACAGAGAGGTAACAGTCGAAAGTCAATCCTATGTCGAAACTTTGCATGTATTTTCTCGCTGCACTCATCAATTTGCATATTGGTGACGTTTTCCGCGTGGACTGTGTCCAGTTTGCCCTCCGATGCATCGATGCTCATTGTGTATAGGCAAGCAAATAAGTAAGTGGAGGTTCTAAAGTTGTTTTCTGGTCTCAAACCCTGGAAAGCGGTCAAAAAGAGATGTAAGATGGAATACATCAAGATATACCTAGGTATATATTGCAAAATATGCACTTATCCCCAAGCAACACCACAAAGATATCTGGGGAATGCGGGGACCAATTAGAGAAAGCGAATATAAGTTTGGCTGATCGGGCGATGTTTGATAGCACGATATATGTACCCACGGGTATAATGATATCGCCACCAGGATTTCAAGATCCTTGTATGTTTACTGAACGTTTCTCTACACAATTGACGAGACTGACGTCTTATTTTGAATGTCTCAGACTTAGGGTTCCATTCCATACAAGTGTAATTCAGCCAGGAAAACATAGCAACTTACGACGAGAGAGGATGGATGGCTGGTTGGTTAAAAACAGATGACTGAGGAGAAAAACTACGAAACAGTAGGAAGACCACTAGCAAAAAGCCCGCTTTAGGTGATTTTGGGTGCCTGAATGCCTGATTGCATCTTGGACCTAGACCCCTTTTCACCTAGTTATGGCACTCTATACAATCTAAAAATTTCTGCCCGCCTTACATTCGGGTTTTCATGTATTTAGGCACCAAAGTTCGGGGGTTTCGCCGGTGGTCTCATCGCCGCTTTGTAAAAGAACGGTCTTTTTTCTGGCAATTTGGCAAACCTTGAAAATCTCACTGTCGTATTCTTTGAGGTAGCCGTACATAATGCACTTCATCATACCAAAGTCTAATAGCTTGTAAATTATCCACAGCGGAAATTTGTGACGCAACCGATGCTATGTAAATAGCCGAGATAAATTTCCACTGTATTATCGGACCGGGTAGATAGCCGAAGTGAGACATTGAAGAAACATATTGATATTTCGTTACTTCCCTCCTACCTTGATATTGCAATGATATACTTGTGCACACATCATGGCTCCTACAATCAAATCAGAGCTTGGGTTTCTATTGCCATGTGGAACGCGCGTAATTCATGGCGCAGGTTCAATTGTCAAGCAGGCATTTCCTCCCGAATCGAACTTGCCCGGAACAATGGAGCTTTATAGCGTGGGAAGTGCCAATGACCCTTGCTGTCCTGTCTATCGTGGACCAGCCGGCTGTCTCCAATTCAATACAACTTGTCGAATGCCTAGACATGTTCACATAGCAACTGTCCCAGGCACCACAGAGCAACAAACAGGCGATGAAAACCCCAAAATGCAATTTGTGACCGAGAAGATTTTCATTGCCAGTGGAGTTGCAGTGGCCGAGCTGGCAGGACAATATTACGTCTTTCCACCGAAAGCGATGGTTATTATCGCCCCCGGTGTGCCCCACGCTTGGGTAGCTGCCCCAAAAGGCTTAGATTTGGAGGCTCTTGGCGTGGCTCCACCCAAACCCATTGATATTGAAGAAGATCCGCTTGTTTCCCTTGAGGAACCTTCGACAGTTTCTGATGGAAAATTTCTTGCGGTTTACGAATACGACCTACCTACTGGATTCTACCCCACGGCGCAAACAGAACGATTGGAAACATCCGAAGATTATACCGCTTGCGCCGATTTGCATGATATTCGTATCCCGGTAATGGATGTCGATCAATTGATTCAGCAGGCGAGCTTTGTATGGGGTACGACATACAAGAAGCTCTAGATTGTTTGAAAGTGGTGATCTTTACATGTGTTGATGGCTTTCCTCTGTATATAGAACAAACTCATACATTCAAAACTTCTCTGCCAATGTATCTTATCAAGAAACAAAAACAGAAAACAGTCATATATTTGCTAGCTTAAGGTAGAGAGAGAGAGAGAGGTAATATTGAGGATGCCATGGGTGGGATGCCTCAGGCTCCAACCCTCTGTAGACTTCTTAGCTAGCTCTGGGGAGAGCTCCTCTCTTTCTCTCCCCATCTCTCTGCAATACTGTTGGGGATGTCGGGTGACATCCCACATTGGGATAGTCTCCCATGGAGTAGATAGATAGATATCTCTCGCTCTCACTCTCTTTCTCCTTCTCTCCTCCGTCCACAATACAATATTCACATCTTCATATTCTATTGCCCTTGTATGATCTCCATGGAATACACATTATTCATGCATACTATTCATGTTTCCTTCTCTAATTGTTTCAGGTAAGATCCTGCAAATTTATAGCTGGACGCAGGCCACACACCGCAAACAGTATCCGAATACCGGATCGAAATTTATTCGACTGTGAGCTTCTTTAAACCGCTAAAATCATCCAATAAAACCGAAAGATGATCTAGCGCAGCTTTACCCCGGAACTGAGTTAGCCTTCACGCTTCTTGGTATGCATGACTTACCTCATCAGTATAGACCCATGGCGCCAAAGTGGACGTCTCCCGATACGACTCGTAACCCAATTAAGCATAGCCGAAGACTTCGAGGAGGGTCTTGCAACCACATCCAGGACTGTTATGGCCAGAAAGCTTATGTAAAAGCACGACGATACAAGGACTTCACAATGTGTGGGTGTTATATGACGGCACTCTGGCTGGTCTAGTATATCCGTGGTTGTTGGATCATAGCACGGTGGTTGTATCAGTTTTGGGTGCATTGCAGATGTTGCTAGGAATCTATGACATTGGCTCCGGCAATTTTAATTGGTTGGTTTGATTTAAATCTTTATGCGAAGTGGGTGGTGACTTTGACTCCGCCGTGCAGGGTTCCCGGGCTAGAGAGCTATGATCGATGACTCTCTGTCCCGCAGAGGCTGAATTGAAAAATTAAGGCAACCAGAAGGATCTGATGAGCGAGAGTGCTCAAAATCTGACACTAAAGCAGGAAATCAGGAAACGCCAAAGAACTAGAGAATTACGGTTTAGTTAGAAGAAACACGCGCACACACAATAAGGGAGAATGAAGGAAGGAAAGGAGGGGAAATAGAGTGAGAGAGCTATCTGACAAGCCTGAACAACGTGAGATATCCTCAAAAAGAATCCAGAGTACAGGGAACGCCAAACTTAGAATAGCCATGGAGGTGTAGAAAATCTGGAGAAATGCGGGGTTGAGTACGCATACCTAGTCTAGGTATGTAGCCGCGGTTGGAGTATATCCCACATGCTTTCCAAGGTTTTGCTTCGAGCATTGCATATACTTACTTTAACCTGCTTTATAGCTGTCATCATGAAGTGCGGGTGTATGATATTTTTTTAGTAGAAGGTTTACCAAGATACCAATGCCCTAGCAAGGAAATTGTGTGAGCGCTATAAGAGCAGGAGATCCCAGGCAGAGCATCACGTTGACCCACTTTACAATTTTTATTGTATTGACCTCCCAAGGTGCAAGACCTAAATAATTCAATCACCATGGCGCCCATGCGACAACATTATATCACTGCCCTGCGGTATCATGGGAAGGAAGATATAAGGCTCGAACAAATCCCATCACGGTATGATTTCTTCCCATCAGTTGGTCTTCAAAATATAAATTAATTACTGGTCTATCTAGTTCATGCAAGCCCAACGAGGTTCGAATCGAGGTCGCTTACTGTGGAATCTGTGGCTCTGACATCCATGAGTATCTCGATGGACCGATATTTTCCCCACAACCTGGCACAAAAAATCCCTGGACTGGAGAATCTCTCCCAGTGACTCTCGGTCATGAAATTTCTGGAGTCATTGTTGAACTAGGATCGGCCGTGACCGATCTTAAAGTCGGATCGAAGGTTGCTGTGAACCCGGCCCTTGATGACCGACACTATGGGGTCGAACCCTGTACTACCTGTAGCCTTGGAAAAAGCAACATCTGCAAGCGTTTTGCCTGTTACGGACTGAATGCAGATGGGGGTGGTTTCGCATCTGAAATCGTTGTCAACGCTGTCAGTTGTCTCCCTTTGCCCGATTCGGTTTCACTCGAAGTGGGCGCGCTTCTCGAGCCGCTAGCTGTCGCATGGCACTCTATTCGTCTTTCTGGATTTGAGAAGAACCAGACAGCGCTGGTTCTTGGAGCGGGTCCGATTGGTCTGGCTATTGTGATGCTCCTCCGCTTCTGGGGAGCTAAGACGATTATAGTGAGTGAGATGACCTCCTCTCGAAAAAAAATGGCAAAGAAGTTTGGAGCGCACATTGTCGTAGACCCTTCCGAGCGGAACCATGCCAGCGCAGATCCGGTCCAATCGGCAGTGCAAGATGTGCATCCCGATGGCGTGGATGTTGCATTCGAGGCAATTGGTATACAGGCTACTTTGAATGCTGCAATTGCATCCATCCGTCCCGGAGGGACGGTTCTCAACGTCGCAATTCACGAGAAGCCTCTACACCTAAATCTCAATGACCTCACCTTCTTCGAGAAAAAACTAATTGGTGGGATTTGCTACACCACGGAAGATTTTGCTGAAGTGATCCGGGCCCTTGAGTCCGGAAATGTTCCAGCCCAGGAGATGGTCACGTCAATTGTGCCACTGGAAAAGGTGGTGCAGATGGGATTTCTCGAGTTGATCAACAACAAGGCGGCTCATGTGAAGGTTTTGATTCAGCCACCTAAGAGTTCGACTTCAATTCTTCCATCTGCGCGGCTTTGAAACAGAAAATTCAATATAAAGTCGAAATATTATTCCAACGACCCCTGGTAATATGCCTACTTCCATACGGACGCCAATGTAGTCTATACTAAGTCTAGAAACTGTTAATCTCATATAGCCACAAAATTTTGATTATGGTGCTATAGTTTTCCTTTAACACGCTAGTCATATTTCACTAGACATGTTCAGAAGTGATGCCCAGGTGCTTCTGTGCTAATGTGTTGCAGGTAGAAATGAGCCCACAGCCTCATATATACTCTGTACCCATGCTCCCAGTCCTGGCCATGCAATATCAGCCACCGGAACATCGAACAACGTGATTATTGATATTCGCTTAGTATGTCTCTCATACCATAGTTCACAGGTATCCATTTCACTCGCTCTGTCTCTTCACTGTATCTCCATCATTTCATCATTTATACATTTAACTAGCACACATACTCAAGATTATCATTGATATTACTGCAGCACCAGTTATAAGAAATTCAATTATTCATGTTCGCGGAATGGGCATTTGTATGTGCCCTATCTTCGCAATCCTGTGGCCCTTTAGGGGCCCTGTTCAACGATGAGACATATTATAATTGAGAAGAGAAATAAAGCCCAGAAAATACGATTGCTAAACTGACATGATAAGCACACATTTACTATTGCATAGAATTATTGCGCGTTGTGCGTTAGTGAGACTAGAGTACAAGTGAGAGATATTGATCATTGATTGTAAGTCCTGAGAGCATCTTTTCCTGACTGTCTTTACGACAATGCGCTATTGTGTCTTCGATCCATAGGGTCTGAGTGGTGATAGAAACGGTTAGTACAACACATATAGCCACGGTCCCGGTGTACCTTAGTAGGTTAGGGAAAGTTCTAGCCACGGGTGTGTGCCCACAGCATAATATCCCATGTCAAAAAAAAGTTCGCGGCTATTGTCCAAGGTTTCTCTTAGTTGGCATCTTCCCTAGAAACCCCAGACTTGATAATCACTTGGTGCCACCTAATAGCCACGGCAATCAGCCTTTCCCCGCCCGCATGATGGCTAAGTCGTGCTGCTAGGCCAAATTAAGACCCATTTTAAAGACCTCAGGATCTACCAGATTGACGAGCAGTACAAGATATATATCTATATATTCATGTCTAGAGCCCTGAAAGGACTACCTATATATGCTTTTAAAATAGATTCGAGTCATTTCCGCTTGCCAAAGGTTTACCTAATCGACTTACAACTATACGACGGACAACATGGCCACTTTTGATTTTGACGCGATTGTTGTGGGGGCCGGGTTTGGTGGTATCTATATGTGCAAGAAGCTTGTGGATCAAGGCTTGTCTGTCAAAGTGATAGAAGCAGCCCCAGATGTTGGAGGAACTTGGTATTGGAATAGGTATCCCGGTGCAATGTCAGAGTAAGTTTATCGACCGAAAGCCTCGCATCCATTAACTTACTCTATTAGCACACGGTCATTTCTCTACCGTTACTCTTGGGATCTGGAGGATCTGCGTGAGTATCCCTGGGGTCGAGAATATCTGAAGCAACCGGAAGTTCTGGCTTATCTCCAGCATGTGGTCAAGCGACACGACTTGCGACAGTATATGCAATTCAACACCGAAATGGTGGCTTCCTCTTGGAGTAAAGAGCAAGCTCACTGGACAGTTTCGTTAGCAACAGGAAAGAAGCTCACTAGTCGCTATCTTGTTACCGCTCTTGGGCTACTTTCCAAGCAGAATTACCCGAACATCCCCGGTTTACATTCCTTCCAGGGTGAAATGTATCATTCGGGTAGTTGGCCTGCATCTCATGATTTCAAGAAAAAGAGAGTTGGCGTCATCGGAAATGGATCTACCGGCGTTCAGATAATTACGGCATTAGCGGATGAAGTGGACCAACTGGTCTCGTTTCAGCGACACCCGCAATTTGTTGTACCGGCTGCCGATAAAGAGGTCTCAACTGAGGCGCGAGAAAGCATTGAATGGGAGAAAGTTTGGACCGAAGCAAAAAACAGCATGTTTGCTTTTGGGTTCAAGGAGAGCGATGTGCCTACATTCAGTGTCAGCCCCGAGGAACGCGAACAGATATTCGAAGAAGCTTGGAAAAAAGGCAGTGGCTTCTACTTCATGTTTGGCACATTCTGCGACATCTCATACAACGAAGATGCCAACAAAGAAGCGCAAAATTTCATTAGGAGGAAGATTCGCGAAAAGGTCAATGACCCGGTGAAAGCCGAGAAACTCATGCCCAAGGACTGGTTCGCACGTCGGCCTCTGTGTGATACTGGTTACTATGAAAAGTTCAACAAGTCCAGTGTGGATATCGTTGATATTCAAGCGGACCCAATAGCTGAGATCACTCCTACTGGCATCCGTACCCAAGGGAGAGAATGGGAGCTCGACGCTCTTGTTTTTGCAACTGGTTTTGATGCAGTGGATGGCAATTACAAAAGGATGTCAATCCGAGGTCTGAAGGAGAAGAGCCTCGCAGACTCTTGGAGTGAAGGACCCGAGTCCTATCTCGGGGTGTCGGTTCCTGACTTCCCAAACCTCTTCATGATTCTAGGACCCAATGGCCCATTCACCAACTTGCCTCCTACAATTGAAACTCAAGTGGAATTCATTTCTACCCTCATCTTCAAAGCCAACAATTCTGCGTCAGTGGGAACGAAGCATCCTATGGTTGAGGCCGAGCCCACCGCGGTCGAAGATTGGAGCAAGATATGCGATGAATTGAGCGCCAACAGTCTGTTTAGGAAAACCGATTCTTGGATCTTCGGTGCGAATGTTGCTGGCAAGAAGCCGTCGGTGCTATTTTACTTTGGCGGGTTGAAAAACTATAGGGATGTGCTGGAGGAAGTCGTGCGGAGTGGCAACAAAGGATTCAAACCATTTTGAGAATTACATGTTTCTTTCCTAGAAAGATCATTCCTGAAAAACCTGAATATTCGATTATTTACCAGTCTTATTCCCATCTTGTAGTGGCTTCAGCTATGTTTCTTTCATTTCAGGCTTGTATGCCATGAACCTGGCGGAGTGGAGTAAACGATAGTTAGCAGGCTCAAATTCGGGAAGAGCGTAAGGGGTCTTTTCATGCTGATCTCAAATACTACCCGGAAATTGTTTACGTACGGTTTATTTTCCGATTGATTCATATGTGCACATTTATGCGCTCGGGTCATCTAGTATTATTTCCAAGGTTCAATTTAGGGTTATCTATACGTTGCCGCGCTTATATGACATCGGAGTACACCTTGTGTCTCAAAACCCCGCTTTCATCATGATTTATCACCCCTTCAACAGATTGGTTTAAAGCTTATTTGCGAAGCTAGGTGGTCCAATTTTTGCGCATTCCAAGGTTGGTGTAATATGGCGTTTCTCTTCCTGTGAGGAACAACAGGATAGCAGGCTCGTAAAATCAATTTTTACTTAAGTAATTTGTCATTGAGTTGCTTGCGTCAAATATGTATCTTACAGCACTAGTTAAATATGCCTACTTTCGATTACTCCGTATATAAGCAATTTAATAGTTTCCAAGGTTGAAATGCATTGAAATATTGGGCGCACCTGCCCAGGTGGGCGCGTAGCTTACATAATATACATACGCGTGCCCCTTCCAGTCACTGGGAGGCAAAGATTTCAAGGTTGCACCTCCGTGGACTCTATGGATTCGATTCATGCGTATTTCCATGTATTTGATACGTCTCTGGAGTTTCCCCGGATTATTACCCCGCAAATGATCACACTGTGTAATCTCTAGCATTCCAGCCCACGGCTCCCCCATGACTTCCTCTGCTATTGCCTGGCTGTTTGAATAACGCCATCACCATGAACGAGAAGCCGCGGATTCGCGCAGCTAAAGCTTGCAAACGTTGCAGTCAACGGAAGATCAAATGCGATGCTGTACAGAATGGTCTGCCATGCAGTCGCTGTCGCATGGATCACGTAGCTGGTTGTGCTTTGATTTCTTCGCGTCGGGGCACATACGATCGTAAACCTGCCCGCCTGCCACGCCCCGTGAATGAAACGTCCCCCATGAAACAGATACAAAAGTCACTTCCGACAAATGCAATTACCAACCTAGAGGCCGAGGCTCCAGTAGCTACTACACCATCGAGTACCTTTTCACCAGACTCTGCACCGGCAGAACACTCATCGAATCATAACAGTGTTGATCTAATACCACCTCCTACATCCGATGAGCCCAAGCTTCCTCCCAGACCGGAAAGTGTCCTAGCCGCGACTCCGACAGATTCAACTTCACGATCAGTCTCCGCAATGTTTGAGGATTTCATCAGCTGGAGAACGGAAAGGAATATGCCCCAGTGCGGCCTCATCCTCCTTGGTGAAGCGTCACCCTTGACCTTTGCCTTGGAGGAATATCCCCAAGAAACAAGCCCTCCACTACACGATGCCAGCGATCAAATCCGCGATAGCGCGAACCTGGCAGTCATCCAGCAAGATATTCACCCTTCACATCTTGACGCTGCAGACATTGCTTACCTCAAAGCAAAAAGCGCTTTCATCATCCCCCCTAAGGCGCTGTTGAACAATTTGGTATCGGCGTATTTGACGCGCTTTCACTCGCTGTACTCTATCGTCAACAAGTTAGAGCTTGAAAAAGTTCACAACGAGCAGAAGACACCTTGGCTACTGCTTCACGCTGTCTGCTTTATTGGTGCCACGTTTTGCGACTCGGCTGTAATACATCAGTCCAATTTCAGGTCGCGCCTTGATGCACGGCGCCATTACTACCAAAAGGCAAAACTGTTCTTTGATTTTTGCTATGAAAAGAACAAGATCATATTAGCCCAGTGTGCAATCATGTTGAGCTTTTGGGGCCCGGAAACCCATAGTCATTGGAACCCCTGCTCCTGGATTGGATGTGGTGTCACATTTGCTATTTCATTGGGCATTCACCGATCGGTCGCTTCCTCAGATGCACCGCGGGGCGACAAGGGCCTTCTTCGACGACTTTGGTGGACCTTGGTGGTGCGCGACACATATTGCTCTGTACTTCTGGGAAGGCCATTTCGTATCAACTTGACACAATCTGATACAGAACTATTGACAGCACAAGACTTTATTCACGAAAACACAGAAGAGGGTTTCTATCAAATTCAGATCGGCCGACTATCGCTTTTCTTACGCCAGATTTTGCATTGTCGCTTTGGGCCTAGTAATCCGTCCCTTACCCCGGCAAAAATACATGCGGATATCGAGCAGTGGCATTCGGACCTGCATCGTTCACCGCAAGACTGGGATGGAAGAGGTGCACCGATTGTATACTCTATTGCCTTGGAGCTTCTCTACAATTATTACTTGCTTTTATTATACATTGAGACGCCAACTCCTCTCCAACCAGGAGATTTTCCACCACAATCTCCTGACCAACCACTTGGCGGCATCGTCGAGTCCTCTGCTCGAACAATTTCCTCCCATGCCATTACGCTTATGACCAAAACTAACCTGTGCGATTTACCACATGAGCTTTTCCCGGCATTTTTTGTGGCTGGCATAGTACACTATCGACAAACAAAATATCAGAACGAGCTAGTTTCCCACATGGCGCGCGCCAATTTAGACAACTGTCGAGTTGTCCTGAACGATGTGAAAGAGTTATGGGACCCTGCAAACTGGGCTATGGAGATATTTGATTTTCTATGTACAAATCAGAGAGAAATGATTACCGGACCTGCTCAAGTGTCACGAGCGCCATACGAAAATTGTCGGTCGATTCCCAATCGCCAAAGTGATACCTCAACTCCTCATGTCGCGTCAGAAAACCGGGAGTTCTCTGGGGATTCTAACCATCATGCCTCATTTGACCTGAGCTGGGACGTTATTCAAGCACCATTCACGGGTGGAATGGAAGACTTCTTGCTTATGCCAAACTTCCTCCCACCAGCCACAGACGAATGGGCAGGTTATCAGCTTTGAGTGTTTGCAAAGTTGAATTATACTTTCAGTATGCTCTTAAGGTATCGATCTATAGAACTAAGGCCTTTTTTAACTCTATATGTAGTGCTTTATTAGGCGCGGTACGCTTGTTTCGAGGCTGGCGACCGTTAATATAACCTCTTAAGACGCCGTGCGAAATATTGAATTGCTTAGCGATGGCTGATGGCTGAAACGTTTTTTTTGCTACTAGCATGGTATGCTAATAAGGCATTAGTAATACGATCCTTTGAATCTGAATCCATAATATAAAGAATTAGAGGTGTAGTAAATTGTTGAAGGATGTGGAAATGAAAATTTGTAATTAGGCCCGGGTTGTAATTAGGCCCGGGAACCCGGACACCGCCAGGTGGCTGGGTTCGACGACCCGATTACATGTAATTGTTGTCACTAAGTGGAGCCATCTGCTAACCATACCTATTTTGTTCATCACAACTTTTTTGGTACATGAAAATGGGGTAATTGGCCCTTTCGATCTTACCTCAACGCCCGCCCAGACCCAAGAACCTTACAAGATAGATGGGAGACCCTTCCAGGTCGCAGGATCTCCCGATGATCTTGCGGCTTGAGCCTTGATTAGCGATTCATGCTCTTTTGAAGTCAAGAGATCTTGAATCGATGTTGGAACAACCGGTGGGCTTGCACCACTGATATTTCCCAAAGCATCTTCAAAGAATTGATGAACGATGACTGCAAATGAATAAGTATCGCCAAGGGAGGATAAAACCCTCATGCATCTATAAAAGTTTTGGAACCCCGGGAGTTGCAGGCCGTCTGAACTAGATCTCAAATCGGAGAAATGCATGACCAAAACAGGAACTAGCAATGCCACTGCGGTGGTTGGGAGTAAGTAAACAACACCCAAATTATGAAGATCCTGCATGATGGAAGACATCTCCTGCAAGACCTGTCGATCCGGGTATGCTGGCTTTTCATGGTATGGCATGGTGATACATGCAATTTCGCGATAAAGTGTGCCAAGCGTCGTAAGGAACACTAGGCGAATCCACGCATGTTGAACATAGAGAATATGGTTCTGTTGGTTGGTTCTCTCCATGTCTGCTGGCGCCTTAGCATGCCATAAATGAAGCGCCCCCAGTGTCTTCCCATACTGCTCCATCCATGCCCCAAAACATCCATCTTCATCATTCCCAGGTGTGCCTGGGCTTGGGCACCCATAATTTCGGAAGTCGCGCAGAATTGCCACCTCGGAAATCAGGACAGAGAGTTTTGCTTTCTCGATGAAACTGACAGCGGATCTCTCTTGAAGACTGAGATCCCTGAGAAACTCGCAGTCGTCGAAGATCTTGATCGCTTTGTCGGAATATCGCTGGATATCGAAGTCCTCGAGATCAAGAAAGGGCATATTTCGACCAGTATGCTTTTTGAAACTGATTGACCTTCGTAGGTTGAGGGCAATGAGACGATTCCGTGTATATAGGCACCACCATAGCCGCTTCCAGATTCTACGGTGATCACAAGAGATCTGCACCGTTGAAGGGTCACAATGGAGGCCAATTGAACTCCCCAGTGACCAACACACGTCGAGCCAATGCTGGGAGTCTTTGGGGTTTTGCGGAGTTTCATGCCAGTATGTCATCAACAGCAAGGATTGGATGGTGGTGACCCGATCATTCTCGTAGTCAAAGTCATACAAGACCTATGATATCTATTAGTGCTCGTTACCAAGCAGATTGCTTCGACACCACGCACTCGCGTTTTTGAAAATAGATCCTCTCGAGCTTTTCGTCTCGTCTGATAGCCTGCATTGTAGAGATGTTTTGCATCCACAAATGCTGCTGCGGAGAACATGATGGCGTGGAAAAGGAGGAGACTGATTTTCTCCGACTGGCCATTGCCGCAGAATGCGTTTAGTAAACAGCTCAGATCTAGAACTGGAATGAATGGGTAAACACATTCGATGAAAGATCGTAGAAGCTCCCGGCATAGGGTTTGATCGGGTGTGGTGAAAGCGTCCTTCGACATCAGATAAGATATATCCTCCTCTGCAAACCAAGAAGGTATATTTTGAACATAATGTGGGAGCTTTGGCTGAGAGAAGCAAGGAGGCCCCGATCCCAGAAAGTCATTTATTTCTGATATTAGGTTATCTAGAGGAGCAGTGTGATCCACCCATGGGGTTTTAGCCATGCCTTTGGGCGTCCCATTTTGTAGCACGCCGTGGAGGCTGTCATGTACACCTGTTCAATGTAAGAAGAGGAATTTGCGTAAGTTTCATCATTGTAAAAACATACCCGCACTCATGCTCGGTGAGTAAGATTCATTGGTATCGGAGAATTCCAAAGCACTTTGAACGAACTCAGTCACAAGCATTGAAGTGGATTTGAGATCATACTAACACCGGTGATGTGAACCCCTGTGAGCAGCATTGATTTTTCAATTGGCGACATCGCGTGCAAGGAAATCCAGTAATTGGGACGTCACACCACGAATCATCTACCGCGCATGAAGAGCAAGTAGAGAGAGACATATCCTCATAGAAGTGTTAAGGGTCTTGTGGGGGAAACCGACTTTCCACTGCATGCCTTTTCAAAGTTGAATGTTTTATAATTACCGGGTATCTTGATCGTATGTCTGCCAAAATCCATCAACAGCGAAGGAATGGCATTTCATTCAAAATATACATTGCAGGACCTGTGATGTATATCTTGAATCCCGGGGAAATGGCATATACGCCACCCCATACGCCGAGAGTCTATACTTTGTAGCCACGGCTGTATGCTGAGAGCAGAAACTTAGAACGGCTGTTTATTTCGGACCGAGACATTCTAATTAAACACATCAGCTCAGAAGGATCTATCGAATTTTCACTTTCTCTGGATTTTTCAGGTTCATGAAAGTATCAAACGAGAGATAAGTTACCTAAGTGACGTTCCATGCCAGGACACCACAATCTTGGAATACCGTACAAATAGCATCACATATGTAAGTTCATGCGACTGGGAAGTCTGAAATCGTATTCAGTTGACCGTGTTTATAGGAATGTAGATGCGAATTTGCAGCTGCCAGGTTGGAATATATACCTAAATACTTACCTAGGAAGTGTAGAGCTCAAGTGGGGGAGCAAGTACCCTCAATACCTGGGCATACACCTCGACTCTCACCTCTTGAGGTCAGTCAGCCCTTCTTGGAAATTTTTCCTATGTTCCGCAGTTTATTATATAATTTTTAGATACTTAAGTAGTTAAAGATTGGATAAACATACTTCTACACCTCTCGAATTGAGGATCATTTGGGGTCGATCTCCTGATTTCTTGTGCGGTTTGGTGTATACTCCTGTGTTTACTGCTCAATCGACCCGTATGCCCGAGAGCATACCATACTCCTTTGAGCGCTGCGCTCTTCACTAACATAATTTCATGGCAGATACAAATCCAAGTGCACATTAGGCACCGAATGCATTCTAAGGTTGTACCTCCTGTGTTCCAAGTTTCGTATAGAGCTGAAGATTTTATTTTTTCTCAAATTGCTAATACCTTGGTCATTTTAAGACGAAGAGACTTGATTTGAGACAGCAAAAGTAATGAATACAAGATCAAGGTGAAACTGTTTTTCTTGGGATGGTTAATATCTCGAACGTGCAGACTAAACATTCGAGATCGATGCTGCAGTAATGGTCGATCAATTTTGTTGGTAGATTGCTCTAACAAAGTGAATCAAATGTACAGGCAGTGTCACCGTTGAGACTAGGGCACTTGTCAACAGGCTCTGATAGCTTTAACTACCACAGGTTCGCTACCCTGAAAATATATACATACGCTACGATGAACGTTTCAAACCCCCAGTGTGTGACGAGTAGACAGATGGGTCACGAAACAAGGACGCAAAATGGGAGTTTAGGATTGTTTCATTCATGCATGCAACTGCCCGGAATGTGGAGCATTGAAATTGAATCTAACTCTATTCTTTTACGAATACCTCGGGTTGGAAATCAATGACTTGCACCTTATCCACAATAGGGATCAAGCTGGCGCCAAACGCGAGGTGGTCAGGATCTGTTTTGGCATAATAATCTCTGTGTGCGACCGATTCAAACTCAACAATGAACGCATGTGTAATACCACCCTATCCAATCATAAGCATCGTCTCAAGGCTTTGTGGCTTTCAAACTTTACCTGCATTCCTTCAACGGAACAATCTTGACCGCCAGTTGAGGAGACGATGTATGGCTTTTGGGTATCGGGGTGAATGCAGCGTTGCTTGAGGTCTAGCATACGATCACAAACCTAGTAGAGGTCATCAACGTGGTGAAACCGAGCCGGTAAGCAGAAAACGAAAGCGCTTACATCCTGGATTGTGGCAGCACTCATAGATGGCTTGAACTGAAGCTGGACAATGTGCGTGACAGACATGATGAGTACGATTGAATTAATTCGACGATTGCGATAGAAATTTTTTATTTTAAATCTAAAGCAATGCAAATATAAAATACCATTCCATCAATTCGAATTGATTTCCAATCGGTCCGGGTTTCGGATTGCAAATACCATACAACCGCGGTTATATGAAAAGACAGTCAGAATGTCTCCGACAACCGACATTACGGAACACAACATTTGAGATGGCGATCCACAGATGTGACCAGAAGTTTCTTCGGGGGGCCGTGACGCTCGTTCACGATTTGATCTTGTTCCACCCTTCCTGTCTACGCAGGTAAAGTGAAAAACAATGACATTCTGTTGCAAAATTGAGCGAGGGCCGGCCCTATGTCGCGGAGATACGGCATTGCCGGAACTCCCGCCAGTTGGCCCATACAGATCACAATAGTTTAAGCCCACGTCATGATTTGCACCCCACACTTCATTGAATTTATTGACCTAGATCCGCAATGCGAAGTTGATATTTCTGCCAATATCTCTGCCAATATCAAGGCTGATCCATTGAAATATTCACAAAATTAGGTGTTGAATGCGCTCAGTATCTCTCGCCCATACCATGATGCTCTGGCTCTCCATTCACTAACTAGCTCTCTCCCTTTCCTTCTCCCTTCTTTCTCCCTAAACCCTAAGCTCTTTCTTTACATTGATATATACAACTAGCATACATGGCCAAAACATTATTATTACTGCTACATCTGTTATGATAATGTCTTTATAGACTTCATACCAGAGTATCCTTCCCATCGAGTGAGTGGAGGATGAAAAAAACCGGCTATTCTAATACAAGCGACAAGAATACCGATTCAGAAATGAGATGTTCAAACGCAGAATTCATGGGAATAGGCTAGTAACAGCAACTTTTTATGTCGCCGTGAGTAAGGGATATGGATTTCGAACAATATGTATCAGACACAGCATTTCTGTAGTATAGTTTGTTCTTCCTTAGAAAGAACACATAAGTACAAGAATTGTGGCTTTTTGTAACACCTTCGATTCGCCGTTTATAAACCAAGTTTATGAAAAGACCATATTTACGAAGCCACGGGCTTAGCATAGCCGCTGAATCCACCGGTTTCCTTCATGATCGTTGGGATCTCATCCTCAGCCAATGAGGCGAAGGTGTTCTTCTCAGATGGCTTCCAACCCAATTTGCGAAGTCGATTTGCACGGTTCCGAGAGTTTGACCCAGCGACAGTTTCGGTGTAATCGGCGAAAATGTCGTTGTAGTTTTCAGGAGGAATCGTCTTAGGCTCCGCATCATCAATGCGGCCAGCCTTCTTGAGAATGCGGCCGATTTCAGCAGAACATTCGCCCCAAGACAGCTCTTGACCATTTTCACAAAAGAAGTAGGGGTTCTGAACAACTTCGCTAGGGGAACTGGTCTCCATCCAATGGAGGAGTGTCACGTAGCCGCGTGCGAGATCCTTTACATGGACCTGATTCCAGACCGCAAGTCCCTTGCCGACCTGACCTGCGTACCCGTGCTTGAGAGAGTAGCGAGCGATTGTAGGTAGTTGAATCGAGGTACGTTTCTCACGACTGTTGATACCATAAATGATTGGGGGAATCATGATAGCCATCTTCGAGTGCTTGGCCAATTCTTTTCGCGCACGCACAATGGCTAGATCTATCAAGCGGTGGGGTGCAGAGTCCGGAAGGGCGTCGATTTGGGCAGGGTTTTCATCATCGAAAACAATATTACTTTTGTAATTACCAGCTGCAGTGTCGGCGAGCAAGCTGGCGCCACTGGTGTGAATGTAGATTGTTTCTAGGCCTTGGTTCTCCCGCTCTCTGACTCCTTCCAGCACGGCTTGAACAGAGGGCAGGTGATCCGCGGTCGCCGTGTGGAAAACAATATCACTAACAGTAACCTGCTTTTTGATGGTATCGTCGTCGAGAGTGCCAATCACAGTCTTGACACCCAGCTTATCGAAATCTGCGACAGCCGATTGTCGACGAACTAGCGTGGTGACGCTGTAATTCTCCTGGAGGAGGAGGTCCAAGATCTCCCCTCCAATGAAACCGGGACCAATGAGAAAGACAGATCGAGTCATATTGCAATGAGGAATTTGAGAATTGATGTGTTGGTGCGACAAACGTGTGTTCCGATGGGCACTAGAAGTACTTTTTGGCACCCACTTCATGACGTCAGGCTTCGGCTATATGCACAAATGTCTCCGCTGCTTTGAAATCGTCAACGACGCCCCATTAACGCACCAATCCACCAAATTGAGGGATCAATAGCCATCGGAAATGCATTGCGCTGTCGGTATGGGTGTGGTTGAACTGCTTAGCGGAACAACATTCGTATTTCCGAGAGGAACTTTTATTGCCGAACTCATCAAAGCCTCCGCTTTACCAATCCAGAGGCATTTACGAGCACTCTGAGACCAAAAATTATTGACTGATAGAGTTTGAAGACCTGCGTCGCGCGTTTACCCTACAGAGAAGCCAAGGTTTGTTCCAGAATCCCGAATGTCACATTTTCATTTTAGCTAGGTTTGCAAATTCCCAATTGTGACACATTTGATGTTTTGATACTCGTGCAAGCCATATTTACTTCCTTCTCTGCCTAGCCCACTCTCCTTGACACCTCCAAAAGGCGACTCGGCGGCGCTGATTAGCCCTGTGTTAACGCCCACCATGCCACACTGTAGTTTCCTTGCCACCGACATCACGCGTCCAATATTCTCACTGAAGAAATAACCGGCTAGGCCATATTTGGTGGAATTTGCCAGTTGTAAAGCCTCTTCATCGCTGTCAAACGTGAATATCGCCGCCAGCGGCCCAAAGGTTTCATCATACGCGACCTCCATGGCAAGTGTTACTTCACTTATAATGGTTGGTTCGTAGAAAAAGCCGTCTAAGTGAGTAGGCGCTTTTCCTCCGGTGTGGAGAACTCCACCCTTGCTTAAAGCGTCTTGTACATGAGATTCGACCTTCTTCACTGCTGCGGCGTTGACCAAGGGACCTTGTGTGGTCTCAGGATCGACTCCTCTGCCTAGCTTGAGGGCCTCGACTTCTTTCACCAGCGATTCAATGAAGCGGTCTTTCACATTTCGGTGAACCAGAATCCGATTTGCGCACTAAACTTTTATGAGCAGCTGCGGGTACCTATGATAGATGGATACAACATACCACACAAGTTTGACCAGATGATCTGAATTTACAGATCATTGCGCCAGCAACAGCTTTCGCTATGTCAGCATCTTCAAAGACGATGAATGGTGCATTTCCACCAAGCTCCATGCTAACACGTTTCATAGTGTCGGCGGCGAGACGTGTCAGCATCTTTCCGACTCCTGTGGACCCAGTAAAGCTCAGCTTCTGAACCTTCTCATTAATCGCCAACTCCGATGCGACCTCATGACTAGTCGTTGGGATTACATGAATACAATTTGGCGGAACACCAGCTGTGATAGCCAATTTGCATAAAGCGAGGGCTGAAAACGGAGTTTCACGCGGTGGCTTGATAACAACAGAGCATCCTGCCGCTAGAGCGGGTGCGATTTTCCTCGTGATCATTGCTGCTGGGAAATTCCACGGCGTGATAATACCACACACGCCCACAGGTTCCTTAAAGGTGAAAACCTCTGTGTTGCTGTATGACGATGGGATCACATCTCCATAGGCTCGAGGGGCCTCCTCGGCAAACCATGATACAAAAGATGCCGCATAATCAATCTCCCCTTTTGCCTCTGAAAGAGTTTTTCCATTCTCTAGAGAGAGGATTGTTGTTACTGGATGTATTCATCGTCAATGAATGCCATTCATGCTCTCTATGGGGGGGAACAGGGACGGGCACATACAGTCATCTGCATTCAAGAGAATCAACCGACAGAATTCCTTCAGTATAAGTCCTCTCTGTTTGGCAGTCGTACTTTCAAACAGCTTTGCAGATCCCACTTGAGCACTATCGAGAGCGTCGATCAAGTCCTTCTTGGATAGGTCTGTACACCAGTTGAGGACCTTTCCACTGGATGGTTCGATCACGGGAAATGTTTTGCCAGCAGCATCCATTCTTTCTTCTCCATTAACTATCCCAGACATCACCAGTAGAGACGGATCATTGAGCCTTTGAAGCAAAATGTCAGCCATTTCGCTTTTTTTCAGGGTGTCCATGATTTGAAAAATATGATGTCCAATAGATGGCTGTTCGAGCAAGATACTTATTGAGAGCGAAAGCTGAAAGACTATCTTGAGTTTTCCAATTATCTGGATGTATTACAAGCTGTACGCTTTCTACTTTCTATATAAAATCCTTGCTTTGACAAATATAACCGCGTATTCACTATTGCTTCATACGAATATAATCATGCCGAGGTCCAAATATCAGCCAATCAATGATAAGCCTCTTCCAAGAACACAAGAGAGTCAGGGGAACTCCGGAAAAGTCAATACTGTGCTTTCGGCTCTAAATCTCGTTCCGCGGCTATGTAGATTCCCATTCCATGCCTTTGGCCGTGGCTGTATCAACAAGAAGTATACGGATCTTACGGAATATTTGAACTTAACTTATACCCGTGATGCCAGACTTGGTTCCATGAGAGTGATAAGACGAACATTTTAGCAAGTTCTTCCTCAAATCGTGCAGTATCCAATTTCGTTGCCACAATGCAAGCTGTTGTATTCAAAGAACCTTTCCGAGTGGTGTTGGAGGAGCGGCCAATTCCTACAATTCAGCTTCCAACAGATGTTGTTGTCAAAGTTCAATATACAGCGCTTTGTGGAAGGTGTGTACTACACTCGATTATTGATCCGCGAGTTTTTCTCATAGCAGTTGCTAAAATCTCGCCAGTGAACTTCATGTGTATCGTGGCCATCAACCATCTGGAGCTAACTTTATCATGGGCCACGAGTTCATCGGAGAGGTCTGGGAGATAGGATCTGCTATCAAGAACTTTCGCAAGGGCGATGATGTAATTGCGCCTTTCACAACCAGCTGTGGTGTGTGCTTTTACTGCTCTCGCAGCATGAGCTCAAGATGTGTCGAGTCCAAACTTTTTGGATCGCCAGTTCTTGATGGCGGCCAGGCCGAGTACGTGCGTGTACCACTGGCCGACTCATCGCTTGTCCAAACCCCGGAGGCAATTGACAAGATCAAGCTAGTCTTCATGGCGGATATCTTTCCCACGGGGTACTTTGCAGCTTTAAACGCGTTTAAGGGAATTGATGAAAAGGAAATCAACAATAGCACTGTTTTATTGTTTGGTTGTGGTCCCGTTGGTCTCTTTGCTCTTATCAACGCACTCTCCTATCGCCCAGGACATGTCCTGGCCATTGACAAAGTTGCATCGCGCTTGCAGGAAGCAAAAAAGCTCGGGGCAGAGGAATGGAATTATGAGAAAGACGAACAGGGGTTGAAGGATAGGGTCATGGAACTTACGGACGGCCGTGGTGCGGATATCGTGATTGAGGTGGTCGGTCACAGTGACGCCCTACGAATGGGCTTCGATCTCCTGAGACCATTCGGCCGGATCTCCAGTGTTGGAGTGCATAATGAAAACCTGCCGTGGACTGGATTTGAGGCATACTGGAAGAATTTGTCCATTCAACTTGGAAGATGCCCAGTTCGAAGTTCGTATTCTCGGATATCATCACGGTAGCAGCCTACTAATCATTCAATGACAGGTATATTCCCAGAAGCCTTGGCGGAATTTGTCCGGAACCAAAGTCTTTACGAGTAAACATATCTGTCCACTTGGTTTCCTAACGAGCAGTGCTGATCTGGTTTTAGACCTTTGACTGCAGACATACGCCCACTGTCGCAGGCTCCCCAAAGGTGACCTCCATCAATACCTCCTCCACTACGAAAATATTGTAGCTAAAGTTTAATAATCATAGCTTCGATGACTTCCATCTCATGAAATCGCAGAAGATTATCTTTGAGGCTGGGAAATAGCCTCCCTTGAACAGTATTGAGCAGGGAACTTGAGTATTATGTCGCCCTAGAGCTCTGTTTCAGGCTATTAGATACAAAAATTATCGATAAATCCAAAATATGTATTACTTCAACTTTGGAACTAGAATTGGAGAGGACAATCTCTTCTGTGTTCATCAGACGAGGTGGAGGCTAGCAATGAGTAGATTGCCAAATACATGTACTGATCTTGAGGCCTCGAGAGAGTTGGAGGCTCTGAGCTTCATTATGTGAACATAAAATCATGCTTTTACCATGGAATAGTAGAAGAGCTTAGCAATTCCAGATTGACAATAGAGATAGACGGGGTGAGGAAGAGGGAAGCCGACTTCTCAGCTTGGTTTCAAGTAAATACAATCCCTCCATCAACTAAGATTGTTTGACCTGTGACGTAGTCCGAGTCCTTAGTTGCAAGGAAACCTCCAACCAAACCCGCAACATCATCGGGAACACTTGTCCTCCCAAGAGTGATACTTTTGCTGTAAAGCGCTAGGCTTTCTCCTTGGCACGGCCCTCGATTTTTCCCAAGGCTTCGTCAACCTTCTCCCACATCGATGTACCCACAATCCCAGGGGCATATGCGTTGACGGTTATATTGTGGGGGGCCATCTCGCTAGCCATTGACTGTGTCAAACCTCGTACTGCAAACTTGCTGGCAGAATATATGCCACATGCGGGGAATGCTCGGAATGCTGCTATCGATGCAGCACCGAGAAGCTTGTACTTTTCGATGCCGGCTACATTTTTAGGATCTCCCTGTGCAATCATTTGTCGAGCAGCCTCGGCATAACAGTTGAAAACACCGCCAACGTTGACTGCGAACACACTTTCAATGTCCGCCTTCTTTGTTTGAAGCATAGGATTCACAGGTGCGATTCCCGCATTGGCGATCATCAGTGTCAAAGGCCCCAGGTTGGAAACAGTTTTTGAGACCATTGATGCAACATCAGTAGCAGACGACACATCACCAGGAATGGCTAGAGCACGGGGTCTCTTCGTTGGTGAGCCCGCTGCAAGGCTGGCAGGAATATGAGCTGCGCTGTTCAGCTCATATACGAAGGCATCAATCTTTTGTGAAGTTTCTGGAATATCATTGATACCAACCGAATAGCCCTGACTGACAAGACGAAGCGCTATGGATCGACCACTACATGAATATTGTCAGCTGTTTCTGTATCGTATATCACGTGGTTGGGATTTTAGATCAATGTACATTCCGCCCGTAGCTCCTGTAATAATTGCGGTAAGAGCCATGATGATCGATCAGGATGCTGATTACTTGGTTTTTGTGTTCATAAATATTCTCCTCTTTCTTGCGCTATAAGCGAAAAACAAACATTCTTATTGTCTCCAGACGGCTATATGGGTCAAATTTGAATGTCCAACCGATTATACCAAAGATCAACCAACAAGGGTTGATCTCCAAACAAAATCCAAAATTTGGGAAAATAAATTAATTTCCCCGCGTTCCCGATTGGGAAATGTTCAATGCGTCTGGGTACAAACAACCGCGGATAACTTGACTCAACATATGGATTCCGGGGTAATCTAACTTTGTAACCCAAACACTTTGGGGTAGGAGTAAGAATTTTAAGGCTTAGCACATAGCATTCACAGTCGATACGGCTTTACTATAGCCAAATGGAGTTTTTTAAGGCATAGGAAAGGAGGATAACATCGTTATGATATTCAATTAGGAGTCTAAAGTCCTCAAAATCCCCTTTTCTTTGGAAGGGATTGAGCATGAGGTCATTCACCGGTATGAGAGTCGCATCATCACTAGATGTAGGTTATATGCCTTACTTTGCAATCAGTAGTCTGTAATTGAATGAAATTGAGTTTGGCTAGCCATCGATCATGGATCAAAGCCGCCCCTCAGAGATCCTCTACGTATGATTGAGCACCCATCATCTCTCCTGTTTGTTTCATATTGTGCTATATAATGAAGGAAAGTCTGTTGTCTTCACATCCAATTTCGAAGAGGCCAATCAACATTTATTCCTTTTCGCTATTCGTCACTCACTACATGCCATTGATCGATCATAATGAACTCTACATTCAGGCTAGAGGGCCGCTGCTTGTCAATCGGCGTCACGGCCTGTTGCGGACTGGCATTTATGCTGTTTGGATATGATGAAGGAATTTTCGGTGGTATCCTCTCCAACCCCGCGTTCCAGCAACAGTTCAACCATCCCGATACCATCATTCAGGGCCAAATCGTCTCTACATATGTGCTTGGTTGTGTCGTTGGGGCTTTTCTTGCAATGGGCTTGGGCGACAGACTTGGTAGACGACGGTCGATTATCTTGGCCTGCACATTCCTCACAATCGGCGGTATTCTTCAGGCTTCTGCCTATACCCTTCCTCATTTAATCATTGGTCGTGTTGTTGCGGGACTCGGGGTTGGTATGAACACCACGACAGTGCCCATGTGGCAGAGTGAGACCTGCAAGCCTGAGTTACGGGGCAAGCTGATGTCTATACAACTCACACACCTGGTGTCTGGCTTCGTGCTTGCAAACTGGATCAACTTTGGATTCACATATATTCCCGATCACCAAGTTAGCTGGCGTTTCCCTCTTGGTTTTCAGTCAATACTTTCTATCCTTACAGCAGCGATGATTCCTTTGATGGTAGAGTCTCCCCGCTGGCTTTGTTTAAGGGGGAAATCCAGTGCTGCAAAAGCGGCTATCGCACGACTCCTAGCCAAGCCGGAATCTGACACTGAAGTATGGACGGCGCTTCGGTCAATTGAAGAAACGGTAGCACATGAGACAGAATCTCAGCAATCTGGATGGCGCGCCGTATTCAGTAACGGCCCTCAACAAATATTCCGTCGAATTGCGCTAGGAGCAGGGGTGAACTTTATGCAGCAATTTGGTGGTATAAATGTTGTCGCTTACTATCTGCCTGTTGTTCTGAAACAGTCATTTGGGTTTAGCGACCGAATGGCTCTGGTTTTATCTGCTGTAGATTCCATGCAGTGGATGTTCTGGGCCGGGATGGCTGTCTTCGTCATTGACAGAATCGGTCGCCGTCGACTCCTGATTTATGGCTCTGCGGGGCAATGCCTCTGCTTTGCTATAGCTGCACTTGGTCTCGGGATCGGCACCCACGCTCTCAATGGTGTTGCTGTGGCATTCATCTTCCTCTACTACTTTTTCTTCGTTGGTGATCTCCAAGCATTCGAACAGGTTCCCCCTCTAACTTTATACCGCAGGGTCTCTCATTCTTGGTGATACCATTTATGTATCCAGCAGAAATCAACTCACATCACACGCGAAACCTTGGAAGTGCCATCGCTATGGTCACGAATTGGCTCGGTGTCTATGTTATCGTTTCTGTCACACCAGCTGGTACGCTCCAAACCATTCCATATTACTTTTACTTTTACTTCTTGTAACTTACTTGTCTCTCAGGGATCGAGAACCTAGGGTGGAAATTTTATTTGGTGTTTGCTGTGACAAATTTCGTTTTTACCCCCATTTGCTGGTACTTTTACGTTGAGACAGCTGGACTATCTTTGGAGGAGATTGATAAACTTTTCGAGGTCAAGTACTACGGCGACAAGTCTATGACCTATCAGGAGGCCGCTGAAACAGCAAAAATCGCGCTTTTTGCAGCACAGGTTGAGCATGTGGAAAAGCATAAAGGTTAATAATGTGAAGACCTCGTCCAGCTTGTAGACCGAGAAAAGCCTCACACGTTTGATGAAGATAATTCTCTACAATCCCTTCTTAAATAACACATAATTTAGTGCATGGAAATCTTCTCATAAATCCAGGGAAAGTACTGTTCGGGAACGAATAGACCTCCATAAGTCTCCTGGAATGTGAGGCAGACTCACTGCCGTGCCTCGCGTGGTTGTGCGAGGAGGTTCGGGAGCACCCGCATGTAGGGCTCCGAAAGGAATAAATAATTGCGAATATAGGGCATATTCATATTCGCGGAGTACGAATATGAATAAATGAATATCGTTGTTGAGTATCACCGTGGCTGGACCTGATGGCAGGGATTAGGAGCACATATATATAAGGCATCCCGCCCCTGTAAATAATAACTCCATAAGTCAATCAATTGAATTAATCAGACAATCACTTATCTTAACAGCGCGAATACTATATTCATTTATTCATATTCGCATTTATTTATCTCTTTCGGAGTTCTAAGATTCCTAGTTTGGCCCGGGTCATTTGGGCTCTATTTGACGCTACGGTCTAAGACTGCAGCGATAGGTGACCCGTCACGGCCAAACTATACACGTTCCTGATCCCTCTCGACTGGGTGAGGTCACTGATAAAGGATAGTTATAATTAAATTATAGATAGGTCTGACTATATTCTGTTTGGTGATTGGCTACTAAGATCTACTATACTCCGGTCTAAAAGGTCCGGGACCGCTAGGGACTTGAAAAGACCGCAGAAAGACCGGTAGACTCATATATAGGACCGAAACCTCAAAATATAAGTTCACTTACGCTTAGAAGAATATACTACGTAATACTGAATTTCATTAGTAGAGCATATAGCTTCTTTAATCAGAAAGTATAAAAGAGGATCTAGGCTATATCTTGATTCTTATAATTACTGTATTTACAAACTGATATTTCATTCTCATTTTTGACTGTATTTGTTCCAACGTGCTTATAGCAAATTTGTTGTTATCAGTAAGGGTTTAAACGGGTTTTTTATAGCCTTATCAATACTCGAATCCAATACTTTCATCGTGTGAGCATTTTCGGGTGATTACAGCCAGACTTTATACTAATCTTGTTATGACAGAACATCAATTATTTACTCTGTAGGGTTTGCCTCCGGTGGATATAGGTAGCCGTTTCTTCCGAGATATTCCTTGATTATAGCAGTATGGTTACTAATATCGCCGAAGTAAATAGTCTTACCACCCTTTACTAGAAGAAGAGGAGTATCAAACTACGCGAAGAGCTAGGCAGATAGCTGCTAAATCGTCACTAGAAATGCTTAGCCACAGTCCGCTAGCTTGCGAAGGAATCGTACTGTGTTGAAAGCCGATTGTCTATCGAGGCTAGAGGTAGGCTTATCTAGGAAAATCAAGATACTGGGTTTAGGGACAAGCTCGACACCGATGGTGACGCGTTTCCGTTGCTTAATACTTAGTCCTACGCCGACCTTGCTAATCAATATATCAGTAATATCGTAAAGCTCAAGCAGATCAATAATCACGTTAACATATATAAGCTTCTCTTCTCGTAGCGTGTAAGACCCCGTTACAAGGGTCTTGGGACTTAGGTGGATTCGGGCAATAGAATAGAGAAAGCAGTAGACAGGTTCAATACTGAACTAATCGCTGGAGTCCAAGACTCCAGCCCCTGGGCTGTTTATATACAAATGTGGGGTCATGTGAGGTCATGAGCCCTCGCATTACGGGTCTCAGCCCTGGGTCCAGTTCGCAGGTGCGAACTGGCCATCTCGCAGTCTATGTGAGACTGCGAGATATATATCGTCAAACCTGCTTAGTACTTGGGTCCTGACAAGTAGCAAGGGAGGTAAACCGGCCATTTTTGATAGCCTTAATTGCTAGTAGAACTCTACCTTCCTACTTAACTGATTTCTGAGCTTTTTGACCGCGGATTAGAGGCATGGTAGGTGTTTAAAAATAGGAGGTTTGGTGAGGGGAAGCAAAATTGAAGTGCCTGCCGGAACGGCCGGGATGCCGGAACGACCAGGATCCACGTTAGCAATTCACCGACAGAAACCATCTGATCCTTAAGGTATCTTATATCCCCATGTGGGATGTCACCTGACATCCCTAACACTTATGTGTACAACAAAGTTTGACATGGAATTTGAACAACTTTCTGATGGATAATTATCTCACCACCCAAAAGACGCAAACAGCAAGGGAGGAAAAGGATGCTCGGAAGGCAGAGTGTGAATTTGATCTCATCAGTGACAGCGAAGATGTGCCTTAAGTAGCCGTATCTCAAACCAACCAGCTGGTGAGTGAGCATGCGCTTGGTAAAAGACCAAGGGCGAAAACATCACAGAAGCCCAAGAGCATATGATTGAACTAGACGAAGAAGATGAAGTTCCCCTACCTGACAACATCCATATACATGGAGAGAGCAGTACTCGGAGGCGTTCATCAGGACGGCTTCCGAAGCGGTTAAGGCGAGATGAAGATTTTGTGTATGAAAAGCCATAAGATTTAGTAAAACTAAGAATGAAAATTATTTGATTGACCTTTTGCAATATAACTTCCATCTAAACTTTCATCTGAACATTGAGCTAATCCGTAAGCGAAATACTCACTACTACAGTCAATATCTGCACAAAATATGCATGTCATGGGATTCCTTGAGTTTGTTCTGTTGTGGAACCTCCGGTTCGGACTGCACCTCCGCGGTCCGGGTCCAAAAACATTAGAACTGCCCCGAGGTTCCAAGGTCTAGTACCAAGAACCGCACCCCCGAGGTGCGGTGCGTCTCAGAACCGCGCGGTACTGGAGGTTCCATTACGAGGCCTAGATACAGCAGAGCAAGATGATACTTCTGCATGGCAAGGGCGGAGACCCGCACCTTCCGAGCCAAGTCCCAGGGAAATTACCTTTTTCGGCCAAGACCAAAACAAGCGAAACAATATATTTCCGGAGTCATTATCCCCCGCTTCGGCCTTTCTTGCACCGATATTCCCGAATGCATCTCGCAATTGAAGCGGGGGAATGACAGGGGTTTTAGGAGCTATACCAATTGCTAGGCCAATGTGACCCCGACGTCACTTCCTTCGGTAAATTTCAGCTGAGCTTACCACCAATCATGACCACTTTGAAACCATCACGGTCAGGGTCGCTTAACTCACCACGTACTTCATGCAAAGATGTTACTTCCTCTTGTCTCTACTGAAACTATCAAGGTTCTTTTTCGCGTCCTCATAGTTCTGTCAGATTGCGTAAGGAGGCATTTAAAAGGCGCTGGCCGCCTCTCCAAACATGATAATGCGTCAGTCTTTACATTCGCTTGGTAACAAACCATGTCAAAACCTGGCATTGGCTTCCTGTTTTTGGTTGGGCTTCTTGGACCTCATGTTTCAGCTTCCAACTGCACCTCGTCATCTGCGACTGTCCACTGGCTCGGCGACAAGCCGTCGTATAATGCCGGTGTAACCTTTGGTTTACCATGGCCGCAAGGGAAATATCAACCCGAGAAAACCAGCTTCAACCTCGCTAGCAACTCCGAAGATAGGCAAGAATTGCTGTCTTGGGCTACCGGCTATTGGGCCGATGGCTCGCTGAAATGGACGGGCCACGCTATCGCAGAATCTAATCCAACCCACGACAACTACACTGTCACTGCATCGTCTCTGGGCTGCACCAATGATTCCACCTCGTCTGGGCAATCTGGTACAAAGAACAGCTCCATCATCGTGGCCGATGGGTCTGATGTTGTTAGTGTCAACACGGGTGAGATTACCGTCTCGTTTCCCAAGGAAGGGAACATTCTAGTCAGTGCCATCAAGACCAAGAGCGGCAAGACGGTCGGCGAGAATGGAAGACTTGTCCTTCAGTCTCAGGATTCGGTGCCCGACAGTTTCGACAGCCGATCAAACTCTTCCATCCAATATTCCAACTTCCACAGCATCATTGACGAGGTATCTGTAAACCAGAGCTCGATTCGGACCCTCGTCACTATTCGGGGAAATCACAAGGTGACTGACGGCCCCGATCACGAGCCATGGCTCCAGTTTGTCATCAGATTCTATCTCTATGCCAACTCTGCCTCTGTTAAAGTTATGCATAGCATCGTTTTTGATGGAGACTCCGATAAGGACTTTATTACGGGACTCGGTATTCGATTCAATGTCCCATTAAAAGGCGAGGAGTACTATGATCGACACGTCAGATTTGCTGGCGTAGATGGCGGTATTTTCAATGAGGCTGTTCAGGGAATCACCGGACTTCGAAGAGATCCTGGCGAAGAAGTGAGAACTGCTCAGTATGAAGGTCGCAAGTTGGCAGACACAGCAAGTTGGGACAATCGGGTTACCAGCCGGCTCAAATGGATTCCCACGTGGACAGACTACAGCCTGACTCAACTGACGGCCGACGGATTCAGCGTTAAAAAACGGACAAAACCAGGCCAGTCGTGGATCAAAATCCCCAGCGGAACACGTGCTGAAGGTCTGGCCTACCTGGGAGGTGCTACGAAAGGAGGCCTCGCCATTGGTTTAAGGGACTTTTGGAAACGTTATCCGTCTGGCTTTGACATTTCAAACGCTGCATCCAACACAGGCGAAGTCACTCTTTGGCTATACAGCCCTGCCGCTGATCCATTGGACCTTCGGCCCTTCCATGACGGCCTGAACGAGGACGGATATGAAGATCAATTGGATGCTCTCGAGATCACCTACGAGGACTGGGAACCCAACTTCAACACCCCCTATGGAATCGCGCGAACGAGCGAGATATACCTATTTGCGTTTGATCAAACACCGACAAGTGACAGACTCGCCTTGCTTTCTACGTACATTAACAATCCTCCCGTGTTGGTACCAGAGTCGAAATATATCCAGGAAACCCAAGCCCTCGGAGGATACTGGGCCCTCCCCAAAAGCTTAGGCGATGCTGCAAGTACCCTGGAAGATCGACTCGATTTTATCTTTGAATTTTACCGGACTCAAATTGAGCAGCGGCGCTGGTATGGCTTCTTGGATTACGGCGATTTTATGCACACATACGACACTGACCGACATACCTGGCGGTACGACGTCGGCGGTTATGCCTGGGACAACTCAGAGCTTTCACCAGACCTCTTCTTCTGGCTCTACTTCCTTCGTACCGGCCGCGAAGATGCATACCGGTTTGCCGAGGCCCTTACACGACACACAGGTGAAGTAGATGTGTACCACATCGGCGACTGGAAAGGGCTGGGCACGCGTCACGGTGTGCAGCATTGGAGTGATAGTGCCAAACAGGCACGTATCTCTCAACCGCAGTATCGAAAGTACTTTTTCTATCTCTCGGGTGGGGACGAGCGTATTGGGGAGTTGCTGGAGGAGTTGCTTGACACGGATAAGACGTACGGGACGCTCGATCCGCAGAGGAAGGTCCGTACCGATGGCTGGACACCTAGCCCCAATTCGACAGTTGCTTTTGGTCTTGGAACGGACTGGTCGAGTCTCGCTGCAGGGTGGTTGATTGAGTGGGAGCGGCGGGGTTCAAGATGGAAAGAGGCTAGGACAAAGTTGACCAACACAATCTCGGGAATCGCAAACTTGACCAACGGCTTCGTGACTGGATCAGGTCTTTACGACCCGGTAACTTGGACGTTAGGACCTCCACCTGCTGACCCGGACAATCTTGGAAACGTGTCTGTCTCTCATTTATCCGCTGTCTTTGGTCTTCCCGAGGTTGTTTCCGAGGCTATAGCATATTTGGCCGATGATATACCAGAAGGATTCCACGCAGCCTGGTTGGATTACTGCTACTACTATCATGCCCCAGCAGCGGAGCAAAAGGCCCGTTACGGGGTGAGCTTCGGCAGCCAAAGCTTATACCAAGCGCACTCCCGACTGGCAGCATATGCGGCGCATGAAACGCAGAATAGAACTCTTGCACTTCGAGCTTGGAAGGACTTCTATGCAAGCGATGGACTTGCACCGGGTGCTGCATGGAGCACTACGCATGTGAATGGGAGTGCTGTTTTGGTGTCCGTCGATGAGGCCGCATGGCTCGCAACTAACGATATCGCGCAGTATGGTTTAGCTGTTATTCAAAATCTGGCATATGCTTCGGATTCGCTTAATGACTATCAATCATAAACTCTGATAGTGTATATGCAAGAGCAATAAGACTTTAATACCACACCGATATCATGTTTCAACGTAGCATCGCTGTAATAGGAGTCGTGTGAATTCTGACAGTGCAGACTCTGGGTCCGCCCTTGTGATACTTTAAGGATCAGATGGTTTTCATTGGATGCCCGAGGCACCGAGTATATAATAGTAAATTACATAATAATGCTAAGGCATCGCTTAGTGAGAAACCCAGTTTTACTTGTAGCAAGTAATGCCCAAGGCATCAGAATGCCTTAGGCCCACTTCCGCTCTCAGGTTCTGCTGTGTCTCTCAGGTTCTGCTGACACAGCAGAACCTGGAAACCTTAAGGGATCGCACCCTGAGATTCTGCCTATCACATGACCAAAGAGGGGTTGATCACAGAACACTCATGTATCTAGTTATTTTCTCTTCGTGCCAATAAAAGTTATCGTTTTCCCATCAAGTATTTTCTCAGTGCATCCAATTCAGATCCCACATCGATCATAGCTTCCAGGGAATCATCAGAGGAAGGGGAAAAGTCCCGTGGTCGGGTGTGTCTTCGGATCGCAGAGGGCGATCAGTGGAGCACAGAGAGTGACCAGTGGGGAGCGATTCCCTCGCTCAAATTCTTTCTCAAGCAAGTCCAATTTAGTAGAGCGATATTGAATTGGGATATTCCCCTTACAAATGGTCCTGGTACATGATGCGACCAAATATACGAGTGGCCATTACTTGGTGATACCATGTATAGAGTACCGATACTGAAACGCAGAAGGCTTGAACTGGGAGTATTCTGGCCTGCCCACTAGATGCGGGGTTTACCATGCAGTAGTCAAGGTTGTGGCTTGAATCCGGGTTTCCAGCCCAAGTACTACTAGTGAATCGTCAGTATGTCCTTAGCCGAAAACAGAATCGAAGAGACGGTTGATATATACGGAAAGGCATGTGGAGTTCCACCATTCCGTAGGGTGTCGGGGGGCACTGGAAGGAAGGCACGGCTACCCCCAAGCACTGAAATAGGACACAGCACCGAGAGAAATTTATGTCTCGAATTATATGAGAGATTAGTTTGCACATCTCGAGCATGGGCAAAACCACTGCCTTTCGAATACTGAAATTAATGTAGAAGACCCTGCTCATAAATAAATAAGGCATATCCCCAGAAAAAGTGGGAGTGACCTCAGCAATTCACAATTTTAGAGTTTCTACGGATTAACGATAACTACGGAACGCCCGGGAATATTTACAGTCAATCATAAACAACACGGAGAAAACCCCGACCCTGCAAGGATATCATCCCACATTAGCCGTAATTTCTCTCGAAAGAGCAACAGAAAAGTCAGAATGCTCCTGCATTCGCGAACTAATTTCCGAACTTTGTATAATCTACTTAAATACTCACGGCAGACCTGGCTTCTCCTGACCAAAACTCACACCTGAAAGTAATGATGCGTCTTCTTGCACCTGTATTGTTTGCGCTCTTCGCTACAGCGACAATTCTAGAAAATGGACAGCCCAGATCCAACCCATACCCGGGAAAGGTGGAGTTTCTAGAATCTGGCCTTGATGCGTCGGAATGGAAGTCGTATGGACCGGACGCGGGGGAGATCTCGTATAAGGGTCGCTGGGATGAGCAGCATGTCTCCTGTAAGTGCACGTCATCTTTTCAATGACTAATTGTCCAGGCTAATGCGGTTGGAGGGTGGTCGTGAGTTTATTCTATTTGTTTTGAAGCGTTCTGCTAAGAATAGTAGAGCTCCAGGTATCAAGTTTTCATTTACGGGACAGAAGGTGCGCCCTCTACCTATGTTTTGCGAAGTATAAAGATTGACAGCTGGATAGCTTGCATTGAGCTTTGGCGAACATACTGTACCCAATGTTCTAGTCGCTTATAGGTGAGCTTCCATGTTCTGATTTGCAGTACCTTGTCCAATGTGATCAGAATTGGTGGGCAAGACTGGCAATTTGCCAATGTGACAGCAAATGCCTCCTACCAATTTGTCGGGCCTGCGACAACTGGTGTGAATCTCACAGATACTACTGCCAGGAAGATATTTGAGATGAGAGGTATGATATCTTAAACCTAAAGATAGAAAGATTGTTGTGCTGACTTGACCAGTGACGAACTGGGCCTACGGATATGTCCACCGCCCTACTTAAATTCGTAGCTAACACACCGAACAGTCCAATTAGCCGGCGTTTCTGTCGCTACTCATGCAACACTAAACAAGGTCAAGTCTTTTCCAAGAATGGTGGAGATCATTGGTGATTCGTATGACCCCTGTCTGCAGTACGGGGGCTCTTTCATATATATTGACGAGCGCAGTCTGAGCTCGGGCGATTACGCAACCTACGAAGGGCTCTCATCCTGGGCATACCTCTTCGCTGCTGGACTGGGAAATGTGGAATACTCTATTACAGTTCGTCCCTATTTCCCCCTTGTTGTGCTGTACTTACTTGCTCATCTCTCAGGCCTACCCTGGAATATGTCTCCACGACCAGAATTGCTGGGGAAACCCAAGGGGCCATGTACGTCTTCTTCTCTCTTCGTCAACACCCACTCTAACAGGCACAGTCCTACCAATACTACCGAACAACTGACACATCTCCCCGATCTTACGAGATCTACGGCACCAACCCACCAAAATGGAACTTCAAGGTCCATCAGCCCGCCGACCTAGTCGTTATCAACATCGGCACAAACGACAACAACATCGCTAATAACGTTTCCAGCACTGAATATTACAATGACTATGTGACATTAGTCGGGAACTTGCATAATATATGGCCGAAGGCTGATATTGTTCTTATGGTACCCTCCACCATCCTGCTCTCCTCATTTCCTCTACATACTAACAAGGTGCAGTCTCTTTGGGGCGGCTTCAGTCCATCGGGGATGACATACGAACAGGGTCCTCTCTTCGTCAACGAGATACACAGAGTCGTTAAACACTACCAGAATCGCGGGTCCAGAAACTTCGTCCACTACTTCGATACGACAGGTATCCTGCAACACAATGATATTGCACCTCAGTGGCATCCCACTGATGTAGGCCATATCAAGGTCGCAGCGCACTTCATGCAATGGGTGAAGATGAGGTTTGGATGGGAGATGGAGGCGATGGGGCCTATGGTGCATAGCGGAACGCTTTATTGGAATGATCAGGAGAGTTATTAAGCTCCCTGCAGTCCCAAGACTGTTGCTGGCTGTCCCACGGGTTAATTGTAAGAAGATTACCAGGTCAGGGGTGATCAGCCTGTCAATCCGGTAAGATACGATGATGGATCGGTAATGAATAAGTGGAGGAGCGTCAACGATATAGTATTCTTGTACAGAGACTAATTCTTGTCCCCCAGATAGGGGCCAGGGAGTCATCCCCTTTTATGCCCCGTTTGGACGAAGCTCCCAGGGGCACATTATCTCTGTCGGTATCACTTATTGCGATTCCGTCTTCGTTGGAGACACTACGTCCGAATCCTTTTCGTAGACGGAACATTTCCGTTATATGGTCGGATCTATTACTCCTCGTCCTGTATAGCCTCATTAAAACCAACCAGGCAAAACCCTGATGGGAAAAGGTCAAAGGTTGGAAAGAGTGCTTGGCAGTCTTGGTGATCTGTCTCCTATTGTATGGTCCCAAAGACCGTTACAAAGATCTCGCGTTCTTCTTAGTTAATAACTTACCGTTAACGCTCGCGTATGTTATCGCTTTTCTGTTTATTCATCTTAGCAAGAAAGAGTTAGGATCTATTATATACTAGTTTAGTCCTTTATTACCTTTTTAATAAGCTTTTCTAACTCTTCAGACCCTCGAAAATACCTACTATTTATTTCTATCTAGCCTTACGTATAAACTATTAACTTATAATAATATACTGTTCATCACATTTGTACCTCGTCCCAGAGTTACAAACTTTTGCGAGGGGTTAGGCTAATGACATCAACCGACCTGTACAATGCATATCCGTGAAACTTCTGTGGGTCTGATACCATGATCCTGGGACATCTGAACCAAGTCTTGATGAAAAAGAGTGCATTCAACTAGAATACTAAACATGGGGAAAGAAAGAAAGAAAGAAAGAAGAAGAAAGAACCAACACGCTGAAACAATTAAGTTATGTCGGAAGCCTGAGAAAGCAGGCCCACTTGTTTGTCGTGTTTGTTCATTATTCAGCAAGTAAATTACACCTAATTGTGACTAAGCACTCACCTCCACCCCTCCAGGGTGTAGGTGAGCCAATGCCTAAACACAAACCAATGCCTAAACACAAACCAATGCCTAAACACAAAAAACCCATTATTTCAATTTCAACCCTATTTTTCAGCCACCATCCCATCTGGATCTATGAATTTAAATAGCTCACTATTAGCATCAAGATAATCTCTACCTCCTGATGCTTCTTCTTTTTCTTTGAGAGCCTGATTCGCGCGATGCCAGTAGTCTCGAATTCTTGCGTTTCCGGCTTCATGCCGAATATCCAATTTAGATTCCTTCGTACAGCGCTGATAAACCTTCGAATTGCCTGCAATTGACGATAAAGGACTCTTAGATGCACCCTTTACTATGCGTTTTGTCTTTTTGACAGGAATCTTGTGGCTTTGCATCCTTTTTATCGTCTGTTTTGCAAGGGCTAGATCTTGAATAGCCTGCTTGCCGCCACGAATTGCACGGTTTATATGTTTATGAAGCTTCGGGAGGTCCAATTCAGCTTTATCATTTTCGAATATCGTTTGAATCTTGTCCTCAACTTTGGAGAATCTTTGATCTGGATTAGGCGGCGAATTCGTTACTAAACTAGGGAATTCACGGTCTGGTAATGGCGTATGACCATATATCTCGAGGACTGGTTTATCTTCCTAGCCTAGATCAATTTGATCACACACAATATGTAAATCATAAGGCCAAAGACCAGTGTCTTTAAATGATGATTTAATCGTTTGCGATTTGAATGTGTCTTTGCGGACTGTTTTGATAAGTTGAAGAAAATGCCGTTTATCGTCAACATCTCCACCCCATCGTACAATCTCATTGTTCTTTTTTCGGAATTTTTGTTTAAGAACTGAGAATGGCTTGCCATCGAGAGGCTGACATCGATGTGTCATCTTTGGTATAAACCACCAAGGTATAATATTAAAGCTTTGGTAGATATGCTCGAATTCCGGGGTTCTATAGGATCTATGGTTATCCATAACCAAAACCCTAGGTCTACCTTTAGCAACTCGCTTTTTAGTGGCATAATGGAAATCTAATAGCCATTAAATCGCAGTTATATCGTCGGTCCAGCCTTTAGTAGTTGGTTTAATAACCCTATAGTTGGTAGGATCATTATCGCCGTCAAACTAGTCTTCTATTTGTTCAGAACCACGTATTAAAAACCATGGATGCATAACCTAGCCATCGGCCGAAATACACTCAATTCTAGTGATATTCTGGCCTATACCACCGGTCGCAATAGTCTCATATTTGCGGGTAGAAGCGACATTTTCCTTAGTTCTAATACCTAGCTGAAAGCTAGTCTCATCCCAGTTATACAGTTTATTGGCCTGGATTTTATTCTTTTTAAGGAATTGGCCATAAACCTCATACTAGTGAACTAATTCACCGTGTAATTCAGCTTCAATCCTCGCTTTTTCTATCGGCTTTTGTGTACGAAGGGTAATATGGGGTGGTAGGCGTTGCATGAATTGATAGCCGTACATTTTGCTGACCTGCCGGTCGGAACCATGATGTCGTAAAATACGATTTGCAGCACCCTTAATATCAATAGCAGTTAGTGGTGTATATACTGAATTAAGGTGCTCAATCCAGCGAATCAGAGAGGCTTCTTGTGAGGAATTTAGGGCTTTGTTAGTGGCTATACGGCCTTTTCTATTTTTCTTGCCTTCATTTCGGTTCCGAAGCTTCCACTTTGAGACGCCAAAATAAGAGGCTGCGGCCTGAATACTGGTAAATTGACCTGATTTATAGGCTTCGAGGGCATTTGAGAGAAGGATCTCTTCTTTTTCGGAGGAAATAGGCATCGTTGTGGTGGTGAAAAATAGGGTTGAAATTGAAATAATGGGTTTTTTGTGTTTAGGCATTGGTTTGTGTCTAGGCATTGGTTTGTGTTTAGGCATTGGCTCACCTACACCCTAGAGGGGTGGAGGTGAGTGCTTAGTCACAATTATATATAAATTGCCAGAATTAGGGGTAATGGAAACCAGAGTTATTAACATCACCTGATTGGCCAGCACCAAGTTGAATTTCATAGTTATGAGCCCGAATAGCCATTTCTGAACCAGAAAAACACATCGATTATAGCAATCAGATCATCTGATAACCCTAAATCGACCACTTGCTGGTTCAGAACCCCTTTTAAACCACCGATTATACATCTTCTGTAACGCTAACACACCCATACCCCATCCTCGCTAGCAAGCGATACAGCAAGTGATCACTACACTTCAGCAAGCATAGATACGTTAACACTATCCGCCATAAAGGGCGATAAACTTCGTGAACCAGCTCAATAGAGCACTTGGTATGCAAAAACCAGGCGCTTCGCCTAACTGCGCGGGGTTTGGGAGCTATACAATCCAGAAGTCAATGAGGATGCACTCCCTAAGCGCAGTACGGAGCCGGTAGAACTAGAATACCTAGAAGACGGAGATGATAAGGAGACCCGTAAGTGGCGAGACCGCTTCGATGTCTATAAGCTTGCTCTCTCGAAGTATGAGAAGCAGACTAAGGGATTAAATGATGTATACGAATATATCTTTGCCACCCTTAATAGCAAGTATTATCGCTCCGTTATCACTAAAGAAACCCCGTATGATGTGCTTATAGCGCTGAAAACACGGTTCGTAAGAAGCAACTCTTATAAGGAAGAGCTGCGCGACAAGTGGGAGCAACTTACATCGTAGAAACCCGGGAAGTATGTCGACTAATGGATCGACAAGTGGGACACACTACGGCAAGAAGTTATTAGCGTCGGTATCAGGGTTGATGATGAAGATGCAGTACGTTATTTCATCAAGGCTGTGAAGGAAGTCCTGCCAATGTGGTGGCAAGCGGAATACACTGCTATCATCCTTAATAAAGAGAAGCGTAATATCAATCAGCTTATCGAGTCCTTTCGTAGTATCTACCGCGAAACAGGTGCTAAACCATCACTGTCAGCACTAAAGGCCTCCTTCTTAACCTGGTAAGGGCATAAGGAAGCTTCATAGTAAGTGGCAACAATCTCTACTATAAAGTCTAAGAAGCCAAAGCAGACTGTAGAGACCCCGTTTCACGAACGGTCCTGCCTATGTAGAAACACACACCCACGTCATAGAGTAGCAACTTGCTACTACATACGCCCTGATCTGATACCTTCGGACTTCACTATCAGGGAAGCCACGAAGAAAAGAATTAAGAAGCTTCTTACCGTAGAGCTAGAATAGCGCAAGTGGATTAACGAGGAAGTAAGGAAGAATAAAGAACGTTTAACGCCTAAGGAAACGGCGGATTTCACAACGGTACAGCCTGACGTTAGCGCTCATCTACTAATAGTAACACTTGCAACCATACAAGTGCCCTTAGCAGAGAGTAACCGGGTACAGCAAGTCCATACTGGCAAACTAGCAGAAAGAATTCCTATCTACTATGTCAAGCCAGTCGATAAGAGAATTAAGCAAATGCCTGATCTCAAAAACCGATAGATCCTTGACTGTGGATCAAGTGTGCATGTGTGCAACAATAAGGGCTGGTTCGAAACTATAACCCTATACCAAACAGAGTTAGCAACTAGCAACTCAATCACTAAGGGTAAGGGGATTGGAACAGTAAGACTTGCTATAAGAGATCCACAAACCGGCAAGCAACGAATCATACGTCTTACTAACGCCTTGTATGTCCTAGGGTGCCATACCAACCTAGTTTTATATACAAAAATAAGGCGACTTAGTGTGAAATGGTGTCAAGATACAGATACCATCGTCGACCCAAACAACCTGCAAATCGCGAAATTACAGCTAGTGGACCTAGATCTGTGGGTATTCGACTTACCAAGCCATAACAGTGTCAATACAATAACCAGAAAGTCAGAGAGACCACAGAAAGCGAAAGGATCTATAGAACTATGGCATCGCCGTCTAGCGCATATCAATATAGATACGATTAAGCAAGCTAAGCAAATGGTAGATGGCATCGAGAT